CTGACAAAGGTTGGAACATCAAGCCTGTTTCTGCTCTGAGACAAAGAGAACGCACGCTGCTTCTGACTCATCGGAGGTAGACTCATCGGAAGTACAATTGAAGTTCACTTTGAACCGGTAAGTGCCACTTTCAGATTACACCTCCAAACCAGCAAGTCTTAGTGGGCTGGGGCATCTCTGTAGCACAGAGGTTTCAGGGGAGTAACATAAGGTGGCGCATGAACAGGAGAGTGGCTCCCAGGCTCCCAACGCATATTGTCACAACTGCAGTGGTCTTGGACCACGGTGGTTTTTCCCTTTTGATCTTGAAGGACACGGAGCGACTGACCCCCATTAGCAACCGTTGATCCAGCGCAGGCCTCTTCCACCTCAACTGTCGTCCCTTCACGAGAGGAGCAGCTAGAGAGCCCGGGAGGCCGGGGTCACTGGGTGATAAAAAACAAATGCTACACGGGTCGGTCTGGCCTCCCCGCCCATGTCCACGTCTCATCATCATCAAAAAGGGTCACCGCTGAATGGAGTTTTCAAATACCCAGGACCCCCACTTACGAGCCACTTTGTGGCTGTGAATTTCAAGAGTAGGAACCGCCTCAAAAGTTGTATTTTCGACGTTTCGGGCCCACGCTTGAAATTCATGAAAGGCCACACTGTTTGGGGTACGTCAACATGGCCATGAAGCAAAACGCAACTTGCCCTTTGTCCGTTGGAACAGGGCTTCAAACTGGTTTGTCTACACATGCAGCCTTGTGTTGTGTAGGTGAGCCTTGTCAATGCCGCAGAGTGGCGGGAGCGTTGCGTGGATAAAACTAACGCCTGAGAAGCCTTGTTTTCTCCAAGGGCCCAACACACTGGTGCTGGTCGGAGCTCACCTCCCCTTGCAAGGTCCGAAGAGAGGGGTGTAGGGCACGTTTAAGCGACTTCGAACAATCAACTGTTTCCCACCTATTTCCTCTTGCGAAGGTCCGAGAGATTTGAACGGAGTGTTGCAACGTGTGTAAACAAGGTCGAAACGTTCCCACGACAGCGGCGCTAGCAAGATCCGAGGAGACATGAGAGATGCACGGGGCACGTCTGAACAAGTTTAAACCAGGTCGTTTAAGCATGTTCAAACTCGATGGACCCAGCTTGTTCAAGCAGGTTGAAACGTTTCCCGCAAAAGTGTGGTTCATGTTCACAAGCGGGGTCAAGGGGACAAGCGGGTGTTTACATGTGAGCAAGGACAACAACGAGGACCCCCTGCGTTCTATGATCGGTTCGCTTCTTGGCTTTGTGGCCAGGCCCCTCACACGAGCTGGGAGGCTGCCAGGCTGGACCCGGGGCATGCGTGTGGTTTTGGTTGAACACACCTTGCTCGAACGAACGGAATCCAGATTTTACGGGGCCCAATCTCGCGAGCCCGGCCTGTCCTCTGACAGGGACCAACGATATGCCAAAGAGGTTTGGTTGCAGAAGTGGGTCACCTCTTCAAAGATGGTGGCTTTTTGATTTGAGCGGGTTGCCGGGTTGCCGCACTTTCCCTTTCTGCCTTAGAAAGTAGAACCATTGCCCCTAAAATGACCAAATCATTTAGACATCCTGGTCGCAAAAAACATGCAAAGCATCTTTTCTGCACGTAGCGGATTTATCAGAGGGAAAGCCAAAGGCCGCAAAGGCCACGTTCTGGGCAGAATCCGAGAGCCATTTATGGAATGTTGTGAATGCCATTGCAGTGGTTAAATGAGCGACATGCAGGATTCACTTGCTACAGTAATGTGCGTGTGTGCTTGCGTTGTACTTGTTGTCTTCCTCTTCAAGAATCACGGGGCGATGATGCCCCATTGTCCCTTGTGGTTAAGTTGTAAATTGGTAAACCGGGTTCCCGCAAAAACCGCGGATTTTCCTCAAAAAGTCGGACCTACGTTTTTGCAGGGCTTTGGTTTCTGAGTTTCATGAAATGGCGAACTAGCCAGCTTGCCCACGACAAAACCAACTGGACGGACGGACGGACTGGCTGACCAATGACTGGGCGCTGTCATGCTGTCAGGATGTTGGGATGGGTGTCAGAAGCGGGGCCAACGCTGTTGGGATGAATGTGACCGATCTTGACCGATTTTATGTGCCGTCCCCAGCGAAATGCTGAAAGTTACGCCAAATCGACTGAGTTTTGCCGAATGTCGCCACGGAGCGAGAACAGGACTTCAGATACCAGCTTCGAAAGTATGTTTGCTCTAGGCGCAAATCACTGAAACTTTCCAAAACCTGGGTTCCTTGTATGTTTGTGTGTTTCCCTGTTGTTTACTAGATGCAGGAGTGCACGTGCCTAATTTTCATTCTGAGTCAAAAGGCGGCGGATGATTCGCTAGACGTCGCGAGGAATATGGGTTTGTCTCAAATAGGGGAACCCCTAAAATGTTTGGTTTCCTTTGGTTTCCCGGTAAAACCACACAAAAGGGGTATCCTCACAGAAAGTTAGACATCCATTTCATATCCCAAGCGCACCATGCCAGATCGGAAGCCGATGGTTGGCAGCTACAAGCGTTTCTACGTAGGGGGTGGGGGAATCCAATCGCAACAACATCAAGGCGCAGAAGAAGTGGGCACAGGCAAACGATCAAACGATGGGAGCGCTTGTGAAAGATGGCGCCTGTGGATTGGCAGTAGAGGAAGCCATTCAAGATATAGGTGTGGCGCCATTTTTCCAGAATCAGCATCAAGCGATTCGCCTGCAGTTAGACACCATCATGTGCCCGTTGGTCCTCAAAGGGGGTGCCTATTTAAGGCACGTTCTGAGGGAGTGCCCCCCAGCAGCAACAGTTCTTCATGACAGTGTGATAGGAGCCAGAAATACTTGGTACCCGCAAGGCTTCCAAATAGTTTCCACCAAGTACCCCAACCGTTTAGAGGTTTAATGGAATGTACGTCCCATTTTCGCGCAGGCCCAGATGCCAGACAAGCCGGCGTTCAAGTTCACCCCGCTGGGCACTTGAGACGTGTCCACTTTGATCAATAGTTTGCCTCTCGACTCTGCCGGTTTCGTCACTCGCCTTGCTGGCTAGGCTTCCAGGCCCAAACAGGGTTCCTTGCAAAGATGGGTCTTTTGTAGAGGGCCTCCAAATTGTGGTTTTCCTTTTGCTTTAGGGGTACAAAAAGAGACACCCGTGTCACTTCAGTTCTCGCCAAAGGGCCGCTTCGGGCCCACTGAGGTCTGTGGGGTCGTGGCTCCAGAGCAAGCCCCCTCAGGCAATGTTGGGCTTTGCTTGTGGTTTCAGCAAGACCCTGGACCCCATGTACAGGGCCCTCAATCACCTGTGATACTGGAACATGCGTTATGGCTTTCCTTCCAGCCAACCCCGAAACGTCCTGTGTTTTCCCTTGGAAAGACACGGCCGTTGGATCCGAATCGTAGATTCCACTCCTGCAGGGGAAAAAGGGAAAGAGTCGGGTTTGCCCACAGGGAGTTCCTTTGGATTTCGTTTTTCCACCCTTTTTAAACGGGGTCCAACGCAAGCCCATACCTTGGTGAAGGGGGAACCCTGACCGGAGTACTTCGTGTCAGGTGGTGCCCGCGCAGGCAGAGGACGCCAAGGCGCCGGCGCGCGCGCGAAGTGGGTACAGCTTTGACAAAGGCTGACAGATGGAGTCATGGGTCAAAGACAATCATGATACTCCAAAGAAGGTGCTAGGAGCTACTCCCCAAAGTGCGCATTGGTTTTGGTTCGCTGAACATGGCATGAAAGTTACATTACCCTGAAAGTTTGACCCCCCGTAAAAGCGGCCAGTGCAACAATCGACTGGAAGAACCAAGGTTGTTGTTTTTTCCACGAACAGCAGCGGATTAGCTAGCAACTGCAACCGAAGGCGGTGAAGGATCTGCAGGCGGCCATTGCTGAGAAACGGTTTCTCCTTTTGGTAGCCCTGAAAACTGAACCTGCTGGGACCCTTGGGGAGGCTCTACGTTTTTCTTTGAGCAAATCAGTTGGTCTGATTTCAAGCGAACTTAGAGAAGTGATGCTTTGGGGCAACGTGTTATGATTAAGTTATGCTTTTGTTTGACCCCTTGCAGGCCCACAGTTCATTGCTTTATGTCCTTTTCCTTTCCTCTTTCTTCAGGGGTCCCTATATTTCCTTTTTGAGAAAAGTTTGCGGGCCTCGGGAAAAGTCTTGGGTCGAATTATTCCCTTGCAACAATTGCAGCAGACCTCAAAGCCTCCGGGCCCTCGGTTTTCTTCCAGGCACGCAAGCGCTTCGCAATAAGGCAGGTTGCCCTGTCATTGGGGACCTGCTCACTTTGGTTGCAGACATTCGCATTTCCATCCCTTTGCAAGGGGATACCGTCGAGTCACAGTGGACTAGACGGAGGTTTCACAAAGAGCGCCTTCGGGCGCCGCGCTAAGGAGCACGGACTCGGGCTGCGCTCACGTGCAGTCCGAAGAAAGAGACGGCCGGTTTTAATCGTCGCCTTTTTGGCCCATGGAAGCTGCGTATTTTCAGGGGAATAGGGAGCCCTGTTCTTCTCTCTTCTCCTTTTATTCCCTTTCCTTCGCTTCAATTGGTTTGCTTTCAATTGCTTCCTTTCAATTGCTCTGCTTTCAAACGACTTTCTTTCAATTGCTTTCCTTTCAAGCGCTTTCCTTTCAATTCCTTTCCTTGTCTGCCCCTCCCTCCTTTCCTTTTCCCTTCCTTTTCTCTTTTCTTCTCTCTTTCCTTCCCTTTTCCTTCCCTGGCTTTTTGAAACCACACAAACCACACCGCGAGTTTATGGTCTATCCACCGAAAGTCCGAGGGTTGCGCGTGCAAAGTGAAAACACGAAAAGGACGCCGAGTTGCTTGCCGCATGCTGCGCAGGAGGCACCTACGTATTGGACTCTGTGGCGCACAGAGGAGGGCAAGAAGCCCAGTGCAGTTGTAGTCATTGAGGCACGCTTTTACATATACTTGGAGCTCGAGCACTGTTCAGCGCGCTGAAGCTTGGCAGCTTCTGACTGCTTGCTCCCAGGTAAATTTTACTTCCACAACGAAGACACCGACAAGACCGCCTGGGATCTTCCTCCTGGTGGCGTGGCGTGGGCCGCAGCCCCCCATCTGACAGCCACATGTCCAGGGGTGGGTGGGGCCTGAATTTCAGTCATTTTTATACTATGGTCCCTCACAAACTATTTATTTTAAGGCTACGTTTGTCCCATATTGATTGCTGTGGAACAACTAAGATCGCACATGTTGAGTTTGTTCTACTCCTTCCTTGCATTCGGCACGACCTTTGAACGCATGTTCCTCTGAAGAAACACGTGTTACTCGTTTGGTGTCACAATGGCGCCAACGGTATTGTGGAGCTGATTTGTAGATGAAAACGCAGGTTCGCAAGAGGCATACCTGTGGCTTCCTGGAGGGTGCATTTTTCTGCTGCTTGGTTAACAGCAAAGTTTTCCCCATCGAGATGGCATGCTTTTTGGCGAAACGACATTTTGCGGCAATTTTACCCGTCTCATTGGGCGACCTTCGGAGTGGCATGCTTTGAAATGGCCGTTTTGAAGACAAACGGCGCTTTCGTTCTTCGCGAAGACAAATGTCTTTTCGCAAGCGGCAAAAAACCACCTTCCGGAAGTCGCAGGTATGATCATACTATCTGTAGCACACGCGTGTCACAGCGGCACAAGAGGAGTGATCTTGCTTGAGCATCGGTCATCCAGTTGGGGCACACATTTTTTCCGGGTGTTTTTGCGCTTGAACACATCGGCCCCCGACATGACAAATCCCATGTGCACATGGTGGCGGAATCGCTTCGCTGTGCAGGTCTGTTTGGACGAGGCCTGGTCCAGCCCGCTTCTGGAGGGGTGCGTACTGGTTTTGGTCCAAGTTGGTGACTTGTTTTGATCCTCATGTTTGCTTTCTTGCACGGCCGCGCCAGATATGTGTGCGGCGTTAGAGCAGCGTGTTTCGCGAGACCAGCAGTGACAGGTGAAAGTGACCCAGCAAGCGAGGGTCGAAGAGTGTGCTTCCCGACCCCCTCATCCCCGCCTATGTTTGCCAGTAAAATCAAGAGAGTGTTTTTCCGACTCCACCTCAAGCCCCGACTATGTTGAGGTAACGACCAAAATGAAAAGGCCAATGAGCAAAAGCACGCAAACGGGGAGAAATCGGCGACCCAAATGTGTGAAAGCTTCTTGAGTTCAATGTCCAGCTGGAGGACGCGCTCTCCATGTTCTTGGAGCAGGACCTCCGCCCGGGCACGGAGGAGATCCTGGCGTGGCGACGGGGGTGGGGGCCAGGCCCTTAGGCCCGCTCATCTTGGCTGGACCAAACGGCGCAAAGCGTAGCGCGCCCTTCACATGCCCCATAATGCACCATCCAATCCCAGTACAACACGATGCAACCTTCTCCAGACAACCTGCTTCAGTCGTTTATGTGGATCAGAAACTGCAATTGAACAAAAGCAATTGTTCAATTCAATGAGCCAATCCGCTGGAATTGAACATCCGGTTGACATGTTCAATCCTAGCACCCCTTAAGAGACGCCTTCAGAAGTTGAGCGCAAATCAATTCGGGACAGATTCGTGCACTGAACCTCTTGCTCAGGCAGTGGTGCTCCCCGCCACCCTCGGCGGTTATCCGGGACTCACGCACAGAGCGGCGCCTTGGCGGCGTGAGAGGGACGCACATCGCCGCGCGATTGCTCAAGCAACCCGATTTTTGAAGCAGCCATATCCTTTCTACCTTTTGCCCACCTGTGCATCTTCGTGGCACAAATCCAAGGTCCCTTGCAGTGTTTGGCCATCCATGTTTTGAACAAAGTAGTCGTGCAAAGACCCCCTCCCCCAACCGCCCTGGAACTGAGCAAAGGGGTGCGGACAAATGGATTTGGGCACTGTTGGGTTTCCATTTCGTGTCCCTTCAGAGATAAAACGGCTCCAGGACCCATATCTAACAGAAACCTAAATTTAAACAATCGCAACAGAGACTCCACGCACTTTCTATTTTTTTGCGGGCCTAAACATCCTTGAACAACCAAGCGGAACAATTATAGCGGGAGCTATGCGAGCGCGTTGAATCAGAAAACAGCATTGGACTTAGAGTGCATAGGGCGCATGGGATGTTCAATGGTTTCCAGAGTGTTTCCAAAGTGGAAAGCATTTGGCCTGTTCTTTCTCTTCTGAGCCTTGGGCAGTTCCTCAATGGCAGCGAGCATGATGGCAACTGGGTTTTGGGCGGAACTGTTTAAGTCACCAGGCCTCGATTGACCCTTTCTTTGTTGATAGCAGGGAGGAATGCCTGCTAAGACTCATTCCCCTTTGCCCCAAGGATCGTTTAGCCCGCCGCTTTGGTTAACGCCGCTCCTGTTGGTTTTGGCTTCGGGCAAGGTCGTTTTCGTACGAGACGAGTCTGGAGGCACCAGGGGCTTTGGCTGCGATCTCTGTGGGCTGGGCCGGTCGATGCAGGTTCACTTTGGCAAGCCATCATGGTAACTGATGAAAGGGCCGACCCCAAATGTTGGTGACCCACCAGAATGGTAGAACAATTTGGGGGCCAGAGCGGCCTTTCCCAAGTTTAGGTCGGGAGACGACCAGCCCCGAAATGACAGTGATGGCGCGGATTTACAAAGCTCAGCTTTATACATTCCAGAATGAGTACGCTGGGTTGCTAGGCTTTTAAGGTTGGGAGGTCCGAGGACAGGTTTAAGGCTGTGCCTGTCTCTTACCTGGGGGTCCGGTGACAATTGCAAAACACACGTTTACTGCAGATTCCAGTCTCATGGCGCGTTCTTGTCGGCATGTGTCCCAGAGTGAAGGCACTGTGTTTCCCGCACATCTGTAGGACATCCCATCTTCTCCATTTGAATCAGCATTGCTGGAGCTTCCTTTGAGATTTTGACGGCGGGGAACAAGACTATATTTTAGGGGTCCCTGATTAAAGGCACGTTGGTGGCCCCTGGATTGTGGGATTGATTGTGGGCAGTTTTTAAACAAGAGACATGTAGAACATTTGAGTTTGGGGAAGCGCCCCAAATCAAACGACAAAGCCTAAAGCTTCGCCAGCATCACCTGGGCTGTCCTTATTTAACGAGATAAGAGGACATTGCGCCGGCCGTTTTTCCCGAAAGCATCGCGAAGGGTTCTTCCGTGCGGAGCCCTTGGACAAGTTACACAGACAAGTTGCACAGAGCCAAGTTACTTAGAGCCAAGTTACATAGAGCCAAGTTACATAGAGCCAAGTTACATAGAGCCAAGTTACATAGAGCCAAGTTACATACATAGAGCCAAGTTACATAGAGCCAAGTTACATAGAGCCAAGTTAGAGCCAAGTTAGAGCCAAGTTACATAGAGCCAAGTTACATAGAGCCAAGTTACATAGAGCCAAGTTACATAGAGCCAAGTTACATAGAGCCAAGTTACATAGAGCCAAGTTACATAGAGCCAAGTTACATAGAGCCAAGTTACATAGAGCCAAGTTACATAGAGCCAAGTTACATAGAGCCAAGTTACATAGAGCCAAGTTACATAGAGCCAAGTTACATAGAGCCAAGTTACATAGAGCCAAGTTACATAGAGCCAAGTTACATAGAGCCAAGTTACATAGAGCCAAGTTACATAGAGCCAAGTTACATAGAGCCAAGTTACATAGAGCCAAGTTACATAGAGCCAAGTTACATAGAGCCAAGTTACATAGAGCCAAGTTACATAGAGCCAAGTTACATAGAGCTAAGTTACATAGAGCCAAGTTACATAGAGCCAAGTTGTATAGAGCCAAGTGGCACAGAGCCAAGTGACACAGAGCCAGGTGGCACAGAGCCAAGGTTAGGTAGAGCTTGCGTAGAGCTTCGGCGTAAGCAGCTATGTAAGTTAGTTCAGGTTTCTAAGGCGCCGGGGCGGGAGTTTGATCATCGCTCGGGATTGCGACCCTCTGCGGAGATCCGCGTGGTCGATATTAAAAAACTGAGGACTTGTCACGATTTCTGCAAGCCGCGCGCGACCCTCTGCGGAGATTCGCGTGGTTCAAAAACTGAGGACTTTTTACGATTTTTAGCATGCGCGCGCGACCCTCTGCGGAGATTCGCGTGGTCGAGGTTAAAGAACTGAGGACTTTTTACGATTTCTGCGGTGCGCGCGCGACCCTCTGCGGAGATTCGCGTGGACGAGGTTAAACAACTGAGGACTTTTTACGATTTCTGCAAGCCGCGCGCGACCCTCTGCGGAGATTCGCGTGGTCAAGGTTCAAAAACTGAGGACTTTTTACGATTTCCGCGGTCCGCGCGCAACCCTCTGCGAAGATCCGCGTGTTCGAGGTTAAAAAACAGGACTTTTTACGATTTCTGCGGCGCGCACGCGACCCTCTGCGGAGATTCGCGCGGTCGAGGTTAAAAAACTGAGGACTTTTTACGATTTCTGCGGTGCGCGCGCGACCCTCTGCGGGGATCGTGCGTGACGAAGCGCTCTCGCTGTGGCGCCGTGCGAATTTGTTGCTCGCGAATACGGGGCATGTCTAAATGAACCCGGGGCTGCGTGGGGCGTACGTGGGGCTGGAGCGGCCTGCCCATTCAGCTCGCAGGTAGATGAGGCGCCGCCCGCGGCACCGGCGCTGGTGCCGGCGGACGCGGACGCGGACGGGGAGGTGAGGGGGGGGTTTTGTTGTTCTCTTGCGGGCGCTAATGGGCGCCTCGTTGGCGACTCAAAACATAAATCCATTCCGAACCACAGACCACATACGTATGTCCAACTCACCTGGGCGACTTCTCACAGTTCGCTGTCCCCAAAGCAAAGAGAACTGCTGTGCAATCGCTACCCAGAATTCAGGCAGACTTTGCCAGCGCAAGAAAAAAGGGTGCAATCTTGCAAAAGGTCCCTAGGAAGGAACTAGCAAAGATCCCACAACGAATCGAACATAGCAAAGTAAAGATACGCTACCCTCAACTACAATTGTTCAGTAATGCAACTCAATTTATTTAGTAAGCCTATTTTAAACAGCGGCGTCAGCTGAGTGGCGTGTCGGCCAGGAGATGTGCCTCTCCATCATGAGCTGTTTGCAGCTGGCTTCTCAGTTCCCCGTTGTGTTTTCAAAAGGATTCGTAGCTTCGATTCGAACTGTTTCTGTAGTCAATTTTGGGGTCCCAAGTCCTTCAGGGTAACCAGACGTTGAGCTGTTCAATGACTCGAACTCCATGTTTGGTCCCCCAAAAGACGGACATCCGCCCCAAAAAGGGGTTCACTGGGCAACTGGGTTTGAGAAGATCGCACCAATGGCCCATCAAGGATTGCCTCCTCATCTTTCGATTTGCTCCTGTGGGTTGTCCATTCAGTCTGGCACCGGGTAGTTGAAAGGCGTTGTTGTTGTTGTTGTTGTTGTTGTTGTTGTTGTTGTTGTTGTTGTTGTTGTTGTTGTTGTTGTTGTTGTTGTTGTTGTTGTTGTTGTTGTTGTTGTTGTTGTTGTTGTTGTGGTTGTGTTGTTGTGTTGTTGTTGTTGTTGTTGTTGTTGTTGTTGTTGTTGTTGTTGTTGTTGTTGTTGTTGTTGTTGTTGTTGTTGTTGTTGTTGTTGGCTGCAGGGTGTGCCGACCTCGTGCCGAGGATGAAGTTGGACGAAATTCGTGCGAGCTTCGAGTGGTGCCGGCATGTATCCATGTGTGGGCTTCGTGTGACGTCAGTTGACGTCTTCGGGTTCACATATTGGGCCAGCGTTTTTGTGAATGGACTTCCTGGCGCAATAGGCAGTGAACAAGAAATGGAAGGAACCCCCATAAAACAATTCCCACATTCCAAACTGAGCACCAGCAAGTTGAGGCGACATGTAGTTCTGTTCCTGGGAGCAGCGAAGAGCGTAGAGACCCGCGCGGACTGGTTGGTCGTTTGCTTGCCTGCTTGCTTGGTCCATTGGCTCTGGCTGGTTGGCTGGTTGGGTGGGTGGTGGGTGGTCCACCATTTTTGGGTTGCCCTTCATCCACTGGCCAGCGGGCAGCCAGCTGACAGTTTCTATCGACTTGGGGCTTGGGACATGTGGTGACTCAATTTCCTGCGCACATCACGCGGTTCACAGAAAAACTGTAGTCCAGTTGTTCAGTGGCACCCTTAACTCCCTTGTTGTTGGGTTTGCCAGCAGGCATCCAGTTTTTGTGTGTGTGTGTGTGTCCTTACTGGTTGCAAGGAGACTTTTGCAAGCAGAAGTTCCCAGCAAAGTTTAAGTCAGCCAGATGGTCAAAACACCCCTTATTTGTTTGGATGGGACAATCAGAAGAAAGGGTCTTGAGGGAACCATGACCATGACCTAACTCTGGGAGAACAGAGTATACCAAGAGTATCTCTTCTGAAAATGCGGCGATGGATGTGAATGGGGCAACAGGCAGCCCCCTCGAACAAATGGTTGGACCTTTCTTCCCCCGCGCGCCAGGAACCAGCTGAAGGACCTGCTGAACTTGGAAGCGCCATTGGATGGACCTGCGACCAAGGCCTATCGGGGCTCGTTTCAAAGGGGCTGCTGTTTTGGGGGGCCTTCCGGGGGGGCCTTTGAAAGGGCCCCTGACAGCCATGGGAATGGTGAAGTCGTATTTAGTAGTTATGTAGTGTTTCATTCATGGTTCATTAATTCATTCATTCATTCATTCTTCATTCATTCATTCATTCATTCAGTCAGTCAGTCAGTCAGTCATTCATTCATTCATTAATTCATTCATTCATTCATTCATTCAGTCAGTCAGTCAGTCAGTCAGTCATTCATTCATTCATTCATTCATTCATTCAGTCAGTCATTCATTCATTCATTCATTCATTCATTCATGCATTCATTCATTCATTCATGCATGCATGCATTCATTCATTCATTCATTCATTCATTCATTCATTCATTCATTCATTCATTCATTCATTCATTCATTCATTCATTCATTCATTCATTCATTCCCTTCCTTCCTTCCTTCATTCATTCATTCATTCATTCATTCATTTATTCATTCATTCCCTTCCTTCCTTCCTTCCTTCATTCATTCATTCATTCGTTCGTTCGTTCGTTCGTTCGTTCGTTCATTCATGTGTTTGTTTTTTCGTTCATTCATTCGTTCATTCATAGCGATGATTTAGTGTTGTTTCAACGACTCGAACCGCACTTAGTGGTTGCTCAGCAGTCAACCCAGCAAATAGGGGCTATACCTGGGGTTCAAACTCACACACCACGTCAATTCCTCAACCCCCATGCTACTGGACAAAGGCCCAGGTTGGGACCTGTTCTTCAGCCATTCAGAAGCGACAAGCATTTCAATAGCATGCAATGAGACTGCCTGCTGTGCGCGCTCAACACCAAGCTTTCCATATATATATATATAGAATTACATATAGATACATATATGTATAGGTGTATATACATATACATATATACATATAGCCCCCTGATGGATCCTGGTTTTAGTGCCTTCCGGGGATGATAAATCTAGAGTCTAGGGATGATAAATCTAGACGCATGCAGGCTTTGTCAGGTGGCAGATGTTCATATCATTGCTTTCATGACATGTGTATGTACTTCTGTATATACACATATCGCACCCCCCCCCCGATTTGTTTTGCCACAGAATCATCAAGGCATGAAGCGCTGGAAAACACTGCTTAAAGGTGGAGTACCAAATGTAAATGTGTGTATATATATATACACATACATGCACATATATATATATATACATATATATATATATATGTGTGTGTAGGGACATCATCAGGAATAAATCCTAGGAACAGATTCTGGCATTGTTGTTATAAAAAAGAGAGCGGGCCCTCTGAGAACTGCCTTGGTGTGAAATCTGACAGCAACATATATGCGCATGCACATATATAATATGTATTTTTGATACACCGGGGTTCTGCACCGGGGAACTGCCTTGGGTATCTCCCCATCCCTGAAGTTCTCAAAAAGCCGCGGGTCAAGGGTGTGCACGCAGGTCAAAGTGGAGGAGCCCGTGGAGCAGGCAAGGCCCATGGGTGTATCCCTTGCACGTGCTTTAACATCTTGAATTGAACTCACCCCGTTCATTGTGGCACTGCTCTCTTCAGGGGCTTTGCGAGGAGTGGAGCCACCCGATAGTTGGTTTGATCTTTTCATATGTGTGCGTGATCTTCCCGGATCGCCGAATTGTTGCCTCCCGGTCAAAAGGCTATTTTTGCTGTTGTTTGTCTCTCTGTCTGCTTGCCTGTGCGTTCGAAACAGGCAGGAACTTCGATCCAAATGCACAGGGTAGGTTTAGGGTGAGTATAGTGCCACAGCCAAGCACGTGCAACATCGGCAGTGTTGAACTGTTGCTCATCCTGAACCCGTCCATTCTCAAGTTGTGCACCAGCGGGCGTCTGCTTGTCGGAAATAGGCACATAGATGGGACCCACGAGCTTAGGCAAAACCTGAATACTTTTTCGGTATCTCCGGTATCCCCACTGAAAGAAGCCCGGAGCAAGCTGGCTTTGGGGGCAACGCGAGACTTGGCGCTTCTTTTGGTCGCAGCTCCTTTGACAGGCGCAGCGGGACTACAAGGACTCGCTTGAGCGAGTTGCGAATATCAGCTTGACCCCAAACCAAGCAGCGGTTGACACATCATGGGCTCCCATTAGATTGCGACTGACTGCCATCACTAGCAGACGTGATGCGTTCAGGTCCAGGTATTGTAGGCTGCAGGGTGTCCCTTTTATCGTTTAGGGTTTTTGATGTTTTGCGCGCCCCACGGACTTCGTCGTCCTTTTCCTTGTCATCCTCGAACGCTGTCTTTCAGGTAACCCTTGGTGATTGGTGGTTTGGGATTTGAACCTCTCCTGAACGAACAAACCACCAATCCATACCACCGACTAGAGGGAAGCTCGCTTGTCCAGGACTTCCTGTGCGACGTGAGGGAGGAGGAGGAGGCAACGGGATGTCGCAATGGCGCAGTACTACAGTTAGGGTAATGCAGTTCGGCATGGCATTCAATACAAGCATGCAACGTCAAAACAGAGACATACAATACTACAGTACAACAGCATATAATATCAATGCCACTACTCAACTATGATAAAGCTACCGTAGCTTCTAATCTTGCACGGTGATGCAATATTGCAGCACGCCCTAATCCCATGATAACGTATTGATGTGATGCTACTTTTGGATCATGAATGTGGAGATGCATTGATGTTGGTATGCGTGCAATCACACGAATCTCATGTCTTGATTTATTACGAACATGTATGCTCAGGGGTTCTGAGAGGCACCACTAAAACCATGCCCTGAAGCACGAGTCCCTTTGAACATAATTGTAATCACTCACAGGTTCGCAATTAGAAAACATGATTCCAACATTCTGAGGCAGGAACATAATTTGCGGAATTGAAATGTATACCAAAACGCACATGGGGATGCTGCAAGGAAGGACCAAAGTTGGAACATGAGGAACCACCAGAATATCTGGAGCACAAACAAGTACAGGGGCTGTGGGAATTGAGTGATATATGGGACACAATTATTGCCTGCGGAGGTTTGGAGTCATTGTTCTTTCATGGTGATCCCGGTATCCTTTGAAAGGCATGTTGGGAATTGGAAATGATACGTTTAACACCGCTTCACTTCAAAAGAGAGATAACACGGGGAAGTCCCGGAATTGTTTGTGCCGCGAAGTTGCAAATTGTCAGGATGAATGTCCGAGCATTATGGGTTTCCCAGAATCGGCTTTCTACACATCTTGCTTCTAATGTTTTTCTACCTTTGTTCAACGGCACTCAAGTCATTCTTGAAATCGTGATTTCCCTCTACTGATTCAACAAAAGTTCAAGGCGAGTGGTACCTCGCAGGGTGGGACTCGAAACAATAATTCCCTGCAAAATACAACAACAGGGCACGACTCCCCTGAGTTGCCACTTCATGAAGTGACGTGGAAAGCAAGCATAAACAGAAAGAAAAGCCGGGCACTTGCCGTTTTTCAATTACTCTTCTCTTAGCAACAAGTAGGAGGGCAATGACTCCGGAAGACCCCTGAGGCATGAGGCAGCATTCCCCCCTCCCAGCATCTGGAATGAGAAGGACAGAATGGTTTCTGAGAGTCCCTAAACTTTCCCAACCCCTCCACTATGGAATGCCTCGCTGCCAGTCCTGGTGGTGGGAATTTGTGTGCATGATTGCGGCCTGAGCTTTAGGATGCACTATAGCATTGACACAGGTTGCCACTTTAAGTGCTGGAACCACTCAGTATCCAAGCTTCTCCTGTCCTTTCAAAGTTGCCATTGGCTGGAGCGATAAAGGACCCCGCAATGCGGCATGGAACCAAACATGTTTTCGGTGTGCTTAAAGTGGCGTTGTACATAGAGGGGGGCTGGCTTAGTGGTTGCGGGTAGCTGGGGGAGGGAAAATGCCTCCCCCTGCCAAAGCCCCAGCCAGCCTTGCGAAATGTCCGACAAAAAGGAATGGAGTTTGCATGTCCCATTGGTTTTTACTTGTTTTTGTTAACTCCTTTTCATGGGCTTGCAAATTAGAAGAAGCAACCAGTTGTTTGCCTCAGTACATTCAATTCAAGTCCCAATTAAAATCCTGGCCTACCTTAGTTCTAATTCAACATCCGATTGTTAGTCGAATTGCACCATGTTCAAAACCCAAGGCGTTGCAATTCTACAAGTGCCGAAACCTGCATGCTTCTTGAAGTTCTTTTGGTTTTTGACTCCTTAAAGGGCAGGCAAATTAGAAGAAATGACCAACTCTTTGGCGTTAGGACTTTAAGTTTTTGCCAACTAATGGGTTTTGCATTAAACCACTAAACGTTAAGCCTTTAGCAGGGGAGCAGCAAGCAACCGAGAGCTTGTCTGTTGGATGCTGAGTTTTGTTTTGATTCCAATGCCGAACAGGAATGACAAGGAAAATGCTGAGACAATTGCAGCTACTCTGATTTACAAGAGCAGCAGCACAAAGCAGCATGTTACAACAATCCATGTAGTGGACGAACCTGTTGGATGATTCAGAAGTGGCAGTTGCAATCATTCAGACCAATCTTCAACAAACTCACAAAAAACACTACCACAGTCCCTCAATCTCAGCGTAATTAGGCAGTAGCTAGTTTAAATTGCCGGTAAAATGTCTATGCATTTTTAAGTTACTGAGTTGATGATCTGGCGATCGGCTTGCCGGATATCGTTACGCGCCTGATTATGGGCTATGACAACTGCCCGTCCGCCGTTGTGCCGGCATCGATATCTCACTGATGCTCTTGCACTTTTTGTTCTCTTTTAACCGAATTGCTCGTGCAATTTGTCGCTTTTCGGCTTGCTCTGAATGTGATCACACTTCCTGGCTTGGCCGTGTCTGGGCCATTGGCTGTTGCAGCGGCCTTCCCCCGTTGAGTGACACTTGTCCATCTTGGGTTTGGAATCCTTCGGCGTAGCGCGCGTGTGCAACTCACACACACACACCCGCACCAACACAGACACACACACGCTTCCAATTCTCAATTGGTTAGTTGTGTACCCGCTTTTTGGGGACTGCCTGGAAAAAGACGACGTGCAATGGGAGGGGTGGGTGGGCTGGCAGGGGCGTACGTTTGACACCCGCCGCTCCGCCGCGAGCGAGAGAGAAAACCATGCAAGCCCGAACAAGGCTCCAAGTGCTTGTGGAACATGTTTGTTTTTCCCCCCGGACTTGCGAATGTTTGCGGCACAAGCAACAAGTGCACCAGACCCCTTGCCAGGAAGAACTTCCTGATAGTCTTATGAGCCCTACACTTCACGGTTTTCAGGCAGTGGCCACGTCCGCCAAAGGCAATGTCCGCCATTGATCTTAATTGGGAGCACCCGATTTCACACCCACATCCTTCTTACTTTATCACCAAGGATAAAACAGCCTCAGCCGCATCGCCCGAGCCCTGCCGAACGCGCGAACTCTCAAACTCCCGTTCCGCGTCAAGAGCTCGGGAGATGGCCGCTTATGTACCTGAACAAGGAGAAAATTAGGCGCGAAGAGCGGAACAAGTGGGAAGACAAAGGGTTTCTGGCATCTTGTTTTGCGCATGAACCTGAGGTGTGAAACAGGCAGTAACTCGGGGTCAAGAGTGAACAAGCTGCGATGCACACCACGCACTGCTGTTTTGGTCGAAAGGCAGGGATTGGACGGAGCCGTAAAGACCCCCAAAACGAATGCCCCAACCATTTTCCTCATGGTTTCCTTGAGGTTCCTAGGTTCCCCAAAACCGCGAGGATTTTCTGATCGAACCAGCAAGCATTGGGCTCAACTGTTGACAGAAAAGTGCTGCTCGCTCGCTCCAACGATCGGCAAGGTGCGGAAGCCTCGTAGCAGGAGCTGGGGGTTGGAGAGTTTCGGGTTGAAAAGTTGGGTGGGGGCTTGACCAAGCCAGCGGGTATGCGAAGCCAACAAACACGATTTTGTCCGGAAAACGAATGCTCCCCCAAAGTTCTTTGCGCCAGGCTTCCTTAGGAGCTGTGTTCTGCTTGGGTCAAGGGTTTCCCTTGACAGAAAGCAAACTCGGTTCAGTCCAAACATGCGGGGGGCAGTCACTTGCACCAACTTGTCACCAAGCAAATCCAAAAACTCAGCGGGGTCTTCATTGGTTTTGTGTAGACCCTCTGAGTACCAGGTCTTGTTTTTGACTCTGGTTGAGCTGCCGCAACTGTGCACAGTTCTTTTTCAGCTTCCAACAGCCAGAAGCATGGGTGATTGTTCTATCGGTGAAGTTATGTCAAGAAACCACCTAGATAGCCAAGTCGCATTTTTTCCACAGACTGTGTCGTAAAAATGAGCAACTTGACTCTCTGTGTAAAACATGGCATGGCAATTGACAGTTTTGCAGACCACCATAGTTGTTGGTCAACGTGTCACGCTTTGTAAGTTCAAATTGAGGATGCATGGCAAACAATCCAGTTCTTGTTCCCATGTCGGCAACTCCATGCATGGTTTTTCTCGCGTTGAAGCTCATGGCCGGTTTGCCGTTCTACAAACCCGGTTTGACCAGCATTACAGGGGTTCTCTTTCAACGGCTGACCGCGAGCTATTTTGTCTGAACCATGGTCTGAACCATTTTTTTTTCTTCTCCAAAACGGCCCCTTCTGGAGTATGGACTTTTTGCATTAAGTGTCCAGGGCTTTCTTTTGGGTGCAAACCCTTCTTTTCTTTTAGAGTATGGAGCCTTTTTGGATCTTGGACTTTTTACAGCCCCATTTTCAGTAGTCTCTTTTGTTTATGGAGAACCCCCTTTTAGTGAGAACCGAAGCCGATTCGTCCTCGGGTCACGCAACAATATTTTTTTTCGAGTCCACCCGCAGGAGGTCTCTCTTTGGTGGCCAGCGGTTTCTTCTTCGCCGCGATCTTCTTGCCATGGTGGGACGCCGGCTCCGCCAAGGACACCCAAAGCCAAGAATCCGAGAGCAGGGGTCCACATGATGCATTTGGGTGACTGCTAGGGCTACGCAGGTTTTTCGTTTGGGATGTGATTAAATGGAAGTCAAAAGGAAGTCACCTGCAGGGGTCCCCGATTCTACTCCCCAAGCGGGATAACTAAATTGTGTCAAAACCCTCCACACGGAGCTTGGACATCAGAGGCCCTCGGCCGGGCGATCAAGGTGTTTTCTCTCAGGAGCTCTTTAATCTGGACAATGCGCCACCTGCCGGGGCTTCAGGAGGGGCCCCGGGAGGGCGACCCCACTGCAATAAATCGGATGAATGAAGCTGCGAAGCAAAAATCGTGTCCGTCCACGTACTTAACCACGTCTCCATCCACTTGCACCGGCTTCTCGGGGAAGGGGGGAGAACAGCCCCAGAAAGCAAGCTTTGCGCACTAAGTACATGAATGAAGGCCGATATGTACTGTCTATGAGAGTACATGGCATGGTCCACACTCCCCAAAACACAATTAGGAGTTGGGGGTGGCATGTGTTTCGCACTGTCATCTTGGCATTTCTTCAAAGCTCTCTCAAGTATCGCTGTGTGTTTTAGTTGGCAGTAATCTTTCTTATACCATTTCTTTGGGTTGCCCCCATTTTGACACATGCTCATATTGTATTTTTTGATTAGCGTTTTTGTTGCCAGAAAGTAAGTCCATGGGTTTGGGGTCCCACTCCTCAAACTGTCTTAGTTGCGGGGTTGGAGGGGCTTTAGGGTCACACTCTGCGAAGCCAAGGGAACCACGTTGAAATTGATAGCGTCTTAGGAATGACCCGGGGTATTTTCAGATGTCGGGTTGTTTTTTCACAATGAACCAGCCTGTCCACTTGTTTAAGATGCCCCACTTGCTCCAAACATTGTCTTGGGGATGGGTGTCTCCACTTTGATCTGACAGATTTTTGGGGCTCCTGGGTATGTGTCTTAAAAGACCAAGGTCAAAAGAGCGCCCTTCCCACGAAGGCAAACACAAGAACAAGGGCACCGAAAAGGGACTTCCCCCAAACCAACAGAAGCAACAAACAAACAAAAACACGTTTTTTTAAGAAACAAGCAACGAAAAACCCCCCCCCCCCCCCCCCCCCCCCCGAAAAAAAAAATGGGACATTGAGCCTCAAGAAAAAAGAATCGCCCCGAGCAAAAATCCCGTTCTCCGAGGCCATCGCCACCCTCTGGGGCTTCCGGTTCCTGAACCCTCCGCCATCCCCTCGGAGCGGGAGGTGAGGGGAGGGGGGAGGTGAGGTGACCGGCCACTTTGGCTCACTGGGCCAAAAATTCTTTGCTCACTGGCGCACCTAGGCCTTTCTTTTTTCGGTCTGGTAGGAACTGAAAACGTGCACACTAAAAAGGTTTCCCCCGAATTGGTCTAGTGGGAACTGGACGGATGGGTGTCCTCCTCACGGCGCCCCCCCTTGCGCCAAATGGGGGACGTGTTAGACCTGTTGGTTCCCGTTTCTTGAGCCGCAGGCGCCTTTTCTTGAGACGCGCGCGGTTTTACTGTGCCCCTTATCTTTGGTCCTAGACGTCACCTTGGCCCACAAGTCGTTGGTCGTGTTTGCCGGCACCAGGGCAGGGAGTCCGGGAGTCATCCAAATGCCAGTCAGGAAAGCCAGCCCCCAAACACAGGTACTCCAGCAAATGCTCTGAAAAACCGGAGATTTGGAGATGTTTATGCAGCGGCAAGCGCTGACCACAGTTTGGGAGCAGAGGCATTGAATGAGGTTTCAGTGAAGCGGAGGATAAACAACAACCGGGCTTCGATGGCTCTGAAACCCCTTTCTCCCTAGCAAATATCCCCTTAGTCAAGCATCCCCTTTGGCACAACATGTTGACCCAAGCTCACATGCATGCCGGGGGGTATGCCCAATGTGAAAAAAACACCTTCGTGCCCATTTGCCCTTGCCGGAAGTCTGGTTTGGGCATCAGGCATGGTCCATTGGAAAATATGCCCCCCTGGAAGCATGAGATTGTACTTGCAGAAGGGATAGATTCTCTTTAGTGCCCGTGAACATAAAAGCAAACTTCAGCGCACATGCAAGGGCTTCATTCGCCTTACTCCAGCTTTGCTCCGTAGTTGGGATGGAACGCACATAAAAACCGAGGCGCGGAAAAGACAGACCAAAGGCTTGCCCGCAAGCCACCAGGGATCCATGGTTTACCCCGAATTCCCCGAACGGGTTCGGAAAGAATAGTAGAATGGCGAGCTTCCCGCGATTTGGAGCCCAAGGCGTGGAGCTCGGGTGATTTCATTTTTCGCGAAGCAGCTTTCGGTCAAAGACCAGAGGGACAAACCAATTCCGCTCGGGAAGAAGCACATTTTGTCCCGGGGCTCACATGTCCATGCTTTGTGGTGAACCCTTGTTCAATGACTATAAAACGTGGGTGACTAAAGTAGCGGGATTGCTGGCTGCGTCCAAAGAGCGCACACCCATGCGTCGCAGAGTTGGGCGAGTTGGTTATAGAAAGGGGACCAAAATTATGCTGTAGTCTCGATGTAATGTCGACCCCAGATGAATCAACCTGTTGGAGTATTATGGGGGCGCCCCTCACCCCCTCCCACCAAAAAAGGCAAGCAAAGGATTTCCCCCTTCAAAGGGACACTCGTTCTTCCAGGGCTTCATGCATCCTGGATTCGTTGGGACACCACCACCCCCCTCCCCCCCCCTTTGTCGGGGTTCGGGGCGGGGGGGGTTCACCGCTGAGGTCCTGGGTCACCTCGCCCCGGCCCCGAGCAGCCTCCACCTGGGCGGCGCGACGACTCCGAACTCCGAAATTCGAAAACGGAGCTGACGGTCGCCTAAAAGGGCCCCTTCTGTCATGAGAAGGGGCAACATGACCCGGCGGCGGCGATGAAAGTCATGTGAAAGCCATGTGACTGTGCTCATAGGATCAGACTTGCGTGGTGCTCATGAACGAAGTCCTCAGGGAATTGTTCGAGTGGTTTTGGGAACGAACCGCTTTCGGATCCCTTAAAAGGGAATGTCAGGGCGTCGTTCTTGAATTCCCTGAGAACAGGCTGGCTGGGAACTCTGCGAGCGCTGCTCAACTCTTTGAGTACTCATTTCGCACTCGGGGAATCCACAAGTGATCACAGGTGCATCAAACAGCAAACCCTAGACTGGGGCGAAACCTTCGGCATAACATGTTGTGGCTTGTTTTTTTTTTTTTTTTTTCTGGAAGCTTTTGTGAAAACCATAGTTCCGCGACCGTAGTTTGTCGTGTTTTCGTTTGGACTCTTTTCTTGGATCGAGGCTTTTGCCCGTGTCTCTGCAAAAGACGAAATGCCTTCCCTCGCCCCAAAGGACCAGGCGAGAAGTGCCGCTTTTCGCAAGGGGCACATGCGGTGAATGCCTAAGGATGGGTGTCAGTGATCAATAGCCACCATCGTTTTCTTGTCCAGACCTCCCGTTTAGCATGCAACAAGCCGTCGAGGTTTTGTTGGATTGGCCTTCCGGGAATGAGCTGACCCGAGTGTTATGGAAGGCCTCTGAATGCAAGTTCAGGTACCCGTTCTCGTTGGTGGTTTGGTGATTTGGGGATTTGGGGATTTGGGGATTTGGAGATGCAAATTCTGGTTCTTGTATGGGGTGGTAAATGGGAAACCATCCCGAACCTCCAAACCACCAAACCAAGCCACCAACTAGAGGGAGGAGGTTTTTCTCAGCGTTTCGTCCTTTGGGTTGTTGTGATTGGGTTGCTTCACAAGGGGGCAAAGCAGGAGCTGTTGTTCGACGTTTATTTTCTTTGCCGCATCTTTCCTGAGCCTTCCCTCTGCACCTACCTGTCTGAAGCATATGCCAAGTGACAAAAACCCGGCTTTGCAAAGTGCGTCCAGCTATCACTGTAGCAGGTAACCATTTGTGTTTTGCCTCAAGGTTATGATGAGTTGAACGAATCGGTTCCCATGAATTCCCATCGACAAAAGTTGGGCCTTTTAGCAGGCCTATTGCGAGCGCGACGCGCAGAGCTCGGTTCCGGTGCGGGCCTCTGGGTCTTAACTTGGAGTTCAGTTTGAGATCCTTGCTGAAGGGGGCCTCAGAAGTCGCCAGGCTGGGTCTACCATGAACTTAAATTCTTGACCGGTTGGAGCTTTCGGGGAAATCGGACATGTACTTTTCCCCCTGCCGAAAGTTGAACTGTTTCCAGCAGGGGCAATAGCCACAACAAATGGTGGAGGGAGTTAAAGAGAGTATTGATGGCAGTAGCACTGGTATTTGCAGCGTGGGAATGGCTTGGAAGCAAGAGAAAAGCATGCAGCAACTTGGCCCACAGATTTGTTCCGAAAATCCAATATGCTGAGCAAAGTCTGTAAAGCACTATCCTTTTGACCGCAGGTTCGGGACCTGTTGCCACGCTGCCTCCCTCAAAGTGGGCATGGTTTTTCCCTCGTAATGGCTACCGTTGGCTTATTTGTATCATCACACATACGTGCCGAATGGCCGTATGGCTCAAGTTTTGACCTCCCGTCAAGTAGGATTAGGACTCACGTGCGAGCACCATACACCGGCAGCTTCCCTCATCCTCGTGCCAAAAGGTCCGAGGCTGCTGGCGGCTGGGCGTAGGGGGTGCTCGGTGGTGAGACTGGGTTCTTTGACCTCTTCGTGAATCAGCCGTAACGGCTAGAAGCTATGGCTGGTGACCCGGTTGCGGGTCGTGACCCGCCACCTGCTCTTCATCGCCCTCGTGTTCTTCCGATGGCGTCTCCTGGGGCTTCTCATCGCGGGCCTGGCTTCGCAGACAACGAAGCCCCCGCCCGGCGTGATGCTGTCGCGCCCAATGCCCCCCCGGCCAAACAAGCCGGTTATGGTGATGGGCGTAGAGCCCAATCCCGGAGTCGTCCGTGGATCCTCTCCCAGGTCGTCTTTTTTGATGAGGATGCGGAGGCCCCGTTCCCCTCCGAGGTGCTTCAGATCGAGGATAGACCCCCTCAATAACAAGAAGGTCCCTCCAAATCATCAATCTCGACTACTCTTCCCTTCATGGCCGTTCAGTCGGAGAGTCAGGATGCTCGTCCAGCAGCACATCCAGGGGCTGCTCAATCTTGTTCCCTTACATGGGATCAGAAAAAAAAGCCTTGGGATCCAACGTCAGAGCCTGGGGCCCCTTCTCTCCGGCCACGACCTGGCGCCCTGATATCGAGCATCGAGTTCTGCGCTGGCCACGCAAGCCCCGACATGGTCAACATCAACAACCAGGCCGGCGGGCGGAGGGCCGTCTCGCAAAACACAGGGGCCGGGGGCGCCGAACCTTGGAGTTGGAGCTCAGGCTGCGCCCTTGCAGTTCTTGCAAATGGGCGTGCGCACTTACCATGAAGAGCGCCCTGGACAAGCGGATCTACGCCATTGTGCCTGCGCCGGGGACTTCTCCGATGATGTTCGCAGCCGGGTGGAGAACCGCCAGCAGGTTGGGCCTTGCTTTTGAACTTGGTTGCCTGCTGATCGGGATCTGTGCCTCCATAGCGGGAGGTCTTTCTTGCCTTGGGGCGCTTGTCATGGTGTTTACACCGGCAGGGAAGAAGCAACAACAAACGGCCGCAGATGAAGACTCTAGCTGATCAAGACACCGCGCCGACCGGAGACTGCGTCCACTGAGAGACGCGGTGCTGGCCAAGATGACCGCCGCTAGCGTGACGCCCCCGCACGACAGGTCGCCTTAACTGCGGCCCAAGAAGGGATGGGGTGAGCCTAATGTTGCGGCGTGGGTGCTAATCATCCGTACGAGTACCGCTGCTGCGGGAAATTCTCCATTGCCCTGCACCGCTGCTCCGGTGTTGATCGTGTTCCTCCAGGGCGCTGCCGTGCGCGCTGGAGATGGTCACCCTGACGGACGCACTAGAAGCGGGTCGTAGCCGAGTTTCACACTGTTCTTTTTGGTTTATCCATGTCTTTTTGATTCGTCAACTCGTACTCCCTCCATTTCGTGGTGCTCGTTCAGGTGCGGTGATCCAGACAGGACCCCCTCTCATTGCCACCGTCCTACTGCAATGCTTGAGAGGAATCTTCGCTTGGATCCTCCAGCATGCTGTTGCACACTCATGTGGCCCATTCGTCAGATAATCCTGTCGCCCCGCTATCGGGGTGGTGGCGGGACTTTAATTGGGGTTCAGGTGATGCCGGTTGGCTCACCTCTGAGTTGGCACTGGCGTTCTGGTTGTTTCCTTTCGTCGTGAACTCAACTCCTGCCACGCATCCTTTCTCTTATCCAGATATCAGATGAGGGGGCTGTGTTTAGTTCACGTGTTGTTTTACTATCTCACACATACGTGCTGAATGGCCGTATGGCTCAAGTTTTGACCTACCGTCAAGTAGGATTAGGACTCACGTGCGAGCGCCGTACACCGGCAGCTTCCCTCATCCTCGTGCCAAAAGGGCCGGGGCTGCTAGCGGCTGGGCGTAGGGGGTGCTCGGTGGGTTGTGCTGATATACTTGGGCTTGGTCAAGGACTTAATTCTCTTCAACTTGTTTTCCAACATCCGCAAACATCTTCTTTGTCTACTGTCACACCCTCAACCTGGTCACCTTTCACAGCTACCACCCGTTGTGAGACTGGGTTCTTTGACCTCTTTGTGAACAACGCTCTGGTCAATTGATTCCCTGGGCTACTTCATCTTCGCCCCCAAAACCGCACTTAAGAACCCCATATATACATGTTCAGTTGTGTCTAGACCCGTTCCATTTCTCACAGGGACCCCTGTTGGTCAGGGGTTGACATTGATGCCCTAAACAGTTTTGAGGCGCAAGTTAGCAAGATGTGTTAGCAGCTGGACTCCCAATTACCTAACAAACACTTCTGTGGGTTAGTGCTTTTGCTTAGCCTCCCTCAAAAAAACGGTTTTCTTTTGATTCCCTGAAAACCAGATGTACCCTCAACAAAAGGATGCCACCAATTTCCATGGATTTTTGCGCGGATGCTGATCGGTTCTTGCTTGGGTGGTGCCCGAGGCCCTTCCCACAATGTTCAACTTCCATTGGCCTAGCCAACCTCTTTGCGACAGGCCAAAATCAGCCAATGGCCCCTGTCAAAACAGCCCAAAAAAGCATCCAAATCCAGGGGCCATTGGTTATGCTCCCAAGACCGCGACTCCTTGTTTTGGTGTTCCGTCCTATGGATGCCATTTGGCAAGAGAGGGAACAAGACTCCTGGTTTGCCGCACTCTGCCATGGTTTATTTGCGGCGTGCAGTTGGTTTACTTGAAAGAACACATGGGAAGGGGTCAAAACTCGGTGAAGCCCCAACATGCTGGTGTCCCTTCAGTTTCCATTCAAGCAGACCTTAAAGAGGGGCCCTCAAAACATGTGACCATGCCCGGGCATTCAGCGTGTCCGACGCAACGTGCTCGAGGACGAGGTGGTGGAAGAGCCTCTCGACACGTCCAATGCGACGGGGGATAGCACCACCAGCCACTCGGATAGATTTGTTTGCGGGGTGTGGGTTCGTCTCAAAATGGATGCAGATGCATTTTTTTAGATGGGGAACCACCTCAGAAGTGGGTGGAACTAAATCCCTTACCCAAATGATGCCAACCAATGGGTCCCTCATTAGCATTCATAGTCAAATAGGAAAGGGCAAAGATAGAGGAATTTATTTTTCATTTCAACCAACCTCAAAAAAGGGTACGGCGCCGAGCCCCAAATGTGGTTTTGGATGGTTTTGGGGGAAGCACTGCTGACAACTTTTGGAGGGTCCCTGCATTGTGCCAATATATCAGTCCCAGGCCGCCGCCACCCCACCCCGCCCCGCACCAAACCCTAAACCCTACCTACCATAAACCAACCCTTAACCCGCAAACAACCCTATACCCGCCGCCCTAAACGCACCCTAAACCATTAACTATTCCCATGTTTCATGTTAATGTTCTTATATTTGTATCTTCAACCAAGGTAATCCTCAAACACGCAAGTGTTCCAACAGACTCCAACCTTAAACGGACCTTAAACCAGCCCTAAATCAATCCTAAGACCCCCCACCCCACCCCCCACAGAGAGGGAGGTGGGTGAGGTCTGCAGCCCAGAAGATGTGTTTAGGAAGCTCTGCTGTGTCCTGCCGAAGCTCCAAAAGTCTGCTGTAAAACCGGCGGCATAATGTCCCGATGATACAGAGGTTGGTCGAATTCCTCAAGCAACTCCCATCGGTCCAAATCTTGTCCTCCAACGCTTGCAACACCTGGATACCGTCCCCGTGGATCTGGCGATGCGTGCGGGCTGGGCGTTCCAGGCTGCTTGTTGCACAAAATAGCTGCGTCGATGTCGGCCACCTCTGTCTCGACATTTGTGCGGCGCGGTCTCGGCGCGGCCTCGGAACGGTCTCGGCGCACGGCCCATTCGCGCGGCAACGCGAAGGTTTCGCAAGGCTTCAGTTTCGTGGCAGCGCAGCACTTTCGCAAGGGAGAAAGAGAAGAGAAAGAGAGGAAGAGAGGAAGAGAGGAAGAGAGAAAGAGAGAAAGAAAGACAAGGAGGACAAACTTTAGCTCTTCTATGTTTGAATAACTTCCGACCATCAGGATTTGCCCATCACTTTCCATGACTTGTGTTGTTTTATGAGGTTTTGAGGTACGTGTTGACCTGATGCGTCAACACCTGCCCGGCCACTCCAAATGCTCCACTCAAAATGGATGCTGTTGAGATCGCCAGGCGCAAGGGTTTTCTCTTAAAGCTTGAAAGCAAGGTTGCGTGCCCCTGCGAGAGTTTAGGTTTGGGAGAGGTGGCCTTTACATGGGGAGAAAGCAACGTGGAGGTGGCACAAAATGTAACAGCCAGATACTCAGCTATTCGCCCCTGGAAGACACCCTCCCAGGCACCGGGAACTGCGCAAGCCGTTGCCGCCTTTCGAAAGGGTCGAGCCCCTGAACTCGCACTCTTGCATTCCGACACGTGGGACAACTCAACCCGCAACCAACCCTTAAACTGCAACACTGAACCCTACCCTAAACCAACCCAAAGCCCAAACGAAGCCTAAACCAACCCCACACCGAATCCTAAACAAACCTTAAACCAACCTAAGCCCAAACCACACCGGAGGGGGGGTCTACGGCCAGGAACACATATACGCAGATATACATATATACATATGTATATATATATATATTATACACTACACATGTACACACTACACATGTACACACGCACCCTTCAACACAAACTCCTCTTACCTCATGGGGAAAGGCTAGCTCAGATTTGCCGGTTGCTGCCCTTGGCTTCATTGGAAGGGAGCGCATGTTTTGCAGAGCTTTCTTTTCAACCCACCCCAATGAGTCCTTTTTCCAGTGGCTCAACGGGTTTCCCAAGGCGTCCAAAGGAAAACGCAAGGCGCACCAATTGCCCAGTGAGGAACTCGGCTACGCGGGAAGTTCCACATTCCGCCGGTCGGCGAAGTAAAAGGGTCGACTCAACAAAGCAGTCACTCAGAAACCGGAGGTGATTCCCTTTCACTTCATGGTGAAATTTGATGGAGACCCTCGCTGGGTGGGGGTGCTTTGACCGTGAGCTCTCGCAGTCTTCGAGTGGTGGGCTGTGAGCTCCACCACGTCACTCAACGACACGAGTCCTGGCCGCAAGTGGAGGCTTCGCGCATTCTCAGTGTGAAACCTGGGAAGTACCATATGAGTAATGATATTCCAATTTGCGTTTTCAGAAGATGATTTATTATTTTTCAGAAGATGATATATGTTCCTCTTGTTGGATTTTGGCGAGCGCCCCCCATTTTTGGGGGGCCTCATTTTTGATCAACGTTGATGCTTGGTGAATAACCTCCCTGGGCACCACCCGACGTTCACTTTCAGGGGCCCAGTTGGTACCAATGGAGTTGATGCTCGTCACGGAACCATTTCTTTTTCAAGCTGCTTAGTTCGTGGAAGTCTGAATCGCATTGCGCACGGGCTTCCGTTGGCGGCATATTGCTAAAATCTCACAATAGAAACTTGCCCATTCCTAAAATGCCGTCTCGCTATGTCATTTCGGGAAACTCCCACCTCAAGAATCGGACATGAATCCAACCAGGTTTTGCTGGCCAAAACCAAACGCTGATCAAATGCTTATACACCTATTGAACCCTTATTTATCTTGCAACGCACCCGCGCACACACACACAGACACACAGACACACAGACACACACACAGACACACAGACACACAGTCACACAGACACACACACACACACACAGACACAGTCACACAGACACAGACAGACACACACACACACAAACACAAACACAAACACAAACACAAAGACAACACAAGCACACAAACACAAACACAAACACAAACACACAAACACACAAACACAAAGACACAAAGACACACACACACACACACACCACACCACATCATGCCATACCAGACTATGCCACACTACACCACATCACACCACACCGCACCACACACACAAACAGAAACACACTTTCATAGAGACCCACGCACACGCGCTGCACGCATGCACGCATGCACGCGCATCCAAATAGTGACGCGCACGCTCACGCATTTTTTACATCACACAGGAGCACGCATACTGTGGACAGCTGTCACTAGAAGTAGAGATCCCCCCAGTTCGCTGGCGCAGTAAGTAGAAGCAACTGGAACATCGACTTTCCTTGGATCAGTTTGTTTCATTTGGCTGCTTTTTAGCTGGTTTTGAGGAAATGTCCCAATTAGTCCCATGTTTTTTCTCTAGTTTTCAAGCGAGTCACCACCGTGCCTCATGTGCAGGTGTCCCCTTTTTATACACATGTGGGCAAAACATATGGAGCCGCGCTCTTTCTTTTTGCCAGAAAATCTGGTGAGGAGCTGAAGCTGATCCGGGCTCGGCCTTTGGGAAGCTGAAACCGAGGACCACCTTCACCAGCACCTTGACCCGCACGCTGACCATCACCTCCACCACCGCCTCGTCTTTGCTGCCGGGCGGCCCAACGTTGGCCAGGGAGTCGCAGGGAAAAATCGGGGCTCCTTGTTTTTTGGCCTGCCGCATCTTCAGGTTCGGAGAGAAGGGCGCCAGCAAAGCCTTCCGGTTTTATGCGGGGCTCAGCTTTCTGCGGACATGTGGGGGGGCTCGGCTTTCTGGCGACATATAACGCTGGCACAGCTCGGGGCAGCCAGGTCTTGAAGCTTGTTACGGATGGTCGGGTAGGCTGCAGTCGCCGCTGCTTTCACAAAGCATGCAGAGAACCCTTGTGAAGTGTGCTATGCTGCAAGCGACACAACCGCAAATCACAGCACAATGTGTTTTTTGTCAGAAATCGCAACTACTGGTGTATGAGGGGTTCCATGCGAGCTGTCCCCTGTCCAACTTGACTTGTGCTCGACTTTTGGGACTTGCGTTCCAGGCGTTATTGTGCGCATTTCGGGCAATTTGCCACCAAATTAATGAAACCTTGTTGCATGCTGCTTTGCGTCCTTTCCAAGGCTTGAAAAACTATGTTTGTTTCTTTGGCCTGCGTTCCATGGTGTTTGCGACTTGGGCGGATTTTCGCTGTGGGCCGCTTCTGTGTACCCACTACCCTTTGCGGTCCCTTACCGCCTTTGAAAAATGTTGTTTCTCATTCGAATTGGCCCGAGTGTACAAAGAAGAACACAGCAAGGAAAATGGCTTGCGCAATGGGGGGATGGCTGCTTGACCTTCAGAAAATTGCACAGCGACCGCTGGCCATTTTCAGCCGGGCAAGCGGGGACCCCCACCGCACACTGAATCGAAGAGAAAACACATCGCTTGAAGCAGTTGCACAACTCGCCCAAACTGAGACTGCTCAAGCCAGATGACAGTTTCTCACTGACGCCCTGTCGCGTTCAATGTCCTTTTCCACTGAGGAGCCTGCCACAACATTGCCCCCGACAAAAACGAACGACGTACCGATGTAGCTGTCGAAGGGTATTTTGCTCCATGCAGGGGGTGTGCCGGCTGGTGAAAGCGTGAGAAAAGCTTCCTGACATAGGGCGAGCAGTTTGTTGCACACTGCCGCCTCCAGCTGTCTCGCTCAAACCATTCCACCAACCTGACTCAACAACTTCTCATCCTGCCTTCTCGCTTTGCGGCTGAACGCTGCAGGCAAAGCCAATCCCCAGGCCAACAACGCCGCGCAAGCCCGGGCAGATCCGCGGTGGACGCAACACCTATCGAGTGGCTTCCACTTGAGCTGCAATGTCAACGCGAATTAAATACAGAAATTGACCAGTTTGAGGCGTTTGCAGTTGTTGAAACTTATTTCGGGGTGGGCCGTGGCAGCATGGCTGCATTGGCTCGTTTTCTTTCAACCCATGGGGGTTGGTCGGAATCTGGGGCTCGTCCCCTGGTTTTGGTCGTGACTACTTCGAGGGGTTGAAGTTCAATTCACCGTTTCATTGTTCCGGTCTTCTGTTTGGCCCTGCCGCCAAGACCCCACAGGGAGTAAATCTCAAAATCAACAGGCGCCTCGAAGCATTTTCTTGCCTTAAGCAATTATCCAAAGACCGTTTGGTGCCCGTCATGTGGGGGAGGCACCCTTTCAGAGCTCGCTGAAGAAAGACCAGCGTGGGAACAAGCCCCAGATTTCCCGCCAAAGACGTTGGCAACGAGCCCTAGACGTCTTAAACATTCTGGCGAGCTCCAAGGGGTAAGCCTCCAGCCTCAAATTTCCGAGGCAAAGCCATGGGATGAGCCTCAAGTGTTCCTGACCAAAACTCGGGGGAGCGGGAGATTCCTGACCAAAACCAGACGCCTCGGGCCTCAAATTCGACCGGATATTGCGGAGGACAAGGCTCACAAAAACAGGGGACACGCCCCAAACATAAGCGACAGGCTGTCAACCGCGCATTGCGCACGAGTCCTCCTTTCGGAGAACAAAACAGAGGCGTTGGTGCAATTTTCGATGCGTTTTAGGCTCAGCCCTGTCCCCGGAAATCAATTGCAGCCTTGGACAAGAATGTATACAACCTCAAATTTATGACTCTCCAAAGCCTCGCCGAACGGCTCATCAAGAGCAAGGCAAGGCTGGGTCACGGTTCCTTGTGAGTGGAAAAGCACATCCTCTGAGAAACGCGAGAATGGACTGTAGAAAATGAATTCTTGGAGGATGGTCAAGTGTGGCTTTTGGTCCCGTCCCATGTGCAGTGGAAAACGGGCCAAACCTTTCTACACCGGGGCTGCATGCATAGATCATGCATAGAATGTAGGTGTCCCATTTCGGAAAAAAACAAAAAAAACATGTGTCAGATTCTTTCCCTTGGGTACACGCCCCTTCCCTACAACATCCATTTTCTGCATGATGTAGCCTCACCCTGAATATGACAACAAGATAACCAGTTCCACGCATGTTTCATCCATCCCAACTGGTGTCGATTTGTCACACCCAGTAGCTATGTGTCAGTATTGGGTACCCCCAACGTAGGCGGTTTCCTTTTGATCTCCCTTTAGCACCAGCCCAAAAAGGGCACCCTCAACAAAGCAGGCGCTGTCCTTTCAGAGCCCGGCAAACCGCCCCAGCCGCCCCTGCTCCGCTCAGGTCGCAGGAGACGCCTTTTGACCTGGTGCCCAAGGCGCGAATTGGTCCCCAACTCATTGGGTTGAAGGGTTTCTTCGAGTTGGACCACCAGCAAAAGGATCTTCGAGTTGGCGCGAAACCAAGTGTCTTCGCCTTTGCGATCCAGCGAAAGACCCAAAACAATCTTGGCGACCAATCCAATTCACCCAGGTTATCTGAAGCAAATCCACCCAGGCACGGCGATTTGTTTCAGAGGAACACGGTGCTCAGTGGGATCCGTGGCAGGAGGACGTCACCACCTCTCCGCCCCCGGACAATGCGCTGCTGGAGCCTCAGGGACTCCGGGACGGCAGAAGCCCAGCGCGTCGCCAACCGCAGCCCCGGAGCTGGGGGTCAACATGCGGGGGGTCAACACCAAACCGCACCATAGGTTTTGGTCTTTCGTCCGTTTGAAAAAAAAAAACCATTTTGGGGTTGCCTTATTACCCACAGCCACATCGAGCGAAAGGCACACATGGGGATGATTCTTGTCTGAGACTTCGCTTGAAACATGTGGAGCCTTTCGTGTATATTCCGCCTGAAACGGAGCACCCCCGCGGAAACGGGAAGAACAGGGCCAGGCCGTTGCTTGAATGAACCGCCCCTAGGAAAGCATACCATAAGAAACCTAATCCCCTCGGAAACCAGCAGGGATGCTGCAGGGATCCAACTTGGCAACTCATTCCCTGACCCAGAAATTGTTAGGTATGGGGGCAGTAACTGAATTGACACCGCAATTTCAAGGCTCCACATCGCCGTTTTGGTGATTGGGGGCCTCCAGGTGTCCGCACTCTTGCCACCCTGCAAGTTTACAGAGAACTGAGTTGGGACACGCCAAAGCGGGGCACTAAGATTGGCGAAGTTTGCCAACGCAAAGTCGAGGATCGGAACCCCTGGATTGGAAGGCACACGGCTCATCAATGTCCGGAGTCGGTCCCCAAGATGGCGTCGGTGTTCGTTTTCGTGTCCCCGAAAAAAAACAGCCAGAAGAAAAGCGCAGCATATATATATATATATAACATGTCCCCCAAATAGATTGAATCTTGAGGTTTGGGGCTGTTTGGTGACCATTTAGGGAGTTATGTCCAAGCAACCTTTGAGGCGTGGAGCCTTGGGCTGTTCGGTGACCATGTTGGGGCGTGGAGCCTGCCACACCCCCCCCCCCCCCGCGCCCTCCCGAAACCTCGCGGAACCTCGCGGGTCGCGAAGGCACCCGGGCACCTGCGAGCTCATCGTCTTCATGCCCACGCTGCTCTGCAGCGCCGCGGCGCCGGCGGTCTCAGTCCCACGTCTTTCGCGGGGCAAAGAAGGACGTGGCCCGGAGGCCGTTTTTTTGTTTTTGTTGGCTTTATAGTATTTGGACCAACTGTATTGATATACATATATACATGACACATTGGTAAGAAAATTGGCCTTTTTCAGGGAACAATGCCCCCGCCCGCCCAAGTTCTAAAAGCCAATGAGCTGTATCCAAGTTTGCGAAGGGGATCTAAGGAGACACCAGGAGTTCTAGGACATGGTAACATGGCCAAACGGTTTTCATGTTGGTTTCCTTTACACCATCAAAGGGGTACCAACTCTAAAGAAGACGAGCGTTGTCCGCTTCTTTCGGCTTTCTTGGTGTTTGTTCGATCGTTCTGACGGCCCGTGAGGCGACAAGCGTGAAACCAAATGAAGATTGGTGACTTCCTGTCAACGCCAATCACTTGACCTGAAGGTGTCTTTCATAGGGATCATGAGTTTTGTTCGGATTAAGATGTCAAAAAGGGTGGGCCCCCCCGAAAAGCGTCAAAAAGGGTTTCCTTTTTGGTTTCCCACCTGAGAAAAGAAAGGTCGCCTTGCTGAGGTTAGGCCCTGCGGCCGTCCTGTGCTTCCTCCTGGCACGGCAGGGGTCGCCCAACCAGCCGAATCGGGAAACGGACGGGACACTGGCGTAGGTTTGCTCACTCCAGGAGCTCCCTGGAACTGTTCGTCACTTTTTGTACTCGTTTTGGCCAATCCACGAAGTGAGCGAGAGAGGCGAAGGGTAGTTACCCAGGCAGGGGTTTACAAGGAAGGGGCACACTTTTAGTAAATTATTGTTAGCCATATTATTTGGTTTCGATACATAGACATGTTGGAGTTGTTTGGGCTGGGAGGTGCCTTTTTTTTAACCAGCAATGGCTTCTGCTTCAGCAGTACGCACCGCTGAAGCCAGCCCGAAGACCTGACAGGAGCCAGCCCAAAGCCACACCCAAGTTTACCCAAGTTTAACCTTAAACTAAGCCAAGCAAAAACTCATGCCAAGCGATGGTCACGCCCCAGCTCGCCTCAAAAGAGTCAAAAACCAACCCTGGCAAAGCTCCAAAACCGTCTAAAGCCCCCTGCAAACCCAGCCACTTCTTTGTAGCGAGCCACTCCTAAGCACAAGCCATTTCTAGTTGAAACAAAACGGACCGACCTTTGGGATGTTTTTCACTGACCATGCCGGGATTCGAGTCATCAACCCACCCCGACCAATCTGTAGCCTCGCTTTGGCCGCGGGATCTCCAGAACAAAGATCCCTATGTGGTGGCTGGACGGATTGCCACGCTCGCGGCTTTTGGAAGGCTGCCAATAGTCCCTTTGTTCCTCCATGGAGAAGAGTATGTATTCAGCCCTAAACCAACAGGTTGAAAAGAATTGCAATTCACTTGGGGCCTTTTGCCTGCGCGGGGTGGGGCGGGGAGGCTGAATTTTGCCCCAGGAGCCACCGTGAAATGCGAATGCGTGGGGTGCCCACAATGTTTCAGCCGCTTCAAGTTGGTCTCATTTCGCGCACGGGCTTACACCAGCGGGGTTTGTGGCTAATTGCAGGTTTGCAAGGGACCGAACCGGATTTGATAGACAACGTGGCTTTGTGAATGCTAGTGTGTTTCAACAACCAACCAGTAAGCTACCAAAGGGCTTCATATGTCTTCATTTGCTACTGGAAAGAAAAAGCAAGAACCAATACCTCTTTTCGTTTTCCCTGGCGGGAGAAGAACCGGAGCCAAGAGAAGCGCGCAAGCCGCGACGATCGCAGCGCACGGCGCACGTGGCGCACGTGTCCGATCGACCGAAGCGATGGTGCGGAGGTCGCTGGGCTCGTTGCTGGGGCTGCTGAGCGGCGCTCTGTTGGCCGCCTCCGCCGGGGGCGGGGGCGCCGCCGCGCTCTTCCTCGCAGGCGGCTTTCGCTCGGCGGCGGCGGCGCGATCGAAAGCTTTCGCTTTGGGCGGTCGAGGTTTAAAAAGGGCCGGGGAATTTTGCCAAGGAAGCCATGCATGCGACATTTTCTGTGATATGGGCTTTTTTGTCCTCGTTTTTTGTTCAGTCGGTACCCTTTTGACATCTGCTTTCAAGGCACAGCAAAGGGAAAAGAAAACCCACCACTCGACCCTGCTATTTGAACAATGTGCTTTTGGTTCCCCTGAACCTGGGGTCTGCCAACTCCAAGCACCCACTTTGCTTTTCAACACCCTGGCGTTTCAACAAATTGCGTCTCAAGATGAGGGATGCAGGTGGTTGGATTCCTTTTGGTTCTCCCTGTCACAGACCAATTCGCTAGTTGGAGACCTCAGCTGGGGAAGCGAAGTTGGTGGTGGGGAAGCCTTCATCCTCCCTATTGAAACTAGCACACCTTTCAACACGAGGAAATCCATTTCACCTTTTCTGATGGAATAGATCAGCTTTCGAGTTCTTCAGACAAATTCTCACAGCACAGGGAGCCATGCTTGCCCTGGTTGATGGTTCTCTAATACCCCAGTCAAAGAATCAAATAAGTGAACCGCACGGAATCCGAACAACGCAGAAAGCACATTTGTTCTAATTCGAGTTCAATATGCATATCCACCAGCTTTTTATTGAGGTGTGTTTTTGGGTGTCTGTGCGTCTGTCTCTGTCTCTGTCTCTGCCTCTGCCTACCTGTCTGTCTCTCTGTCTCTCTGTTTGTCTGCTTGCCTGCCTGTTCCTGCCTGCCTGTCTGCCTACCTGCCTGTCTGCCTGCCTGCCTGCCTGCCTGCCTGCCTGTCTCTCCGTCGGTCTCTCCGTTTGTGTTTGAGGGTACCCTTTTTCAGCTCTTTGGTGGGACACCATCAGGAACACTACGAGTGGTTGGGTCCAAATCCCTAATCATACACGTCCCAAAACTAGATCCCTCTAGGGGTTGATTCCCCATTCTTCTCAACCATCGTTCTTTTCAACAACCAGCTGTTTCCCCAGGGTGTTGGGCGGATTTTTAGACAGATTCGGATGCCTGGAAAGAATGGAAATGGCAGGTACCCCTAGAATTATTCTTTGTAGGGGCCCATTCTTTGTAGGGACCCTCAAAGAGAAGGATGCCTGGAAGGTACCCCATCCCAAACCATGCCCATTCTTTCGCTTTGCTATTTTTCCCGGTAGTTTGGGAATGGGGTTATGGTTTTGGTACCCCTAGAATCCCATGGTTTTTCTCGGAAATGGTTTTTGGTACCCCTAGAATCCCTTTGTTTTCTTCTCTGGCCTCCGAAAAACCGAACAAAAAACATAACCGACACGCCCCCAAGCCTCGAAGCGGATCTCGAGGGCTCCTGAGCTTCCGCGGGCTGTTGAGCGCCACCGGGCCTCAGATGGTGGCACGGGCCTCGGACCGGTCAGCTGGCTCTGCGTGTGTGTTTCCCCGTTTGTTTTCGTGTTTTTTTCCCCAAAAAATTGGGCCCCCCAGAAAGGGCGAAATGTGCGGCTTTCCTTTTTTCGAGTTTCCCTTGCGAACCACCAAAGGGGCGACCAATCTCCAAGAAAAAGAAGGAGACAACAAAGCAGAGAATGTCCGGGTCAACTTCCAAGGATCGGTGTCTGGCAGCTCCCCCCGGTCGCCGCTTTTGGGTTCCCACGTGCGTCCAGGTGAAGTCTTTCTCGGTGTTTCGGACTGGCCTTCAGTCCTGGTGTGGCGTGCAAAAATGTCCATCAATGTTTGGTTTTGATCAGCACTTTTACTGTGCAAAGGAAAGCCAGCTACACCTTCATATCCTTGAAAATGGGTTTACCCCCCTAACATGCTCACAGAAGGACATATAAATTACCCCGCCCCCAACCACTCCCTGCAAGGTTTTGGCTCATTGCAGTCGCTGCAATCTTTTGGAGAACAAGGAAGCCTGCTGTTTCTCTTCAACAAACCCGTTGTCTCTTTCCCTAGGTCACGGGAACGGTCTTCGCGGCCGGCGGGGCCGTACTGGCAGCATCCTGGCCAAGGGGAAGGGAAGCATGGGGGCAGGTTTTTGGAGGGTATGTTGGGAAATGAGGCTTTTTCGAAGTAGTTGTCGAAGTAGAAGCAATTTAGTTGATGAAAGTACTAGCAATCAAGTAAAAAGTAGTGTTGCAAAGTACGATCTTGCAAATTTCAACATTACCTTCTGCACCAGAACGGCAAGAAACCGCCGTTTTGAGGGGTTGTGTTCAGGTCTGATTGAACCGCCTGCAATGAAAAACGCTGTCGTTTTCCAGCTGAATGTCAACCAGAACTGCTTTCGAAGGCACCCGCATGGTTGGACAAAAAGATCCCCCCAATCCGGCTTTGGCGCTCTTGAGACTCGGGACCCTCAAGACGTTCCATGGTGTTCCAAAATCCAAACACCAAACACCTAGATAGCCAAGCCGCTGCCTTGTTGCAGACGCGTTACCTGAAAAAGCAGTGGCAGTTGCTAGCAGCACCTGGCGATCCAGGCAATTACAATTTTCTTGATTACCAAGGCTAATGCCCATACTTTTGCCACGCATGACAATACTGATTCCGTTTCTAGTCTCAACGTCTGCCATTCCAAAGCCACGAAAAGAAAAAGCTGTCCGGCAACAGAACATGGGTTGCTTACCTCTTAAAAACACAACTTTTCAACTTTTTGGGTAACATGGGCTATATGTCTGTAAAAGATTAACTTCCCCAGGGCTTGGAGTTTTAAGGGGTAAGGTTGGGGTGGGGTGGTTGGGTTTGGGTTGAGTACTACGCCGAGCACAAACCGCGAGAAACATCCAGGACCCGCGAACTCCCTTGGCACAGAAAACTCTGCCGGAATGCTTTGTGATTCCCTGAGAATCGCCGCCTTTTCATTGGAAATCAGTTTGTGCCTGGCGGAAGTCTTGTTGGAACCCAGTTTGAGGTGTATTGGCAACATACAGTAAATCATTCAAAGCAGCCAGATCCCAAGAGAGTTCTGCCATCTGAGAGAAACGCCGGAATTGCGCGATATTCAATGACATGACCAGTGAAGCCCAACTTGCTGCACGGAAGACGGGACAACAAGAGCAAGACATAATCGCCGCTGGGCTGTGGGGGAGTGGGGCGTACCAGCATTTGCCCAGATGCTGGAGCTTTGTGGCTTCTTTGAGCACTCGCACCCAAAGCCATCAGCAAGTGTCTCAAAGCTGACAAGACCAACAAAAACGCCTGAACACGCGCAGGGGAGATTTATTCGGGGGTTGTTTTTTTCATGTCGCTGGCGATGCGGATTGCAACGCCTTTCAGGTTGCGACATCAGGTTCGTGGCTTGCATACATCTGAATGGTCCATTATTTTCCGTGGGTTCCATCAACTCAGGCACTCCCCGCCCAGACTGGGTGTGTGGGTGTCATGGGAGTTTAGCATGTCGGGTGTTGGGCGAAAGTAGATGGTGCAATTTCAATTGGCTTTGCCGAACGGGGAGCCACCTGACAAGTTGGGTCCATGAGCGTTGTCCACCGAAGAATCTCTAGTTGGAAAGGAGATAACTTTGGTGCATTTGGCTTGGATGTTAGGACTTTAACTTTTGCCAACTAATGGGTTTTGTATTAAGCCACTAAAAGTTAAACTTTTAGCAGGGGGTGCAGAAAGCAACCGGGATAATTTGGCCCTTTCTTCTCAAATAACCCATTTGTGGGTGTGTTTGAAGGCATGCACTTTTTTGGGGTCGGGGTTGTCCATGGATACCTTCCTTTTGGCACGACAAATCTCAGGGCTGCCGCCCTATTCCGCCGACCAGTGATGCTCTCTCGCAACATTCCAACGCCCGCGGTTCCTGCTGATCATGGAGTTTCCATATCAATTCCGTCCAGGAGAAACCAATGGCAAAGCAAAAAGAGATCACAAAGAAAATCACATGACACCAAAGGGGAACAAAGGGGACACCAAAAGGAAGCCAAAACAGAACACATGCAGATTCTTACGCGCTTGGAATCCCATGACGGATTTGCGGCGGTTTTGGCTGCTCCACAGAAGGAACAGCCATGGGGACACCCTGGCGGGCAACGCTGGTGCTGCTCCCAGTTTTTCTTGACATGATCCGCCGACCCTCTCCTGGAAACGAGAGGCGCACGGGAAGGGTGGCAACGTGTCTTCTTTAGACTGACCATTGCATCATCAGTCATCATTCTGATCTGTTCAAGTCATCGTTATACTGATCATTAATGGCAATGCTGCTGTTGCTCTGCAGTATGTTTGCGTGATGCTAAGAGCGTTGCTGTGGTGATGCTGGCAAACGTTGCTGCGCGTTTACTGTATTTATTGTATAGGCTTCAAAAGTGACTTTAGCCCTGGGTGGTGATGCTGAGGATGCAAATACTGTTTGGCGCAATTCGTCCCAACTGATTGCGTTTAGATGCACAGCGGCACCCCCACTTGGCGATTGGGAAAGACAGTTCTCCCACAGCACCTGCCGGGCGCTTTTTTGAGTGAGCCATTTCGTGTTTGTTTCTCGGGGAGATCTCGTCGGAACGTTGAAACGAATAGAGAGCCACAGCCCATAGAAACAGGCGTTGGAAACCCGCGGGTTGAATGGGAACCCCGGATGTGAGTAGAACCCCTAGTTGACTTTTGAATCGGGGGTGTCCCCCTTTGGTGGGGGTTCAGACCACTTTGGGAGGAACACCCCCACAATATCGGACAGTTTGATTTGTCTCCGAATCACCCAAGTTCCCCGTTGAACTTCACTAAACCGAACTTGGTTTACCCCAAGCAAAATCAAGTTGGCTTCAGCTTCAACATCAAAGAAACGAGGTTTCTGAACCCCCCCCCCCCGGGTGCTTTTTGCCGTCACCCGCGCTTCGCCATGGCGAAGCTATGTCCTTCGACTCCGAGGTCTTCACCTCTGTGAAGGCCTTGAACCAGGAGCCCTCGCGGTTGCCCACCGTGGGCGGGGAGATGGAGGCGGCTTGGCCGCACCGACGGGTCGCCGGGTGGGGCGTTGGGCGGTTTGTCTCCTTCTCAAAATGGGTGGCTCATGTCGTTTTTTTTTTTTTTTATGAATCGGATCTCCAATTTTGGTGTAAAGGGAAGCCGAAAGGAAAGCCGGTGGGCGATGTTTTGGGACCTACCCCAAACTAAACACACCTAAATAGAGGGGCCCCTTTTCAGACACTTGTGTTGTTTCCTGTCGTCCATTCAAACAACCGTCCAACAAGAGTCTGAACCCACAGAGGATTGTAGGAGTTGGAACCACACAAATCCCCACCGAATTTGATACCCACATATCCGCGATTAAGATTGATACCCACTTTCTTGAGTTATGATGGGGGCATTCTGTTTAGAATGAGACTATACGAGCCTACTGTTGTGCAAATTCAAGGAGATTCCAACCCCTAAAATGCTTATTTGATTTGTTTGTTCCTTGCTAATTTGCAGGAGTGTAAGTACATAGTTGCCGCCTGAAGTGTCCCACCCCGGGGAATGCGTTGGCTTGAGCATCCCGCAGGAACAGCCCCTTCGGATTGTCTACTTCTTGCACCGAGGGCGAACAACATAAAGGTGTGTGAGTTTTGCAAGCCCTTTCCAAGTAGGCAAACCCCCATTTTGGGCACACCTGTTGACCACACAGGTAGCAAACAGGTGCTCTACCCAGACGGCGATTGCCGATGTTCCCCGAATTCCTGCCCGCTGGTTTTCTTTGAGCTTGTGATCTCCTTTTTCTCCTTTTCCTTTGAGAGGCCTGAACCCATGAGTATCTCAGGGTCCTATTTGGATGGACCCCTGAAATAGAAGCGAATATGGATGGATCCGGCTTAGATTGGGGTTTACATCATACCTTGTCTGGTTCCAAACATCGCCTTTTCATTTGTTCAATTTGTGCCTTGCGGTGGAAGTCTTGTTGGAACCCTGGAGTTTGAGGTTGATTGGCAACATATTCGAACAGGGTCGCCCTCCCCCCCGCCAAATTTCTGACTTCCACCATTGTAAGATTGATGGGCGTTGGGCTTTTACCGTGTGTCTTTTAACAAGGCTGGCGCATCTTTTCTTAGCCAGACGGCGCCATTCACATCATTTGCTTACATCCCCCTCAGATCCTTCGGTTACTCCAATGGAAAAAGGCGTCGTTCAACACTATTTTGGGAGCCCTCGATTTGATGTCTCGCTCTTGAAGATAAGAGTTAGGTCCGAACTTTCAGATGTCAAAATGCGTGAAAAGCAAATCGGGACTAATCGGGATCCATTTCAATGACATTGACCATGTGCAGTTTTGTCACTTGGTGCTGTTCTCATGAACTCACGGGGGAACGAGCTGCAGATTTCAACAAACATCAGAGCACCCGAATAGTCCCATGTCGAGGAGACTTCGTTTTGACCGTAGCTCGCGTAGGCTTTTTTTTGCCGGGGAGGTCAAACACACCCGCCAACGTCCGCTCAGGATTCCGACGAGGATCCTGAGGAGGAGACAAAGCCGACAAACACGAGTCGAATCGGAGTTGTCGTTAAGCGCCTTGCATGCGCGCTTCCTTTGGGGGTCCTTTTTCTCCCCGAAGGGGGGGTTGGTTTGAAGGGACACCAAATACAATAATAATCAAGTTTTCTACGGCGCGATGTTGGAGACAAGGCCACTTGGCTAAGTGGACCGACCTGCTGGCCTTTCAGTCCTGCGTGAGCGGTAATCATCGTAGATGAGGCCAATGTGGCACAGGGTGCATAATTTTGAGGGTAGCCTTTTCAGGCTGGTTCAAAGAGAAACCACAAAGAGGACCACAATTTGAGGGTCCCCCCTATTTTGACACGAGGTCAAATTGAGGACACAAATCCAAGTTCCTGTCCACCAAGTATCACAATTCTTGCCTGTTTCCTCCAGAGCCCATTTCTTCAATCGGGCTTCGGAAGACAATGGCGGTCGGCTTGATACTTTGGAAAGGGAAGGAAAGAAAAGGTTGTGTTCCGCTGAAAGGACTTCAGGAGCCCAGGAGCATGGCCTCAGAATGGCCAAATTCTGGAGATGTCGCCCAAGGAACCCAAGCCCCAGGGAAATTGGTAGCCTTTGCAGGAAATATTATATTCAGGACCCTGAAGAATGAGAAGGAGGTGAATGCTATTTGTAAACCAAATTAAGTAGGCACAGAAGAATGGGGCTGCCCTTATTTCCCTTCTACTTTCTCATCTGCATGTTCTGTGTTGCTATGTAGCCCTCGTAGGGAACACTTTTTCTGGAGTTTTGTACAAACAAAAGCCCAAAGGAACAGCTTCCAGGAGCGTACTCCGGAAGCGAAGACGGCCAAGGATCAGCAGCGAAAGGCGCAAACATCTCCGTTTTTTTTCCGGGGCTCCGGGATTTTTTGCGCTCGTTTGCGGCTGTCCAGTGAAACCAGTACCTGAAAAACGGGGTGCCACATCCGAGAAGAAAGAATCAGCGTGGCTCCGAATCGAAAGCTGGAATCGTCCTGAGAGAAATGAAGCCATTTGGTATGGTTGCCTTGGGGAATCCATTTGTTCCTTCCCAAAGCCTGTAGCGATTACCTGCTAACCAAGTTGTGGACACTTTCGGTCAGAGAGACGTCGAAGGAAACTTGAATCTCAAGGAATTCCCCGGCTGATTCGAGCTGACTCCCCTTCAAGTGCTAAGAGAGTGCTAAGAGTCCGCAGTTGGGGTATCTAAACTGTTGTCTAGCTTGTGTTTTTTGTCGCGGTCTCATGGGATCTCTCTTGAAACGATCTGACATCATCTTGAGGGTTCACCATGTATGGACGAGAATCAAACCATTTCTTTGCGTGGGGGCAAAAGCTGAGGAAGCTTAGCCCCTGCGCTTTTGGCTCCGCAAAAAACACCCAGGAACAGCTGCCTCGCGAAACCCTGGAGAACCATATAATTATACATATATATATATATACACGTATTTTCGCGGAAAGCACTGTCAGGTGGAGTTTTGAAACATATAACAACCTGGCGGGCACGGAAAGAGGGTTAGACTCTTTAAAAGCAACAAAATAAGACACACAAAATCTGAAATAGAGAATGCTTGTTATTCATTTTTTAGTTTGCAATTTGTTGTTTGTTATAGGTCTTTCCCGCGTTTCAATTTTCAAAAAATCGAAGACGGGCAGGCAGAGCTGAAGTTGCCGCGGCTCGAGCGCTTCAAGGTGGCCCGGCCCCCGGACCCGCTGGAACCAGTGTCGGTCCGGATGAAGCCCGGAGTGTGGCTTATTTTTTCTCGTGGTTTTGAAGTCCTGTTGTTGTTTTTGTGTGTGTGTGTGTGGTGTGTGTGTGTGTGTTTTCCTCCGGCTTTTCCTCGTGTTTTTTCTCGTGTTTCTCTCGTGGTTTTCTCGTGTTTCGTGGTTTTCTCGTGTTTCTCTCGTGGTGGGGTTTTTCTCGGGTGGATTTGTTGGCTTGCTTATGCTTTCCTTTAAAGTGTATGTGTGTGTATGGGCGGGCGGGCGGGTGGGTGTTGTGCGGGCTGTCGTGTGTGTGTGTGTGTGTGTGTGTGTGTGTGTGTGTGTGTGTGTGTGTGTGTGTGTGTGTGTGTGTGTGTGTGTGTGTGTGTGTGTCTGTGTGTGTGTGTCTGTGTGTGTGTCTGTGTGTGTGTGTGTGTGTCTGTGTGTGTCTGTGTGTGTCTGTGTGTGTCTGTGTGTGTCTGTGTGTGTCTGTGTGTGTCTGTGTGTGTCTGTGTGTGTCTGTGTGTGTCTGTGTGTGTGTCTGTGTGTGTCTGTGTGTGTCTGTGTGTCTCTGTGTGTCTCTGTGTGTCTCTGTGTGTGTCTGTGTGTGTCTGTGTGTCTCTGTGTGTGTCTGTGTGTCTCTGTGTGTGTGTGTGGGTTTGTGTTTTGTGCTTTGTGGAGGCCATTGTGCGAAGGAAAACCGAAAAGAAAGCTGCCAAAGAATAACTCCCCTCTTGACGAACATTCAATTGACGCTCCGCGTGTACACACAAAGCGATACCACAGCAAAATGCACAACACAAACACTACAAGTACTTTTCGACTTTTTTTGACGTCACACTATGGTTTAGTTTTTCGCGCCACGTTCCTCTCCACCCCTTTTACCAAGCAACGTGTTGGTGCACGTTGCGCCGCCCAGAAGACCTCGAGAATCTTGCTCTTGATATATGGGCCTTTCGTGCAAGTTTCCGGACCAGTTCTTCAAACCAGCTAGCACAGCCATGGAACCATGGAGGCAAGTCAGCGGTCATCTACAGGTTAGCGTACCCTTCCGTATGTTCCGCCAAGATGACGGCCGACAAAGGACGAGGCTAATACTTACAACTCTTTGCTGGGTCCCGGACGCTACCTCATTGCCAGGCTAAACTTATTTTAATGTTTTGGTTTTCCATGACTTACAAAAATCAATCTGCGGGGCGTCTGAGGGCGCCGCACGTTGCAAAGTCCTTGTGGTGCCTCCTCCAAAACTATTTTTCTCCTGGGGGTAGACTAAATATGAGTCAGACTACGATTTTGTTCGCCATGTCCAAGCCCATATTTGCTCTGTGTTCAACAAACCCATCAGGGCCCCTGCCGTTTCTGGGTATCGGCCTTTTTCGGTCCAGAGTTTGCCCCTGCATTTTTTTAAGAATGGGTTGAAAGAGTTCAAGAAGTGGATGTATATCCACTTTGCGGGGTGAAGACTGGGGAGCCCGGAGCGCGGGACCGTACATAGAAACATACATCTACCATATATATATAATATATATATATAACATACAAGTATATATATGTATATATATATATACATATATATATATGTATCGTGCAGAGTTGCCACCCCCCACCCCAGTCCCTCCCCCCCCAAACATGTGAATCCCCTGTGCGACACGTTTCTCCTTGGGTGCTTTGGGCTCGAGCAAAATCGAGCGAGCGACCAAACCCGAGGCCAGGGAACGGGAAGCCCGGAAGAAGCTGCCCAGCAACGGCAAGGCCTCGGATTCGCGTTGGATTCGCGTTGCCGTTGCGTTTTTTTTGTTTGTTTGTTCTCAGTTGTTCCGTGGCACCAAAAATGTTTCCCCTTTTTTTTTGGGTGGCCCCACTAAAAGGGTCTTCCCAAGAAGGGGTTCCCTGGCATTTTCCAGGGTCACTAACTGAGTGTTTGTTGTCAATTGGAGCCCTACCATCAGCTTCCCTCCTAGTTGATGGCATTAGATTGGTGGTTTTTGTTGGTTTGGGGGGTGGTTTGGCATTATCCCCAAACCACCAATCCAAACTGCTAACCACTGGTTGCTTGAAATCATGTGGGTGTGAAGGCTGTTACAATTGAACTTGCTTTGTCCGTGTTGGTCTGAGGGAACTGCCTGTCATCCATCGTTTAGGTGCTGAGGGTATCCGTTTCAGGTTGGTGGTATCTCTTCGGATCATGTTTACACGTTTGCAGGTTTGAGGGGACCCGTATCAGGCTGGTTAACAGAAATAGCAACCGCGTGCTGAATCAACTGTGTATTTGCTCAACGATCGAGTGCTTAAGCTATCTGGATTTGCAGCCTTGGAGGTTTTAACTCGACTGCATCTTTCGACACCCTCAGCTTTCATCTCTCGGGACGTTACCTGCTGTTCCCAAGGTAAAAATGTGAGTTTCCACAGGCATGAGCAGGCGACCTAACGCAGGCGACCGCCATCTTTCTCAATTTGCAAAGTTTTCGAGATGTGGCATGTTGGGTCAAAACCGTTTTGGGATCCCATTTTGGTTGGTAGGTGAATTCACCACCCATTTTAGGCTTCCTATTTTAGTGGGGATTGGCTGATGTTCACTGGGGGTACGATTTGGGTTTTGACCCATGGCAATGTGTCATTTTGGCAGTTACCCAATCTTAAGTCACAGCCAGTCTTTAAGAGTCACTTCTGCCGGGAGAATGCCAGCAAATGCAGGTGTCCAACGCAAAGGCCCACAACACCCAACAAATCGCATTCCACGCTGTGCCTGCATTTGAGAGGTATGGTTGCTTTACCTTGTGCAAAGCAAGTAAATCAGCCACCACTGCTTTCCACTTTGCCCATGGTTTTCCATGAGATCTTCTATAGGTTTCCCATGGGTCTATGGGTCTCCAGAAGCAATTCGCTTGATCTTGTGCCAGCTTTTGGGTCTGGGCTGAACCGCCCCGCCCCGGCCCGGGGTTTCCCATCGTCATCTCCAAGGGGGATCTGTCGATGCGGCGCCAGGCGGGCGCCGGGAAGCCGGAGGCCATGATGAAGGTGCTGAAGTGGGGCCGCGGCAAGGGCCAGGGCGGGCGCCGGGGGCCTCAGCAGCGAATCCTAAGCGAGCCGCGCGGGGCGGCGGGGGGGTCGGTCTTGGCCCCTGACGCAAAGGGTAAACAAGCGGAGGCATGGAGGCACTAGAGTCTATCATATATATAAATAGTCCGTATGTGTGACAAAGGTGTCACATGAAAAAATCAACAAGTATATATATATATATTATACACATGTAATGTATGTATGAGAAAGGTGCCACGCAAGGCTTGTTAGAGTCCCCTCAAGTGCACCATAGCACCGCTCAATTGGGAAGGTCCCAGGCCACGTTTTCGTGGTAAGGTTGGTTTAACTGCCTAGTGCTGTTTCAAAACTTCCCCTCACCAGTCATCACGTCAACCCTGGAAACCAGGCAAAAGAAGTTGGGAAGCACAACTCCCACTCATTAGATTCAATGTTTGACTAAAAAGCGAACAGTTCGGGTCTCTCCATCAGGGCAATGTGGTTAACTTGTCGCAGAAAACGGACCTTCCATCGACCCAATGCTTTTTCCCACTTGGCTGTGAATTTCAACTGGCCCGAAATGGTGGACATCATTTGGGGGTTGTCCGGGAGGACATTCCTCATTAAATGTCATAGCCACTGATTGTGGATGACTTCTGGGGTGCACAAAACGTGCATCAATCATCAGCGATACCTTTTGTGGATTTGTTTCCAAGCTGGGATTCCTTGTGAGGAATTGGGACCCTTTCAGTTTTTTTTGTTCACCGCCTGGGTTGGTTGAGGTGGTTTATAATCTTACACAGGAGCCCAACCCTGACAGCTTTCACATTTGCCGGCGTTTTCCTACAAAAAATCCACCCAGCCCCAGCCCCCGTCCCCCAAGCCCCAAGCCCCCCCCGTCCCCGAAAGCCTCGAACACCGGGGCGCCCCACCAGCGCGGCGTGTCGAGGCTTCGGGAAGCCAGTGCCCAAGAAGTGGCTGGAGCACGCCTTCCGGGAGCCTTTTGGCTTGAGTCCCATTGTAAGGCTTGGCCAAAGGGAAGACCACTTCAAGGCGTCTTTTGTTTCGGTTTTTGGTTGAAGTTTTTTTTCTTGCGGGGGAAGGGGGCGTCTTTTGTTTCGGTGTGTTTAATGTTTTTCTTTTCTTTTCGTGTTGCTTTTGCTTCGGTGCATTCAAAAGCGCTACAGTGGGTCTTTTTTTTTTGGTAGGCGGGGTGGGGGGGGGTTCTATTTGTTGCAGGTTGGCTTGAAGGGAAGCCAAGAAGAAACCACTTAATTTCTAGGTCCCCTATATTGACTGCCCATTTCAAGGCGTGCCTTTTTGACTCTCTGCCTTTGTGGTTTCTGACTCGTTTTCCCTTGCCTGCAAAAGATGACTTTCTGCAGGGGGGTCTGTTGGTTGCTGGCTGATGGATCGTAAGATATGGTTAATTTACCCAACGATGAGCCAACAGAGGCTGGGTGTAAGATATGGGAGCGTGTTCTATGCTTTGTGTGTTGTGCGAGGTTGTACCTTTGGTTCCCCTCCGAAACCCCAAGACAGAACAAGGGCTCCTGAAAAAGAAAATCATTTTGCAACCAGTTGAACCATGTTGCTTTTTCCCACCAAAATAAAGGGAAGCCGCCATTTACAAGGCAATGTTCAGGTGTATAATGTAAGGATCCCTGCAGAAGGCGCCAAGGACATCAAAAGGACATGTTTCGCGCTTTCGGGTCAGTGGTGAAAGCCCTTCGCCCTTCCTGTGCTTTTTTCCGCGACCGCGGCGCCTTCGAAAAGAAGAGCCACATTTTGGACGGGTGTCCCATGATCCGGATTTGAGGAAACTCCGCAACCAAAATCCGCAGGGCGCTTTAACAACAAATGCGGCTTCGGTTTATGAGTTCCAAAAGGAGTACTCTACGGGGCCCTCGTTTGAATCTGAGGATCGACAAGTTCGAGAACGGCGTCATCACTCTGGAGCAGTTTATGGAGGCGGTCGCCAGGTGCCGACCTGAATTCGACTTTCGGTTTGCCTTGAGGTGGCTTAAGGCTCAGGAGCTTCAAACAAAAATCACGTTTAAGTCGACCTAGACAAAAGCAGGACGATGGGTTTATCAATCTCGGGCTCCCATCCAAATGCATGAAGTTCCGGAATAGGACCTGTGTCCCAGGAGAGCCTGGCGACACAAACATGGGGTGCCCAACGATGGCTACAGATTACGACCTTTTGGTTTCCCTTTACTTTCTTGGCGGTCCGCTAACAACTTAGTTTTCCTTCTGCTTGTCAAACCCTTGAAGGGAAGCGACTTGGCCGCAAAATTTAGATGTTAAATGGTAGCATGTGGTCCCTGGCCTGAGTGCAATTGATGCGTGCGCGCAAAGAGGCAAACACATACGCATGTGTGCATGCATGCATATATAGGTGCGTAGGTGCGTACACATACATGGATACGTAGGAAGCGCACTTAAATCTCACGAGTCCAATCTACTCATTTCTCGCGAGTTGTTGTTCGTGGTTTCTGCGTTATTTTGAGCCGCCCATCTATCCCGTCCTGAAACACCGAAACCCTCAAAACCCTCAAAACCCTTAAAACCGCTAAACTTTAAAACCTTAAGCCCTACAACCCAACCCCCCCCAAATATATACATATATATATATATATGCTACCCCCCCCAGAGGTACCCAGGTTTGGGCTTGGTTCAGATGTGCTTTGACCGCGGAAGCAGGCAGGAAGAATAGCTCAGATTTGCACACTCGGAGACCAGAGGAAGGAGGTTTGCCTCATTGAAGAAAGACGCCTTGGACGTGACCCATGCCCTTTTTCCATGGCTCTTCCACACAAAGACTCTTCCACAGAAATTTCACACATCCTCTCACCCAACACATGTCTTTTTACATGTCTTGTTTCAATGAAACAAAGGCAGCATATGTGAAAGAGTTGCCAAGGAAAGGGAACCCTGTGTAGAATAAAGCCAGGCTATGGCTGGGACAGTTTGTGTTACATACATGGTGGTTTTACATGATATTTACTGTCTTTTGCTGTACTTGTATGAATTACTGTAACCCTGACTCTTCCACAAAGACCCACATATCATCTCGCACAAAACATGTCTTTTTCAATAACTCTTCTCTACAGAATATTCACATATCCTCTCACCCAGAACATGCATTCCTTCACAAAGGTTCACATATCCTCTCATGCTCCGCAAATGTTGCGCAACATTTGGAGTTTGTTGCGCCAAAAACCAAAAAACAAAAAAACCAAAAAACCAAAAAACAAAAAACCAAAGAATCCCAGCCATGGTGGGGGCTAGGATTGGTTTTTTGGTTTTTTGGTTCTTTGGTTTTTAGGTTTTTTGGTTTTTTGGTCCACAAAATGGCCTGGCAGAAAATGCATGAGTTCAATCAAAATACACTGTAAATATCAATGGTTTTGGTACATGATGCAACGACACCTGGGTACTGGGGGGGGTACCATATATATATATATATAGAAAAAAGCTATAGCATGCAATGCTGTTGTAGTGCTCGCACCACCCCGCAGCCCTCGCAGGACCTCGTGGAACCCTCGTGGAACCTCAGGGCCGCCCCGGAGTAGCCCGGAGATCTGGGCTGAGACCCCAAACCGGAAACCTAAACCTTAAAAGCCCTAAGCCCTAAACCATAAACATTAACAAAAAGAAAACTGAACGAAACCCGAAGCCTTAACCCTAAACCCAAAAACCTTCAACCCTAAACCGTAAACCTTTAACCTAAACTAAACTTAAGCTTCAAAAACGAAACCTAAGCCCTACAATTCTCCAAAGCGGCGCACTGATTGGCTGTGCCCGGGTAGGCGGTTTGGCTTTGGTACGGGCTGCCCTGGTAGCCTCCTCCTTGGTGCCCGCCGCCTTGGTACCCGCCGCCTTGATATCCACCGCCCTGGTACCTGGAGCGAAATCCGAGACGCGCAGAGGATTTCGCGGAAGCGACAGAATGCTCAAGCATTCTGGGACTCTGGTTTTGTCATGTTTTGTCCACTTCCTTCTTGGAGTCCGCTCTATACTTGCTGAATTCGAGCTTGAGGATGAGTATAGGGACGTGCGGGGTGGTTGCAAGGTTGCCTGAGGTTCGGTTCAGGATGGGTTGTGGGTTGGTTTAGGATTGATTTCGGGTTGGGTTGGTTGAGAGCTGGTTGTCACAAATGGGCTGGTTCAGGATGGGTTTGGTGTCGGATTTAGGGTAGATTTGGAACTTGGGGTTGAAGTAGAGCCAAGAAAGAACGAGAAAGAGTCACCACAAAGGCACTCCTAGGCACTCCTTAATCTAACTCGTACTTGACCAATTCAGAATCCCTAAACCTAACCCTAGCAACCCTAAACCCAAAACCTTTCTACCCTGAAAACCCTAAACCTAGACCCTAAAAACCTAAACCGTGGAAACCCGAAACCCTAAACCCTAAACACACTAAACCCCTAAAAACCCCACCTAAAACCCGAAACCCTAAACCCTAAACCCGAAGCCTCAACCCAAAAACCCTAAACCTTAAAACCCCCTAATCCCAAAAGCCCTAAACCCTAAACCCTAAACCTCGGCTCTAAACCCTAGAAACCCTCAACCCTAAACTTAAACCTCAAAAACCCTGAGCCCGAAAAACCCTTAAACCCAAACCCAAAATACCGACACCTAAAACCTTGAATCCCCAAAGCCCGGAACAACCTAAAACCCGTAAACCTTCAAAATCGAAACCTAAGCCGCCTAAATGTAAACCTTAAAAGTCCTGAACCTAAACCCAAAGAGCACTAAAACTTCTCAACCCTAAACTCACTCAATTCTCACGAGTCCAGACCAGCGTTCTTTGGCAATGTTGAAAAAACGTGCAAATAGCGGCACATTCGATTGACTTGTGAGAATTGAATGAAATGAGCGTGCTTGCGAGAATTGAGGAAAAACGCTTTTGAGAATTAAGGTGAGATAGACGGAGAAAGACAGACAAACACACATATATATACATATATATATATATATTTCTATGCATATATATATATATGTAACAGGATGCTATGCCCCCCCCCCGCCCAAAGCTCCTCCCAGATTCTGAGATCCAAATTAGCTTAATTAGGGTCCAGCCCCAAAACAGCTGTCAGAAGACAATCCTTAATCCTAGCATGTTCAGGGTTATAGGCCCACATCTTGAGTAGGGGAGACTGGCTGCAGCACAAACCCTTACTATGACCCTATTAAGCGTCCATCGCCCAAACTCTGTTTTGCTTTGACGGCAAACCAAGATTAGCTTTCAGAAGACACTGGTTTTGCAAAATCCGAGCATGTTGAGGGTTGCAAGCCCAAATCAGGGGTTGGATTGAACCGCCGGCAAGTGAGACTCACCCCCGCCTTTTGAGAGCACGAAGCCCCGGCGGTTTTCCAATGCTGCGAATACTAGACGTGCTGGAGTCCGAGAAGGCTTGAAGCTCAGCAGTACTCAAATACTTAACATCGAATCGATTGCGGGGTCAGCCGGCTGTTAAGCAACGCCCCAACATGTATGCAAACAGAGAGACAGAGACAGGCACACTGACCGACAGAGACACAGATGCAGACACAGACACAAACACAAACAGAGACAGAAAAACAGACAAACAGACAAACAAGCAAACAGACAAACAGACAAACAGACAAACGGACACGCCAAACATGCACACACACACCAACACAAACACAGACACAGACACAGACACAGACACAGACACAGACACAGACACACACACAGACACACAGACACAGACACAGACACACACACACAGACAACACACAACACACAACACACAACACACAACACACAACACACAACACACAACACACAACACACAACACACAACACACAACACACAACACACAACACACAACACACAACACACAACACGCACACACGCAACACGCAACACGCAACACGCAACACGCAACACGCAACACAACGCGCAACACACACGCAACACGCAACACGCAACACGCAACACGCAACACGCAACACGCAACACGCAACACGCAACACACAACACACACAACACACAACACACAACACACACAACACACAACACGCAACACGCAACACGCAACACGCAACACGCAACACGCAACACGCAACCAACACGCAACACGCAACACGCAACACGCAACACACAACACACAACACACACCACACACCACACACACCACACACACACACACCACACACACCACACACACCACACACACAACACACACAACACACACACAACACACACAACACACACACAACACACACACAACACACACACACACAACACACACAACGCACACACAACACACACAACACACAACACACACACACAACACACACACACACAACACACACAACACCCGCAACCCACGCAACGCACGCAACGCACGCAACGCACGCAACGCACGCAACGCACGCAACGCACGCAACGCACGCAACACGCGCAACACGCGCAACACGCGCAACGCACGCAACGCACGCGCAACGCGCGCAACCCGCGCAACACGCGCAACACGTGCAACACGCGCAACACGCGCAACACGCGCAAAACGCGCAAAACGCGCACACACACAAACAAACAAACATGCGGACTCGCATCCACACATACACATGCATGCGAACATACGCCCATACGTACGTATGTGCTGACATGCATGCAGGCAGCGTGCTGTCGTGAACATGTGTGCACGTGCAAGCGCCCGTGCCCCGAGTATACATGACGTAGATGTTTGCTGGTGCGTTGGCGGATCGTTTGCTTGACTGACATCACAACATCCTTTAAGCTCCAGCTGCCATGAGAGGCTTTGGGCGGCATCAAGGCTGAATCCGTCTAATCAATTTAACAGGCAACTGCGTCTACACATTGTGCAAGACAAACGCTTTCATGATCAGCTGCGCCTTGATCAGTGTGTTTTCTTGGATTGGCTGTTGCTGATACGCGATTGCCCAACTCCGATGTTACTGGAAATGGGCGAGCTCCGCAACGATGCATCGTGTGCGCAGATACATGGTACAACATGTAGGTGTAGATTACGAGCGTCATACAATAAGCATGATTTATTTTGTGTAATACACATATCTATCTATCACCAAGACATCTGGTTTTGTTAAAACCAGCTATATACCCAACTACGCAACCAAATCTGTCACCAGGGTTTTGTGTCAAATGCTTCAAAAGCACAAGTGTTTCCAGTGTTTTTAAGTATTGACAAGTTAGGCCTGGACCTTTGCGGGGGGTGACCATATGCCCGCGGTGCAGTTCTTCACTCCGCTCACTTTGCCTTTTCAGCTTCGACCTGGGTGCGCGTTGAGGTGCGGCTACAAAACCTCGCGGGCATCTTTCGAACGGGTCTTGGAGGATATGAACCAGGAGCGCAAGCGAAGCAGGAAATGGATGTGCACTCCCGCTTCTTGTTCTGGAAAAGCAAAGGGAAAGCGCCAAGTTTGCGGGTTTCCCTATAAAACACTGAAGAGGAGGGTAGCCCAAGCTCCTTGCAACGAAGCCGATTCGGTAGGCCAGCAACAGATCGATGTGGTGCCCTTGGGCCTTCCGAAGCCGAGTGGGTGGGTGGGTGGGTGGGTGGGTGGGTGGGTGGGGGTGGGTGGGTGGTGGTGGGTGGGGGGTGGGTGGGTGGGTGGGGTGGGTGGGTGGGGTGGGTGGCTGGGTGGGTGGTGGGTGTGGGTGGGTGGGTGTGGGTGTGTGGTGGGTGGGTGGTGGTGGGGTGGGTGGGTGGGTGGGTGGGTGGGTGGGTGGGTGGGTGGTGGGGGGTGGGTGGGTGGGTGGGTGGGTGGGGTGGGTGGGTGGGTGGGTGGGTGGGTTGGTTGGTGGGTTGGTTGGTGGGTGGGTGGGTGGGTGGGTTGGTTGGTGGGTTGGTTCGTGGGTGGGTGGGTGGGTTGGTGGGTGGGTGGGTTGGTTGATGGGTGGGTTGGTGGGTGGGTTGGTTGGGTTGGTTGATGGGTGGGTGGGTTCGTGGGTGGGTTGGTTGGTTGGAGTGGGTTGCTTGGTTGGTGGGTGAGTGGGGTGGGTTGGTTGGTGGGTGGGTGAGTGGGTGGGTTGGTGGGTGGGTTGGTTGATGGGTGGGTTGGCGGGTGGGTTGGTTGGGTGATGGGTGGGTGGGTGGGTGTTGGTGGGTGGGTGGGTCGGTTGGTGGGGGTGGGTGGGTGGGTTCGTGGGTGGGTTGGTTGGTTGGAGTGGGTTGCTTGGTTGGTGGGTGAGTGGGTGGGTGGGTGGGTTGGTTGGTGGGCTGGTTGGTTGGGTGTTTGTCAACGCTGTCATGTTCTTGCTCGGGGCTGGACGCGCTGCGACATGTGCTTCAGAGAAAGAGTTTTGGTCAGATGGTCGCCGGTCGCATTTTTAATCAGATCTGATGCCTCTGGGCCTTAGAGTCTACACAGTTGCTTTAGGAAGGACAAGGTTCTCCATCGACCCTTCAGACGTTAGGCTTAGGGCAGGTGGCACAGGGAACAGACATGCCTGTTCTTTGCGAATCGTCAATACCCTGAAGGACACGGTTCCAAAATAAGTGTTTGTTTGCTCCCCCGGCAATCTTGTCGTTGATGCGCTTTAGGTTGCGTCTATTTATATGTGCGTGCGAAGGAGGGCCCGTGATGTTGTTCCTCCTGGGAGAAGCAAACCCAAAGGCATTGAATGCCTTTCAAAACTGAATGTATATATGTCATGAAACCTCGTCCCTTGGAAAACAGCTTCACATTTGTGTCCGTGCAAACCCCTGACCTTTTTTGCTGAACCTCTTCAGCCCCCAGAGAGCGAGGGAACGAGCTTCGGTGTCGGGAGCTGCCGTCGGAATCGTCCTTTAACACTGCCAGACTTGAGTTACTCCGCTGCAAACCCAAAAGCGGGCCCCCAACAGGAGCTTCCTCTACAAAGGAATAGCTTTTCGGGTTACATGTTTTTCTGCGGGAGAGTAGCCTCCGGATGTGAGTTGAAATTGGAGAAGAGGGCGACCCCAATGATAAGACCACCTTCATAATGCACACGAAGGCACCGAGACGTTTCCCTCCATGTTTGACTCATCAACCGTCAGTCAGTCAGAACCGCCTGCCTAGGGCCGAACACATCTCCGTTTTGAGACGCCGCCTGGATTCATGAACCAACGGGGCACCGGTTGGTACGTGCGACAAGCAGGCATGGGTGGAACTCTGAAGCTGCTGGATCCGTTTCTACCCCTTCCCAAATCCTCACCTCGGGTCTGGAAGCCCAACAGCTGTGAGGCCGTGGCCATGTTGTCGGAAGGTTCCCGCTGAGACTCGAAGGGTCACTCCGGAGACCAAAGCGGCCTTGTATCGCCTCACCTTGGGATGCTTGGATCGCCAAACTCGGGTCAGTTGTTCGACCAAAATGTGGGCATTTCGAACTAATTTCCCCAAACAGACCCAAACCCAAGTATTCCCCGCCCCTTGCTGTCCCTTTGGATTCCCCACAACAATTGGGACAATTTCGACTTACCCCCGCCCGTTTTTTGCGGAACAAGACAACCCCGCCCGCCAGGACCGGGCGGGGGAGCTGGACCTGCCGGAGTTTGTGCGCTTCTTTCGGCTCGTGGAGGCACCGAAATGACGGGAGGAAGGTTTAGGCCCTCGTTTTATATTTTTTGGCGGGAACCCCCTGGCGAAACAAACAGAAGAGCCCCCCCCAGCAAAATCCAGCCCAAAGGAACCCAAACGTGAGACATAGAGTAGTCATTTTGAGCGCTTTTTGTTAAGGGAGAAGGCGCAGCCGCTGATCATCAGCCTTTCAATCTTGAAGGCAAAAGGTGGTTTCAAGGATCATGGTTTGCCTTGTTTCAAGAATCCTTGAGGTTCCATGGCAGATGCTTTCCACGGCTTAAATGCCTCTGAAACCCTGGCCTTGCGTGGCCTTTCCCGAAAAGCCGGGCAGTCTATTGTCTGCTCCTTGGTGGGTTTGTTGGTAGACAGCTCGAAGCACCAATTCGGGTGAAGAGCCATTCTGGGATGTCACTTGATGTCCAATGAAGCAAGAAGGATACTGTCCGAACCAGGTGCGCCCACCTTTTCTAGATAATGAATACCGATCGGTTCTGATGACTCGCTTGAGTTTTGAACAAAAAAAGGAGTGGAAGGAAGTCTCAAATCTGCTTCCAGGCCTTTGGCTTGCTCCTTAAAGGGGGGGGCTTTGGTGGTCGGTTTTTGAGAAGGGAAGCCCCCTTTTCACCTGGCTTTGAAATGGGAGCTAAGCGGAAAGCCGTAGTTTTTTTGGTTGGGCTCCCCGGTTTTTGAGACACTGCGGTATGTTGGGCGCTTGGGAACAATGTACACTGCAGTGAACGGGGGTTAGAGCTCCTCTATGCTTGGCCATCGCTTGCTTGCAGTCTATCGGACATTAACAACATGGTTTTGCCAGAACTTTGCAAATGCAGGTCGGTGTGCGTTAGAAGCGTCCTGCTACGTAGAGCAGGGCGGGAGGTTATATGAATTGCGAAGGTCGAACACGTGTCACCACACGCGATGTGTTGGTGGGAAACCGTGACACTTTTTTGATGGAACACCAGGTGTCTCGTCCGTCGAGCGGTCCTGCAGGCTTCAGACGTTCGATGGCTGCTAAACGTCGGGTTGCGACGTCTTGGATTTGTTTTGCAGACTTTGAGAGACATGGCCGGCGCGGGCAAGGGCGCTTTAAACACAGGCAGGCTTTGGAGTTGAGTGCCAAAAAACAGCACAGGTTTGACCACGCGCCAAGGGTTGGAGGTCAAATGGTTGCGAGCAGTAGCGGAAAAGGCGCTTGGCAAGCGAAAAGCGCGGCAAGCGCCAACGACAGCGTTGGCCCTCGCAAACCGCTGGCGTTCCCGGCCTGGGCTTCTGGAAAGGGAGCGTCGCGCGAGCGCCGCGCGAGCCGCGTCGCTTTTTTCAGGAGGGCTTGAAGAAGGAAGCCCGGGGCAAGTCCAGGGCCATGCTGAGCCTCTACCTTTGCCCCTTTGGCTGCGTTCCATGGGGCGGTGTGGTTCTTGTCAGCGGGTTTGCGGTTCTTCCAACTGGGCCCTTTGAACAATCTCTTTGGGCAACTTTGAGGATGTTGAATAGATCTGCAAAAGCCCAAGGAGACGTTGACGGTTTTTGCTGGTTGCCAAAGGAAGATAAAAGCCCGCACCGCTGAACGCTTGTTGGTGGTCAGAACTCCTTGCCGCGTCCATTGTTTTTGCGAGTACTTTCAATACTTGGCTATGACTTGGTTAGGTTTTCTTGCCATGGCGTGCCTAGCTTCTTTCAATGTTTGGCAATGGCTCGGTCCAACGCTTGCCTTTTGAGCCCGACGAACTAATCTAAATCTGGCCCAACACAGACCAGGCAGGCAGGCAGACGGACAGACAGACAGACGGACGGCCAGACAGACAGACAGGCAGGCAGACAGACAGACAGGCAGGCAGGCAGGCAGGCAGGCAGGCCGGAAGGCAGGCAGGCAGGCAGGCAGACAAAGACCGACAGACAGAGACAGACAGAGACAGACAGAGACAGACAGAGACAGACAGAGACAGACAGAGACAGACAGAGACAGACAGAGACAGACAGATAGAAAGACACACGGACAGAGACAGACGGACAGAGATAGACAGAGACAGACAGACAGAGACAGACAGACACCGACACAGACACAGACACAGACGCAGACACACAGACGCGGAGAGACAAAGACAGACAAAGGCAGCAGACAGAGAGAGACAGACAGGGAGTGGGAGGGGAAGGGGAGGGGAGGGGAGGGGAAGGCGAGGGGAGGGGAAGGGGGAGGGAAGGGGCTTGGAGGGAACCATGCGGTAGGCTCAGTTGATGTTGACGCCTGCGTCTCTGGGACCAAGTCGTCGGCCACCCAACTGCCACCAAGTTCACACATGGCCGGAGGCGTCCTAAAATCTCCAGCTGTGGCTTCAAAGAAAGAACCACGCTTTTTGATATGGGACCGGCGCACTGCGTGCCAAAATAGCCAAGTTGGGCTAAACCACTTGCGTCGGCGTCGCTCAAATCAGCACTGGGCATCGCAAAACGGTCTTGGTGAGTTCGGAGTTCTGCCGCTGGAAATATGTACGCGGCTCATTCGCACACAGTCCAGGCAGCTGCGCACACCTTGAGCCTCCATGAGCCCCTCTGAAGTCCAAACTTGTCCGCGGCAGTTTTGGGCTTCCAGCCCACCAAACCAATAGGAAGCCTGCGTTGGGGAAAGGGGGATGATGGGCACTGGAAAGCAGGTTCAGGCTACAAATTTGCTGATGGTTTTGCTGCAGCTGGCGGGGGGCTGGACCTTGGGTAACGTCAATCCTACGTTTTTATCGTATCAAAGGCAGTCCCTTTCAATGGGAAAGTTAGGAGCGCTTATAACCGACATGGAGACATGTTTTTTGAACTTCAGGTCGTTTCCGAATGTTGTAAGCACAGGGTGCTTAAACAGTTCGACAAAACCAAGCCTAAAAGCAGTTGAGGTTCCTGGAGACCAACCCTGAGGGCACACCCTCGTACCGCAGGAGACCCACACGCGCATAATTGTTTTTTGTGCCCGGGAGTAGGTGCATGACCGTCCAAGTGATAGCGTTGAAGCGGCTGTACCTGAAGGATGTTTGGCATTTTGTTTTGATGCCCGTGCATGTTGCCCGAGCGCCACATGGCTTTGGGCAACACCTTTCTAACACGTCGGCCCTGCAATTCCCAAAGCTGGTTGACTTGCCAAGGTAATGTGTGCTTCTTCGCCCACGTCATCGTCATGTGTGCCACCTTCCTGCAACACATTGTCCATGCGGCCGACCAAAAAAAGGGTCGCAACTGTTCTGCATGGGAGGTGTCAAATAGCCCATGGTTTGTCATTTTGTGAACAGGGGCTCGGTGGAATTTCGTGCAGTTTCTCTAGGCCCCATATTTACCACCCGGACAATGGGAAACACATCCTTTTGGCCTTCCAGAAAACCTGGCGGGCGTGAAGTCGCCTCACTCGGTACCCCCGTTTCGGGGTCAGGGAACCATTCGTTTCTGGGGTTCCGATTCCTATGTTGACAAGTGGCTATGAATTTCAATTCCTGGAACACCCTCCATGGTCAGACATGACTCCTAGTGTAAATGATGTCAGGGCCCTGAACTGAAATTCATGCAGCGAACCGACCGTTACGCTTGGGGATCAACCTTCAACGTTCTGCGGGAGAGGGAGACGCAACTTTGAGCCAACGCACTGAAGCGCGCGCGCTGCAGATCACGCAGCAGTTGAATTTTGAGCCAGTGATGATAGTTGTGTCGGTCGTTGAACCATTTGGTAGGGCAACAAAGCTATGGCCCGGGTTGCAGAGACACGTGTCCGTGGTTCATTTGATCTTAGGGTGTTTGTTAATCGGCAAGCGAAATGTGTCAGCTTGACATGGAAGATTTTTGACAACCCGGCGCGGGGATAGTGAAGCCGCCGTAAGTTCAATCTGTGTTATCAACCTTCGCTGGGTGTTACGGGCCCCGGCCTTTGCCCAATAGCCCACTCGTGGGAGGCTTCCCAGTGTCCCTGCCAGTAAAAACAACTGGGCTTAGCGCTGGGCATCCGTTTAGGCTCCGGGAAGCACGATCATGACGCGGATTTAAATGGCAACCAGCCAGCCAGCGGTTGCTGGCATCCATCCCCGCCGAATTCTGATGTCCGAAGGCTTCCCTGGAAAAGAAATTCATGGCGTGGAGTTTTTAAATCCGAGACCATCCTGCTCATCACCGTGCGCCGGGAGAGCGCTGCTGGGGAGGACAAGTGGAGTCAGTAAGTCGGGGCCGACGTCAGCGGAATAGAGGTTGGATGAATGGAACACTGAAAGCTAGGTACTGACCAGTGGACCTTTTCGGATATGTCGGTTTCACCTTGACAGTTTAGGGAACCTGGGCAAAAAATCGGCAAGTCAAGCCACGAGCTGACCGCTTCGGCGGGCACCGGCGAACATTTTTCTCGCCAAGGTCCTGGATCCGGTTTTTGGGGACTAAGGTCCCTTGGGTCCGAATCACCTTGCCTCGGGTTTTGGAGCAATTCGCGACTTGAAAGCCCCTTTTAACGATCAGCCTGGATATTGATTGGGAGGAACCACCCCATTTACGAGGAAGAGTCTGAGTAATCCGCCAGATTGAGTTTGACCCAGCACTCTCCGCCTGCTGTCGATGCTTGCGGCGGGCTTCCACCAGGAATCAAGCTTGTGGGGCAGCGCTATAATTACCGAAAAAAAGAGAGAAAAGAAGAAGAAGAAAAAACACCTTGTGGAAATAGGATGTTTTTTGTTGGAAGCCCCCTTTTTGACATGTTTGGTCGGGAAGCGAAGGCGAGGCCGCAGAAAAGCGAGTCGCGAGCAAATGCGACAAGCGACATGTCCCTGATACAAACACCAGGGTTGATCAAAAGGTCCTTTACATGGACCGACTATTGGAAAAGCCACTAAGAAGATGATATATCCCACTTACTGGGGGCAGTTTTCTTCCATGGTCATTGGGGGGCAGGAATATTGATCAACCCATATGTCTAATATATATATATATACATATGCCAGTGGTTCTTCTTTCTTTTTTTTAATGGGAAGTCACTTGGTCTTTAGAGACGCTGCCAGACTGTCCCTAAGTCACTCCCAAACAAGGGCCGGCTCTTTAAATTTTCAATCAAGCTGTGACCCTCCCACCAAACATGGAACCCCGGAACACATGAACCACTGAATCTCAAGCCCATTGTTGGCGTTTTTTTTTTCAACCATTCGAGGGATTCACGGGTATTCAAAAGGGTTTTCCAACTTGACTGGTGTGGTCTTCGGTTGGGAACTGATGGTACAAACTATATAGGTATACGATGGGTTGAGGTGTGGACCCCTCCAAAAACGGGACACTGAGTCCTCAACGGCGAGTCCTATGCAGTCCTCAGGAGCTGAGCGCAGTTGAGCTGGCAGAGGGCCAGTTGCTGAACACCTGCTTCCAGCTGCTCGGTCTGAAAATCGGTTCTGTGCCCACGGCTGGGTTTCCGCTGGGTTCCCAACCTGGGTTTCTTTGGGTTGCTTGGGGTTTCTTCGGATTTGCCCTGGGTTTCTTTCGGTTTCCTTAGAATGTTGGTTTCCTTTGGGTTTCTTTCTGGTTTGCCGTCGTTTCACCCGTGGGTTTGCGGAGTGCTGCTTGAAGAATATCGGTAGATGTCAAAATTGGGTGAACCCCACAAAATGATCGGCTTCCTTTTAGTTCAATCCCTTTGCGTTTAAATCCGGACAATGGGAATGCGATTTCCTCAGCATTCCCTTTCAATACCAACCAAAAGAGGATCCTCGAAATCTGCGGCTTTCGTTTTCCTTGGCTTCCCTTTAAACATGGCCGGCCAGACCACTTGCGCCAGCCCAAGAAGACATAAGACAGCCCGCCGCGAAAAAATCCGATCCGGCTGCCGCAGGTTGGTCTCGGTGTCGCTCTTCGGGTTCTTCGTGTCCGTGGTGGCGGTGCCTTTGCTGCGGGTCACCGTGGGCTCCAGCATCAGCGCCTGGTGCCACCACTGGCGAGGCGCGGTGAGGGAGGGACTTTCGATCTCATCCAAAGTCACGGGATGAACAATCCCCTGGTTGATTAATAGGGGGGTGTCCCCTTTTAGCGGGGATCCATCACTTTTGGAGGAAACACCCCCTAATAATTGGACGGGTTTATTCATCCTGGGTCAACAGATGGCCATGGGGCATAACCTATGGCTCGCCACCAATTTTGGATGTTTACCCGGGGTACAGGGTTTTGACCCACAACCAAATCACGGGATTTGGAGTCCGTGTTGAAGGAGCAAGCGGTCGCGAATACTAAACGAATACGTGGCCAACAAGAAGCTGCCCAACTGAGCTAGAAGGTGCAAGTAATGGCCAGGGGCTAGGGGTGTGAGAGAATTAGCTTTTGCCTTGGGTGTGGCAAGAGCTCTGGCACCCCACTTCCCATCAGCCGGCTATGGCCAAGTTTGTGGACCCAAACACTAGTTACCCTCCCACCAATTAACATGGAACCTTCAAAAGGGAAACTGTCTAGGACTTTTCTTGTGAGGTTCCATGTGAATTGGAGGGTAGAACATGCAGGAGTGTGGGATGGCCTTTTTTTGTGACACGTCGATCCCCGCGTGATTTGGCCAAGGCCAAGGTGTTCCTCCTTTGTTCGAAGGGGCCTTCGCCTAGCAGTTTGTTTGGTTTGAAAAGGAGCCAAAGCAAAGCATTGCGAAACGAAGCACCAATGAGTATCCAAAAGCCCCGGCAAATATACGGGTTTACCCCTAGGATTGATGAGAAGCAACGGGGGTCTACCCTGATTCGCTGATTCTACCCTGAAACAGGTGGGGTAAAATAGGCCATCTTGGTAACCCTTTTGGCATGGGCCAGACCCTGTTTCCCTATTGGCAGTGGCCTCCTTCGCGTCGATTTCTCCGCGGCTGAGGGACGCTGCGGGAGTGGCGTGCTTGGTGGCGAGGGGAAGAGCTGGCCAGCGCCCGAGCCAGAGAGCGAGCTCGAAGAGTTTTTAGAGGGTCAAAAAGTGGTTGGACATGAATCCCCACCTAATGATGAACCCATGGGAACCCCCTCAAAGGTGGTTGGTGGACATGAATCCACCCCATGATGTCCACCAAAGAGTCCCTAATTATATGTTTTTAGCCAGTTCTCGAAAGCGACTTCGCTTTCCCAAGTTCACTCAGGTCACTTTCAGGTTCCCGTTTTGGGATCCAAAGTCTTCCAGTCACAGACATTGTGGAGTGAGCCCAAAGCACATGGGGAAGGTGCCTGGCCAGAAACACGGGCAACAGCGGCACGGCCACACTCCGTAAGGCTGTGGGGCGTTCACTTCTCGGCCAAAAGTCTTAGCTTTCGGCAATCATGGAAGTAGACGGGAGATTTGTTTTTGTCCAGAGACCCTCCGCCTTTCCAGCTGGTGACGGCTGCATAGTTGTGGGGATCCGCCTTTGAAGCGAAGCGGCCGAGCGGTCAATGGGCCATTGGTTGTCACAAGGATTCGCCTTAAGGCCTGCTAGAAAAAGAATATGTCCCAAGCAACACAAGCACCGCACCTGGGCCAGTCCTGGGCTGCTTTGTTGGAAAGCGGCCGCGCGAATTTGCCAGCCTAAGGAACCGGAAGAGGAGGAGCCAGGCGATCCCGAAAACGGGCGGGGGACCTGCGAGATTCGCGCGTTTGCTCATACATCATTATGAAAGCCACACGGGAAACCAAGGGAAATCAGGTTTTGTTGTCCTGTTCTTTCGACCAGTGTCTTGTAGGGATGGCTTTGCAGGAAATGAAGTAACCTCCGAAACTTCCAAACGGCCATTCCCCAATTCATTTCTTCTCCCATGCTTGGCTTAATTACGTTCCAGTAGGAAATGAGAGCTGGAGGCTTCCCCGCAGGGGACCGTCGGATTTGTTTTGGCGACCTTGGCTCGAGGCATCCCCTTTCGAGACGGATCCGAGGTTTGACGCAGGGGTTCAAGGGAGCGACCCAGAAAAGCCTCGTGGATTCACTTGCTGAATCCAGTACTGTATGGGTATGTCTCACGATGCAACCCCACAAAATGGGGTGTTTCTTGTTGATTTCTCAGGGCTCCCTAAAAGATACATTTTGCCCATTTGAAACATGGCTTGTTCCACCAGAATAAAGGGAAACCACCATTTACAAGGCAATGTTCAGGTGTATAATGTCAGGATCCCTGTTTCTCTTTAAACCAATCGAAAACGGGAACCGAGCCTCGAAAAGAGACGAGCAATACTCAGTTGCCCAAAGCGAATCGACCAGACGCCCTTAGACCTTTGGTTTTTCCCATGGTCCAGTTTGAGTCACCCCAAAACTCACTTGCCCAAAGCGAATCGACCCTTTGACCTTTTGGTTTCCCTGATTTGGTCCGGTTTTAGTCGTGGCCCCAAAAGGTTAACCTTCAGATTCCATGTCCTTTGGGCAGCTGAGCAAGGGTTAAGCGTTTCACCTTTGTCCGGATCCTGGCATATGGACGAAGCTTGAAGGCACTCTGGAAAGCCAACTCCCTCCGGCTTCCGAAGGCAAGCTGCGTTTCCCTTTAAAGTTCCCTTTTGGAATTCCCCTTTGGAGTTTTGCACTTTTGGATTTTTCCCTTTGCATTGCCCCTTTGGATTTCCCCTTTGGATTTCAAACCATCCCCCCTCCCCTTTCCTTTGGTTTCGGGCTCGCCAAAGTCCCAAAAGCTGCCTCCAGGCCCGAACTCGCCGACCAACGATCTAGAGGCTCGAGCTGCTCTCCGGGAGAAGCGAAGTCCGGGAGATGGCATACGCTGGAGCTCACCAAATCTGGTCAAATGAGCGAAGACCCATCTTTGGTGCATTTGCGAAGGGATGTTAGGACTTGAACTTTTGGCGTTTTCCGTATTAAAACCACTAAAAGTGAGAAACTTTTAGCAGGGGAGCAGAAAGCAGCCGAGCCATGATGAGGGCCCCAGCTAATGTTTGCTTTTTTCTTCGAGTTTGTGATGTGCGGGTTTGAGCATTATAGAAATGCTTTGGACACCCTTCCATGAGCAAGCTTTGTATGCCAGAAAGACCAAATTCGGTTTGGCCATTAGGGTTGTCCGCAGATTCTGGGCATGGATTATTCGGGATAAATGATTTGGAACACATTTGCCAGTTGCCTTTGTCATGATTTCTCCGATCCCGACAATGACCAAGATAAAACATGGTCTTGGGTCTTTTCGTGTTCATTTTCAGGGGGCACGTTTAATTAAGCCTTTGCGACAAGTTGCTCCTAGCCGCGCCCCAGTTTGTTGGATCCCTCCTGTCGGTCTTGCGGCATGTTCTGTGCTGGAATCCCGTGGGCGCCAAAACAACAGGTGTCAGAATTGGTTCCGAACCAGAGCCTTGGCTTCACATATCGAAGCTCATGTCAAAGCAACAGCAGCTGTTCCAAGCTGCGGCTTGAAGAGGTCCCAGGCTGGCAACCACAAAACGGACACTCGCGGGTTCCCTAGCAAAAAGAAGACACTCGCAAGCCCATGTGCACGGGATCCATTGGCACGGGGGGAAGTCGCGATCGCAGTCGCCGACTCCAGAAAGTCGCTTCAAGGGGCCCACTGCTGACTTAGCAAGTTGGGTTGGTAACCGTTTGAACAGCGGGTTTCACGGTTTTTGTCAAGGCCCAACAACTTCTTACTTGTCTGGCCAGTAAGCCCTGATTCTAGTGCCCGGAGCCAAGAAAAAAGGACGGGGGCTGGCGTTTGATTGGGCAGCGATGGACATCGTATAGGTTGGGGCGGGACTGGAACCAATACATCAAGATCGTTCTTTTCTGAAAAGAGTTGGGACAACTTAAGGCAACATTCCTCGGAGCGACTGTCTCCCCCCTATCCTGCACCAGTCGCATACATAAAACCCTATACCAACGGTTGTTCAACGGGTGAGTTGATCCCCAATTTCAACATGCCCAACAAACCTCTGCTTAGACAATTGCATTGTATGCCCTACTTTGCATGGTAAGCGCCTCTCAGAGCTGACATCACACACTACACAGAGCAGGGATATTTGGAGAAGGAGCAGTGATCTGTGGGTGTATCTTTTTTGTTTTGTTGGTCGGTATTCAGAGAAGGCATCGGCGAATTCATGGATCCTGCTGTCATCTTCACGTCTTCACGACGGAGATTCTTTTTCATGATCCAGTTCTTGGCTGCAACAATATTCTTCCTCGATGGTTCTTTTTCGTCACTTGTTTTCTGGGGTGGGGGGGGGAATCATTAAAAAAGACGAGCAAATAGGTGTTTCCATGTTTTATTCCATGGGCAGTCATCTACACTATTTGAATGCGGAGGGAGGCTGTCGCAAACCACTTTCTTTAGGTTGGATTTTAGGATCACCTTTTTCTCGTAGGTTGACATGTTGGTGGGGGGCTGTAATTATCAACGTTCCTGAAGGTGGATTGTACAAAAAATATGCTTTCCACAGGGTTGACATTAAACTCATGGCTGAACTCTCCAGGAGCTGATGTGAGTTTTGCTTCGGGTTGAACCCTAAGCAAAACTCACATCAGCTCCTGGAGTTCAGCTTTGGGGGGTTGTTCATGGGTTGACCGTGCATGACGAAACTCACATTTCTGGCTCCCCTTTTTTGGGGGGGGGGGGGGGGGAGACCACCCATGAACCAATTTTTATTAGGATGTTCTTGAAAATCCTAATAAAGCCATAGGTGTTTCAAGGTGTTCACTTCAAAACCTTAAAGCATATATATATATATATTTTCTTTAACAAAAAAGCAAGAACAACGGGGGAAACATACAACTTGGGTCCGCTCTCCGCGCTCGCTCAACCGCGCCCGCGCCGGCGTCCGCTTCGCTTCGCTTTCGAGGCCCCGGCCATGCAGCGCCGGCCCTCCGTGGCGTCCTTGGCCTCGGAGGGCTCCGCGGCCTCGGCCCGGAACGGGCGGAGGAGCTCGCGGATCTCGCTGCAGAGCGGCAGGAGCCGCACCTCAGGCCGGGAGGAGCTGGGCGTCAGGGCTTGGCGCATTTTGCCACGGGTGGATGTGAGGACAACTTTCATTTTGCCAAGGGATGTTACTGAAAGGTAAACTTTTAGCAGGGGAGCAGAAAGCAACCGAGGTAAGGGCTTGGTGCATGGTATCGGCCACGTTTTTTTCACCACCAGGATGTGTACCGCAGTGCATGGTTCCATTGATTCCCATTTTGGGTACCTATTTTTGACCCACAGCCATTGCTGGGTGCGAGGGGTATTGGGGAAGGGGTTGGTGGGGTTGGTGGGGTTGTTTGCAAGATTTGTTACGGAAGGGGAAACCAGGCGTTGCAGCTGAACGCACCCTTAACCCACCCTAAGTCCAAACCCACGCTGAACCCACCTTAAACGTACCCGCCAACCCTAAACAAGAACTGCGTTCAACCCACCCGAAACCTACCCTCAGCTCAACCTAAACCCACCCTTTTCACCATGCCCCGCACAAAACCCACCAACACCGGCCCAAACTCGATTTGTTCCCTCCTACCCAACCCGAAACCGCCCTAAGCCCAACGCTGAGCTGAACCCACCTTAGGCCCACCCCCCCCCCTGAAAACCAACCCCAATGCGCCCTAAACCTACCCACCCCAACATGAACCTACTGGACCCCCCCCTCAAACATAAAAGCAACAATCTTAAACCAACACTTAGTCTCTAAACCCATCCTGAGCCTACCCTAAACCTACACTAAAGGAGGGGGCGGTTGTGTTGGGAGGGTTGGGGGGAAGTAGCGGGTTGGTTTTTCGGGCGACTCCCTCCCGGTTTGAACGAGAAGTGCCACATTGATTGTTGCGCGCCGCGTCCAAAGGTGCTTTGGGCGCGAGTTGGCGTGTTCTCTGAACATGGGGTGGCCCCAAACACGGGCGCTTGGCCTCCTGCTTGCAGACCAGAGTTGGTCCTTTCAGCCCTGCGGGTTGCAAGGAAACGCGCATGGCCGCTCCCCCAGCGGATCAAAAAACGTCCCGGGCCCATTGGGAATCCCCACAAACCTCTACGCATTTGACACCCACCTTTCCACTTGGGCGTTCGATGTGGAGAACACTGGAAGAACTTCCTTCGAACTCTTTTTTCACAGCCGGCAAGTGCCAAGAGGCAAGCCGCAGGTACCAACAAGGTTAAAATGCCGCAAAAGAAAGGGCCGCCTTTTCCACAACGAGCCCCCTTTGCTTGCGTGGTTTTCCTGAGAATGGGGAAGGAAAACCAAAAGGCGACTCATGTTTTTGACAGGTTTGGCCCATGGTTTGTTGACACGGATGAAGCCCATTTAAGAGATGTTGTTTCACTTTGCAGTGGATGTGTTATTCGAAACTCTAAAAAGAGCCGGCAACCCTATCTTCCAAGATTGTTTTCGCTTGGCCAAAATCCAAAGCATAGATGTGGTCCTGACATGGGGTCAAATAGGTCGGGCGCAAGCGACAGCGATGAGTCACTGAGTCCTTTTCTTGAGTCTTGCGCAGTTGGCTCTACCACGTCTCAGCCTGGATTCTTGAAGCGCCCAGCTCTCAGTCAAGTCGCACTTATGACTTTAACCCAGGGGGCCCGATTTTTTGTGGTATCTTGTTAAAGGGAAACCGACCGCAACCACATTTGACCAGGACCCTTTTCTTTTTCAGATCTGTCTGGACAGATCAAGGGGTCGCCCCCCCAAAAGTCTTAGAGGACCTCCCAAAATCGAGCCAAATGATATCGGCTGCCCGTCCAACTGCAAAATCGGACTGAAGAGGTCCGAGCCCCAAGGCTCCGATTGAGAAGTTTCACGAAGGCAGGTTTCCCTTAGAGCCTTTGGGTTTAGGGGATCATTCTGGGGCAAACCGAGGGCTGGCATCCGGAGCAACCACTTCCGACTTAGTCTCCGAATGCATGAGGGCTTTGTAGGGCAAGGAAGCGATGAGCCGGTGATGACCCCTCCAAATCTGCTGGGGTGACTTCCCTCGCAAGAAGGATATGTTGCTCCAAGAAACGGCGTTGACTTCTGTGCCGAATCTGGGAGGGCGCCCATCAGCTGGTCGCCCCGTGAGCCGGAGTCGATCAGACTGGCGCGCAGCGACTTTCTCTTCTTACCTCCAACTTGCACCTTCCTTGGAGCCCAAAAAAGTCTGCCCCTGGCCAGTCCCATCTTTGGCCAGGTTTTTTTTTGCGCCTGGAACCTGGTGGTCGCCCCAACGATCCCAGCCCCATCTTTTTTTTCTCCCTTTTCCGGGCGTTTGTCGAGCGCGCGTCTCCTTGCGATCGATCCGTTCCCATGGGCTGGGAGCACTGAGAAGGCGCGGCAACCCGGAAGCTCGAAGCGAGGCTTGGCCTGGTGGTGTTCGGGTGTTTTTTTTGTGAGGGGGGGGGGGGGGTTGCAAGAACGGCCCATGCGTGTGTTCTAAAAGTCTAAATGAGGGCTTGGAGGTTAAAATGAGGAGCGTCTGAAATTATTGATGTGTTCTAAAATTCGACGTTTCTGACATGGATCCGACGTTCAACGGGGCACACTTTCACAAATGGGTTGCTGGGCACAAAGCCAAGAATGTGCATAGCAAAGGGTCCCGAACCAAAGTTCACACATCGGTCTCAAGGGCTTTTGTTGATTTTCGGGTGCTCAGGGAATAAGACATGGACTGAGCCGTTTTGGGATTCCCGAATAAATTGGAAACCAAACCGGGGATGCTTTTTTTGTACGGGTCATAATCCCTTTGGATTCCCGAATAAAGGACACCATGGATGTTTTTTTCTTGGTCGTTCCAACTCATCTAGGTCCCCCAGTAGTGCCAACCTTTACCGTTTCTTTTTTGTGGGAGGGTTCCCCCACAAAAAGTCGGCGTCCGGATTTTTTTTAATATAAATTTCTGGCACGCCAGACGTACCCTGATTCTAACCCCTCTGGAGGACCCAACCGTTGAGCAGCAGCCGCACCCAAGGCCTGCTGTGGCCGAAGGCCAAGCGGCGCAAGCGCCGGGCCTCCCGCGGCTCGTCTCAGATTTTTTCCCATGGAGTTGTGAAAAAAATACCCCATGCTAGGCATGTTTTGGTGTTAGTATCATTATGTCTATATGAAGAAAGAAAATGAAAAGGCAAGAAACGCTATCGTGTTTGTGCTTCGTAGATGGGAGTGGGCCATCCCATTCCCGGTTCCAACAGGCAACTGGAGCCGTGAAAGCCCTGGATGTGCGGGCGTTGGTGTGTGACTTTTTCGCAGCCGAATGAAGAAAAGGGAGCTCGAAGTTTTGATGCTTTTTGGGCTTAGGGACACCCATCATTTGGGGAGGGTTCCCTTTGGACACACCTCTATAATTCAAGAAGAGCCATGACCTCCGTGTTTTGCCGCGGTCTTGGACCGAAATTTTGGCCATTTGACCAAACACGCCCAACTATTGCACCCTTGCACATTGCAGGAATTTTCCGGGTCCTTTCTCCCCTGACCACATTCAGGGAAACCGTAACCTCAAGAGCAGGTCAGGTTTCTCGACAGCCCCGAACCGTAGAGGCTTCGGATGCTCGGATCGTTTAGCATGGAAGCCATAGGTGTCCTTTTTAGGTTAGTTTGATCAAAATTAGATGGCACTGGTTGAGGTGGAGATTCTTCCATTACCAGGGCCATCTAGTTTTCTAAAAGGCCACCTATGATGGAAGCAGCATTCTTTTTCAGGTGCACTTGGTGTGGGTCAGAATCTAGAGATTCAACTTGAGGGCAACCGCAATGCTCTGGTTTTCAGTTCGATCGGGAGACGGACAGCCCGCTGCATGTGAGGCAGGATGACCAAATCGCGGGTTTCCTCGGGTAGGAACCCTGGCCTCGAGTGTAAATCAAGAGGAGAGCAGAAGCACCCCAGTAGACCTCAGATTCAAAGTTGTAGACTTGAATAACTTGCTTCCATTTGGCTAAAACCCCTGGAAAAACAAACATATTTCTAGACGTGATAAACTCATTTTAAAATAACCAACAAGGGAAGATAGGGAAAAACATATCCGTTTCAGCAAATGGAAGAACTTGGGAGGCTGCAGGAGTACTGTATTTGTTAGACTCAGACCAGCCAGGTGTTTTGTCTCGCGGATCAAATCAGCAGGGTTTGGCCATATTACAAAGCCAGCCCAACATGCCAGAGGTGTCCTTTGCCGCCAGCCAGCTCCCTCTGTGAGAGACCAAGCACACACCCACCCACCCACCCCCGCACACACCCACACACACACATACATGCACACATAGACCAATTCGATAGTTAGGGTCTTGGCGAATCGGAGAATCCCAAGCCATCGGCTTCTTTCGCGGCCCAAAATGAGACCTCGGGGGTAACTCCGGGAGTCGAACTCCCAAGCTCGCCCAAAGATTTGATCAAAGAAATCACCGGCCAAGCTTCTCTTGCGATGGTTGCTTTTGGGCGTTTGGAGCAACCCAGAGGGATGCGAGAATGGTTGTGGCCCAGAAAATTTTCATACCTGGACACCAGTCACCAGACGCCTCAACAGACCTCTCAAGGGACTTCCTACACCGTTCAGGTTTGCCACATCGTTGTCTTTCAAAATTGAACAAAACACAAAGGAGCACATGAGCATGACCATGCATGACCACAACTGCTCCATTTTGTACACGACTTTGAAACATATGTGGATCCCATTGGATTTGACCCAATCCCAATCCCAGCGCCCGAGCTGAGGAGTGGAGGACTCCGCGCTTCTCGGCGCTTCAGAGCCGAAGGGCGATGGCGCCGCTAAAACCGTTTCGAGGGTTCCGTGGGCTGGGCTAGGTGAAGTCACCACCCGTTTTTTGGACCTAACCTATTTTGGTGGTTGGATTGGGATGTTTTAGGCTTCCTATTTTAGTTGTTGGATTGAATGGGATGTTCACTGGGGGCTACCGATTTGGTTTTTGACCCCTAGCCAGCTGAAAGAGACCCCATGCAGCTTCTCAGGCTCCAGCCGTTTTCGGCAAGCCAGTTGTTCCTTCAGCAGTGGGGTTGAAACATCCGTGGTTGGCCCGTGGGCTTCTTTTTAGGTGACGGATGGCACAGGGCGCCCCGGGCTCAAAACCCGACATGGGGAATCGGCCCACCAAACTCGCGCTGACCGGCTTTAAGCGAGCTTCGCGGAAAAGGCCAAAGGCGAGGCAACAGTTCAGTTTTCGGGATCCACAAGGAAACGGTTTTTTGCCAGGCATCAAAAGGAATCGAGCAGCTTTAATGGACTACAAACCACGCAATCATTGTTTGAAGCTCCATCGGATGTTGAGAAACAGGTTTTTCTCACCAGGGCCCTTGCCTCAGCTTGTGCAACGGGTTTGTTCACAGTCAAAGTGGATTTCTTTGAGTTCTCGTGGCTTACCCCGGCTGCGGGAACGCATGTAAAACGACATCCTTTGGGGTTCAGCTCGTTTGGGGTTCCAGCAACAAAGCGCCACTGCACGCGCAACGAATTTCAGAAAGCAGCTGTCATTCAGCTGAACAAGTGCATGGAACAAGTGCGTGAATGCGAAGCTGAAGCTGAACAAGTGCATGGAACGCGGCAGTTTGCAATGCTGCAAACGCAAAGGTGCTGTGTTGCTGCAGTTCTGCAGCCACAATTCATGGCGCAGAGGTCTGCAGATCTGAACCGCACGCAATCAAATATGTATAGATGTTGGCGGTTTGTTCAGCTGCGTGGGCCTCGAAAAAATCTCAAGAAGGCTGTTTAAGAGGCTTACGGGCAGAAAGGCCCAAAGGAACAAAAAGTGACAACAGGTTCTGTCTGTGAGAAACATCGCCCATATCTCCGGTCCCTTCTCGTTTTACAAAATCGCTCGCTCGAGATGTGGCGCGCTTGCTCCGAGTGCCGAGGTACGCGGCGTCGAAGTTCGAGGAGGCGAACCTGCGGGCCATGGCGGCGCTGGAGGAGCCGGTGTCCACCTTCAGCCCGATGCAGGTGCGTCCGGAGCCCCGGAGCCAAGGAACCAGCGCGAGAAAGAGCCCTGTTTTGCCGAGCCTGTTTCTTGTTTTTGTTTTTTTGGTTTCCGGGTTCGGAGTGGATAGAATTGATGGTGTAAAGTGAAAACTGGCCAACTACCCATGTTTGTTTCTCCAACTCGTTTTGGTTTGGTGGCTTCTTTTTCTGGTTTGGTCGTTCGAAGTTGATATGCCTCACGGCCCAACAGAAGAAATTGCCGACCATGTTTTTCTCCAATGACTGGATTTGGTTGTTCTGAATGTTAAAGGTTTCCTCAGGGATTTCATGTCCGTATCATGGAACCCTCGGTTTTGAGGGTAAAGTTCCCCCTTTGTTGGTTTCTCTTTGAAGCATCCCTGGCGGAAAAAGATTGCTCACAATTAGCGAGCAAGCCCGGCGTGCTGAAAATTGGGGGGGGGGGGGGGCGGATGGGGAAGTGGGCGGGGGGCGGGGACTTGAAAGAAGTGGCGGCTTTCCTTTTTGCTTCCCCAGACATCAAGAACATTGGGGCACAGCAGGACCGCATCAGCCTGTCCTTTCATATGTTTTTGTGACGCGCAGTTCCTTGGCTCCGTGATGCTCGCGGCCAGGCTTAGGTTGCACCGTTCAAGCTGAGAGGGCGGTGCAACAGGAATAAATTCCATGCATCGCGCACCCACATACAAAACAAGAACCGAACAACCGATAGTTTAGCTTTGGGATTTGGCTGGCAAGTTGGGGTGCGTTGCTTGTCAAAATGTGGTTGTCAAAGTGCGTTGCTTCAGAATCAACTACCCAGAAAGCCTGTGGCCAACCGGGGAATTTCCAGAGATTGCTGTGGACAAACGGCCTTTGTGGCAGCTTATCTGGAACCCTGTCAAAAATAGGCTGTTGTCCCTTTGGTGCCCCCTATAATTGAAGGGCTGGATAGCTCCCAATGTTTGATTGAGAGCTTGTGGAAGGGGGCAAGAGAAAAAGTCAACGCTGGCACTTAGGTTGTGGAGCTGGATAATTTGTTGGGGTGTCTGATCAACACATGTTTGCTAGAACCTGAAAGTGATAATTTCTTGTGCGAGAAGGGGGCCGGACCCTTTTTGGAAGAATTTGGTGTTTCGCCGAGCGCCTTGTCTCAAACCCAAATGGTCTCCCGCATTCGGGGATGGAATGGCCGACAGACAAGCCTTAGGCAACCTGCACCAGCTGAATCTGCCCACGGTGGTGCCGCCCGAGTCGCTGGCGCCATACCTGCCCGGAGGCATCGATCGGGGTTCGGGATTTGTTTCGCCATTTTATGACGGGTCCCGCGCCTGAAAAGCAAGGAATTGCGAGAGGCGCCTATGAAATCTCCATTTAGAGTGTTCTATTTGGGCGCTTTCCGGAAAGCTCTCAAATCGGACAGCCATTCGGATCCTGAAGTGGCCCTGAAACGTTCTTGGAACATTGTTGAGAAAAGCAGCGAGACCCAAGCGTTTCACACCGGCGAATTGGTTGCTGCTGCTGGCGATGTTGTCCTTGGCTTACTTCCGCTCACTCCGGACAGGGTGCGGTCTTCGTCGGCCATTTCATTGGTAGGTTAATTTGGTTTGATCCTTTCTTTGCAAACCGTGGCAAGCGCTGGAACCGACACATCCAAACGTGCCGGAACGTGTTCTAACTTGGTTCCCAAAATGGGAAAGCATTCCGTTTGTGATCATGCACACACTTACATTTGTGAGCTCGTCAGATTTCTGGAACACCACGCAAAACTGTGGAAAACCATGGGAATCATCTGGAGCACCCCTGCGGAAACCGCGGAAGAGCCATGGAAAGCCAATGGCAAGCACGTGGAGAAAAACCCGACCCAACGAAGACCCGCCTCGAAGACCCAAACCGCCCGTTTCGGCCTTTCGAGGCGTGTACTCCAGATCCGAGTCCGAGCTGGACTCGCGGCCTCAAAGCCGAGCATCTCGAGACGCTCGGCGCAGCGCGGCAGGGCTGAGGTTGTGGGATCACAAGGGGTTTTTCCAACCACTTTGTGACAATTACGAGGGAATCTTCTCTTTTTTTTTGGGGGGTTAGTCTTTGGGAGGCCCTTGTTGTATCACAGAAGTGGTCATTTCCCACAGCCCTGGGTTGAGGGGGTGAGGTTGTTTCGGCTTCCTCGGGGGATGTCGGGTTTCGGTCTGCCCCACTGGGGCTCTGAAAGTGGTCGCACCCAGCAAATTGTTTCCCCGGTTGGGCACGTGCCAGAATCATGTCCAAAGGCACGGGGGAAGGGAGATCCCGTTTGTCCAAGCCGGTGTCTGTGTTGCAGGGTGCCTGTTTGGGGGTTTGTCCAGTTTTGGGACCCCCCAACGTTCATAGTCAGTGAAGCCAACAGGAAAGCTTGAAGCCACTGGAGTCTGGAGTATATAGGGAGCCCTGCGTTTTGACGAATCTGCCCATGAGAAGCTTCCCAAACATGCTGAAAAAACTACACCAGCAGTTGCACAAGCCATGCGACGCCATGGCTGGCGCTTTGCCCCGTCAAAACCCTGTCAAACCACGGTGCGTTTCATGATCCGCCTCGGTACGTTGAACCCGGCAAGACTCACAAGGGGGTTGGATTTTGCAATAAATCTAAGCCACACCACCCCATTCTGAAGAGCTAAGCCAATTATCCCCCAAAATGGATGCAACAACAATTGCCGTCGAAGCAGTCCACTCAAGCAAGGCTAAAACTCAACTGTTCCCATTCTCTCCCTTTGCCGACTCCCAGCAGCCCACCAGGCATCTCCCAAGCAGGGGCGGTCAGCCTTGCCCTTCTTGTTTTGCCCACATCCACGTCATGAATCATTGCCAAGGCGACACTGACAAACATAAAGCCCGTGGCTTCACGGCAAGCATTGAAGCACCCTCCTGATGGCACCGCGGGCCCCTCAGCAGCCAACCCACCAAAGTGGTGCCCGCGATCCAATTCTCCACAAGCTTCCAATCCACTTCCTCATTCTTTCAATGGGGACCCACGCAGCAGCCCACGCAGCAGTTGTCATCACTTTCGGGAGGAAAGACCGGAAATCCTAGAAAATTGGATGCTTGGAAAGAATGGGTTTTAACCGAAAATATGACCTCATACAATACTTCCCCATTCTTTCCGGTTTTCCAATTTTCACCCAAAACAGGTGCAAAAACTTTAAAAAAAATAAACAGGGACACACTGATCTTTGATCGAAAGAACGATGCAGGGGGACAGAATGATGGGGTGGGGAAAGAAGGGAAATAATGATGGTTGTTGGGAAGAACGATGGTTGGGGAAAGAACGATGGTTGGGAAAAGAACGATGGCCCTGGGGAAAGAACGATGGTTGTAGGGAAAGAACAATGCCCCGGAAAACAGAACGCTGCCAGTAAGATCGATGGCCTGCAGCGGCATGACTTTGGCAGGTCAGGGGAAGGGGTTGTCTAGTCTATTGGCCTTACCCCTAGCCCGCGGGACAACTTTCTGCATGCGTCAGTGCTCGCTGCAGAAAAAATCAAAAACTGAGCCGAAACCGGCTGGAAAGACCGATCGTTGCACTGAGTGCGCGTGTGACGAAAGAATGGGGAATCAACCCTTAGAATCAAGTTGAGACTCGAGGGTTTCCTGCATGTCCCTTTCTGGAACCTCCAAGAGCAATCTTTCAACAAATCGCTTTTCAGCTTCGCCCGTTGGCAGAATCAACATTCCAGCCTGCCAGCTCCAAATTGAAGCAAGCTCTGTCATGTTGCACAGGCTCTTCAGTCGTTGGGTTTGCCGCCTGGGACGGAGAGCTAGGATTTGGCGGAAAGGATCAACATTCAGTGTGATAGGTTGCGCACCACAAAGCATATGCACTGAGGGGACATTTGCATGAGGCCACGGAAAGCGGTTCCAACCCCCCCGCCCATGAGCCGAAAGCGCGATCCGGCGGGATCCGGCGGGATCCGGCACCGAGGCGCCCCGGACAGAGTGAGGTGAGAGCTTCCAAGCCCCCAAGCCAGGTCCGGGTCATGTTTGGTGCAAAGCAACGGAATTTCACCAAATACCAAATGCACCCGGTGGTTTTTTGGTTGGCCCGTTTTTCCGCGAGTGGTTTGGGGGTCGTGGAGCCCATCTTTGAGAGAAATTTTGGGGGGCGCGTTCCTTTCGGCACTGCTTGTGGTACTCAGCCGTGCGCACGCCGCATAATTATCACGGGTCCGGCCGCTCTGAAGTGCTGGCTGCGTCCCGTTTCGGGTGTCCAATGAAGGCCGTGCCCTGAAAGAGCCAAAAGATAGAATCCGTCTCATCCATCCCAAGTTGGACATTTGCTTTTTGCCACCGAAGTCGGGTATGTTGAGGCCAAACTGATTTGCCACCCCTTCTCAACTCATTGGCAGTCTCGGAAGCGACCTGAGATGGTGGGTGCTTTGGGCCTTTAAGCTGCGGCCGGCTCATGTCGCTGTCTTAGCTGATTCGAAGCAACCTCTCTAGGGTAGTTCGCAAAACAACAGTAGACAAGTTGTGGAGACTCGGTTGTCTTAAAATGGTGCCCCCGCTTTTGGATGGTTGATGAATCAAAAAAGAAACTTATGTTGAAAAAGAAATGTTTCTAAATACGAGGCTGTGTGAAAGGGTTGCACCTTCTCACCCCTACCCAAGCTTGTGGCTGGCTACCGCGGGTGTTTTTAGTTTTTGTTTTAAAATCATTGGTGCCTGTTGCTGGAGGTCATTTTGATGATGCGTATTTGCAATCCTTGAGCTTTACACACCTTCCATTGCCAGTCTAAAGTGATTCCTTTCGCTGGGACCTTCTTCGGGGAAAGTGTATGACTGCGAGTCCTCGAACCACCAAGCTTCACTGGAGCCCGAGCTCCAGTTTTGCAATTGGCAGTCCACCCAGATTTAACAGAAAAACCTGCCCACCCCGGAAGTCGAAGACCTGGTTGAGCGACTTTCACTCTGCCTTTGGAGAGGTTCGGTGAGTCCGCTTTTGCCTCGCCGAATGGCGGGCGGTTCCGACATGTACGACTGGAGCGATTTGAGTAACATCAGCGCGCTTGCCCTGTTTGCTTGGTCTCCGGCGGGTTTCTGGCATCTACAGTTGGCATAGGCGTTTTCCCGCTGTTTTTGACATCCACCATATCCACCCAAAGCTGTTTTGGTAGTTTTGCATTGGGGTGTAGGTTTCGGTGTTGGCCCGATTTGCTGTGAGGCGCTGCGCTGGGTCAATTGTTTCTCCATACATCTTTTTCGGAACTTGTTTATTAATTGATACTGGTTACATATTTTTTCCATGCTTTTGATTTTAATTTTTATATAAAATTATTTATTTTTTAAATTTATATAATTTGGAAAACAATTCTTTAACATTTTCGTTTTTTTTTGGAAATAAAAATATAATTTAAAATATGTTGGATATATTTATAGTTGTTTTTTAATTATTTGTTTAAATAATTATTTGGAAATTATTTTTTATAAATAATGAAGGTATTATATTTTCCGAATTATGATTGGTGTAATTTGAATATATTTTGGTAAATGATTTAGATATTTTATATAATTTATTTTTTATTTTTATAGATTTTAATAGATTTGTTTTAATATATTTTAGGTTTTATTTTGGTGATTTTTGATATTATTATTTTTATATATATATATTTTTTTTTCTTTCTATATTTGTTTAATAAATATATTTTTTAAGAAGGAATCATAGAAGGATTATTTTAAGAATATATATTATTTTTAATGAATAAATATTTTATTTATTTAATGAATATATTTTTATCTTTTTAAATATTTTAAGGACACATAGAAAGATTTTTTTGGGATGAAAGATATATTTTTCGAAATATGAATTTAGAAACTTATTGTTTTCTAATAGCATACAAAATTAATGCTATAATAGGAAAATAATAGAATTAAATTAAAATAATTAATTTTATATATATATATAAATTGTTTTTGTGAATAAAAATTATAATCGGCAAATTATGCTAGTGGCCATCGTGGCTAATTAGCTAACACAAGCATAAATATCTTCCGAAGCACGAATAATCGTATATTGATTATTGTCGAAACCACTTTCTATTAAGTCTTTGCATTATTAATTTATATAATTAATTTATAACAGTAATTTTAAAGAAAAAAAGAAGGATTTATTTTTTTCTTAGTCTTATAATTTACTTGTATCGAATTAAAAATATACATATAATTTAATAGGTATTTTTTAAATAAATATTTTTAAAAGGAATTCATTTTTTTTTTTGCTTTACGATTTTATTTGCTGCTAACCATTCTTGTCCAAGCTATAATGTCCTTACATAGCAAGCAGCGAGCTGCCGGGGACACAGATCGAAACACATAGGACCGCGGTTTCGTCTTAAGTAAAACTAATAAGGGGTGCGGTATAGGTTTGGAAAGGATCGGCAAACAGGATTAATTTGACTAAATTTCCGAATTTATAATATTTTATTGTTCTATTAAGAAAATAATAGATATTGGAATTATATATATATATATTTTGTTTGTTATAGATTGGTGTGCCTCTTTAAAAGGTTTGTCTAGGAATATATAGATCAATCATTCCTTATTTTAGGAATTATTTGTAGTCTAAAATGTATCTTGGTTGTAATTGGTTTGATCTGTATGATGGTTCCGCTAAATAATATTCTTTTAAATATGGTTTGTAGTTATCGGTTCTTTTTATTATGGATCCATCGATTCATAAATCGTAATATGTATTTAAATATTTGCGTTTGGGATAATATTAGTTTAGCACTTGGACGAACTATGGAGTTTGGCAGTGTATCTCTGTATGAATTATATAATGAATAATTTTTGCTGCTCACTCGATTATTGTTATGCTTTTTGGAGATATGAAACATCTTATTGCTGTTATGCCTTAACAATAGAGAAATTTAGGCTATCTTTCCTGCTATAGGCTTCATCTCGCACGCTTCTGGAAAGCAACGGGCCCCTACTAGTATAATATAAAAATATTTTTAGAATATATTTAATATATAATTAATTAAATTTATATATTATTATTAATATTATTAATAAAATAATTGTTAATTTTGTGATTAAATAATAATTAATATTATAATATTATATATTTATAAATTATTAAATTGTTTCATTTCGCACGCTGCTGGAAAGCAGCGGGCCCCCGCTAGTATTATATTAAATTTAAAATAAAAATAATATATAATAATAATAAATAAATTATATATATAAATAACATAATTATAAATAGATAAGTAGGAACAAACAAACCGAACAAATGCTTAACAAAACGCGATTTCGGAATATTTCGAGCAAACACATAATTACGAATTTAAGCCTCTGCCTTAGACCCTACCCAAATAAAATATTTCGAAAAATTATATATTGCACTAAATTAAAAACCCAATTCTAAAAACGAGTTATAAACTACGATACACAAAATAACAATATCTTTCAGGTGCCCGATGCCAACATATAAACATTTAGTCAATAAAAAACGATCGTCTAAATAAGGGAAAAATAAATCCATAGATTATTATACCTCAAAAAATCCATTCCCATATTTTTAATGCAATATTTCAACCAAAATAATAATAATATATGTAAATAAATTATTTGTTCAACCTCCCAAAAAAAAATATCATAAAAATATTCATTCCATAACAAACCATACCAATATAATTTCAATCAATTTAAAAAAATATATATTCGACTCTTTTAAACTAAGCCGAAATCGGCCAACTTCTTCATCTCGTCAGTAACCTAAATATCTTATCACTTAAATACCCATTTATAATATCCTTTTTTAAGCCTAAATCAAAAAAAATCTCGGAGAAAAAAAAAATCAATTCTAAAGCAAATCATTCCACTCCTCTAAAAAAATATTTTTTTTTCCTCCACAAATTTTTCAATCAAAACAAATAAAAATACAAAGACACAAAAACACAGAAACACAAAAACACAGAGACACAAAAACACAGAGACACAAAAACACAGACACACAAACACACACAACCACAAACACAAACAAACACAAACAAACACAAACAAACAAACAGACAAACACAGACAAACAAAAAAACCAGAAACAAAGAGATCAACAAACAGACAAAGAGAGACAGAGCAAGACACCGACAAAGAAACAGAGACAAAAAGAGACACACCTTCGGCGCGCAACACACACAAACAAACAAACAAACAATCAAACAAACAAACAGACAAACAGACAGAGACAAAGACACAGACAAAGACACAGACAAAGACAAAGACAAAAACAAACACAGAGACAAAAACAGACACAGACGCAAACATAGACACAGACTCACAGACACAGACACGCAGACACAGACACAGACACACAGACACACAGAGACACAGACACACAGACACACAGACACACAGACACACAGACACACAGACACACAGACACACAGACACGCAGACACGCAGACACACAGACACACAGACACACAGACACACACACAGACAGACAGACAGACAGACACAAACAGACAGACACAGAGACACAGAGACACAGAGACACAGAGACACAGACACAAACAGCCACAGACACAGACACAGACACAGACACAGACACAGACAGACACAGACAGACACAGACAAAGACAGACACAGACAGACAGACACAGACAGACAGACAAAGAAACAGATACCAGAGACAGACAGACCAACAGACAAAGAGAGACAGGGAAAGACACCGACACTCCGGCGCGCAGCGTGCCGGATTCTGATGTCGACATGCCACAGGCTTCGCCTGCGCACGTGCACGCGTCCGACTCCGAGCCCGAGAGCCGTGATGCAGACGGGCTGCAAGAACGCGCGTGTGAGCTCTTGGCTGCGCGTGCCCCAGTTGCACGCGGCGGCTGGCCGCCTGTCCCCTGGCGCCCTCGCCCTGTGGAGCGAGCCAGTGCAAAACGGTTTATCACGCGCTTGTCTCGGCGCTGCCCCGCCGCTCCCGCGGCCAGGAGGTGGTTGCAGGACTGCTTATCGCATCGCCAAACTCTCCGAAGATGGGCCAAGATTTCAAAAATTGCTACGGACAGGCAGATATATGCCCCGACTCTTTATCTGGAAGACACAACGGCTTCGTTCAACGGCTACGGATGGGAAGATATATGCCTAGACTCTTGATCTAGAAGACACAACGACTTCGTTCAAAGTCCGGACCATTTTTCCGAAATATCCCGGATATTTCGATAGTCGCACTCCAGACCATTTTTCCGAAATATTCCGGATATTTCGACGATGGCATTTCCCGAAATATTTGGAATATTTCGGGAAAATGGTTCTTAAAATATTCAGAATATTTTAAGAAAATGGTGGGTGGCTGCGATTCCCGGACCGCTTTCCCGAAATATCTGGAATATTTCGGGAAATTGGTCCCTACAAAAAATGAAGCCACTATGTTTTCCGCACATATGCCGGGGTAGCCCGGACAGATTTGGGCGAGCGATCCGTAGGAATTATGAAGCGATTACATCTTCCCGGGGCAGTCCGGACCAATTTTCCGAAATATCCGGGATTTTTCGGAAAAGCGGTCCGGGAAAACGCGCGCAAGTGCGACGAGCAAGTTTCATGGTTTCGTTTTATAGAGTAAATATTTATTTTATTTTTTTCTTTCTATTAAGTATTTAATATTTTTTAATTTTAAGAATTACAATAATTTTATTAAGCCTTTAAAATAAAACATTATATTCGATTATAAACCCGGTACCAAAAAAAGAAGCTTATATATTAATCTAGATAATAATTACGAAATAATCCAACAAAAATCGTTTAAACTATCCTTTTAATACTATCATATTATATATCAACCCTTAATACATATACATATGTATTCAATTATATAATTTTATTTTAATATAAATAGATTTATTATTGTTTTATATTAAATTATCAAAAACATATATAAATTAAATAGAGAAATAATTCTCAATCCAATATCCTAATTATAATCGGCAAGTCAATTCAAATCCAAATATCTCCAAATTAATTATATCATCCCACTCCAAAAACAAAACCTAAACCAAACATAATCAAAAATGAAATTCCTTATAATTCCAAAAATAATAATTCTATCAACAACAAACTAAATTAAAAAAAAAAAAAAAAAACATAAAAACATCATCATACATCAAAAACAATCAAAACAATCATCAAAAACAATAAATAAGAACCATACCTCCAAAATCACCTGTAAATACTCCAAACACCACCTCCCAATTTCATTTTTATTACTACAATTAAACAACATCGGAATATTAAAAATATACTTTTTGCATTTAAAAATATTATTTTTCCTATTTATTTCTTCCATTATTTGTTTTTCCCTTTATATAAATAATTTTATTATTATTCGAATTTACATTACTATTTTAAAAATAAATTATATTATATAAATATATAATTTAACATTATATATATATTTATAATTATTTAATATATATATATATATCAACTAAATTTAATCAAATTTTATTGTTAATTATATCTCGATTATTGTTTCCTTCATAATTGCACGATGTTAGTTGTCTTAATAGTAACAGGTATATATATATATATAGGTACAAAATGCATTTGTATACCAATGTAACGTAAAATAGAGCCATTGCGACATGTTCTGACTGACAAATAAGCACGAACGCACTCAAAGACTCATCTCGTGCAAAATACGTTGCATCCAGTGCTTGACGTCTCTTTTGAGAAGAGTAGAGAGTAAGTAGCCTCATCTATCAAATTGAACTACTTCTTTGCGGAGATGGGAGGCAGCCTTGCCGGCCTTCAAGCCTGGGGCACTTGGGGTGGGGGCTGAAGTGGGGATCAATCGGCACCAGAGACCAAGATTTGTGCCAATGGCATGCAGATTCACTCTGCACTCAGCAAAAGGCCGCCCGGGAAGAAACCCCGAAATGGGGCATTCCCCTCCAAGAGTTCCGACCTGCAAGCACCTGCCACTCGCACTCCGCATCCCTTGCTGCAAAGGCTTCACCTCGTTAGGCGTCCCTTAGCCTTAAGTTGTGTGGTGTCGTGTGGTTTCGTGCTGTGCGGTGTCGTGTCGCGTCGCGTTGCGTGGCGTTGGACTGTGTTGTCTTGTGTTGTGTGGCGTCGTGTCGTGTTGTGCGGTGTCGTGTAGCGTCACGTCGCGTGGCGTTGCGTGAGGCCGATGATGAAGGTGATGGCTACAGGGAGGGCTATAGGGAGGGAACCATTTTTGCGGTTTTCGTAACCGCTTTTTCAAGAGTCAAGTGCCGCTCTTTCACGTCCTCGCCTCTCAAAGGCCTCCATCTTGCATGTAGAGATGCCGATACTTCCTGCGCGGCTCGATGCCCGACCTCCCCATCTCGCGAAAAGGGATCGCCACAGCGCTACGTCCTGTGAAGGAACGTGGCGTAGCACAGCAAAACGCAGCCCAGGAGGACCGTGACCTGAGGTAAGTACAGCGGCCCTGGTGAGAGTATGTTGCTCGTAGGTGTCCTTCTTGCGTTTATTTGATGACCCTGGTAGATGATTGAACCAGGTAAACCAGGGCAACCAAGAAGGACACCTAGGACGTGGCGTCGAAAAGCGAAAGACGAGACAAGAGAGGCAGTATGACATGCAATGGGTAATCCACTTGAAAATAATCATTACCAGCCTCAAACATGATCTGGATATGGGAGGCAAAGGAATGAAACATGATTTCAATGACAGGACATTCACTCTGTGGCTCAACATCCTGGCCAAATGGTCGCCGTGCACCTTGCTCCTATCCTGCACCTGGTGCATGAAGAACATGAAAACAACAAACGGCACAGATTTGAACAAGCGATGGGAGACTGAAATCGGAACTTTTGACCTGTGGCTGTAGAAAGAGCAAACAATCAGGGACATGCTCGAACGGACAAGGCAAGAAATCTTCAAATACTCACTTTGTTAGGGCATGATTCAATGATGTCAACCCCCCCTGACTTCAAAACGCAGGGTATTTGTAGTAGAGGGTTCTTTTTGCCGCTCACTCAGTCATGGCCGGTTCGCACCGCGGCTCTGCTACATCTTGGCTCGGGACTGAGGCAAAAGTCAGCGCACGTAGTGGATACTTTTGCCGGACGGTCTGCGCGAAAATCAGCGGGGTTGCGGGAATCACCCACTCTGCATCTGGTTCCCCCCTCCCCGCTGATTAATTCCTCCCTTGAAGCACGATAAACGCTTCCCTATCACAAAAGTGAGAGTTAATCTCGAATGTCAACCCTCAAAAGCAAGGCACTTGTGGCAACATCGTTTCGAGCGTTCTCACCATCGGGTAACGGCACATCACAACTTGGGTTCGCGGACAAGCAAATCAAAAAGCACAAAAAGTTGGGTGCCCAAAAACGGCGACTCTTTCCACAGAATCAGAAGGCTCTTTTGCGAATTTTGGGACACCCAATGTACACTTTCCAATCGGCCATCGATCGCTCGCGGCTTGCCTCGCCGGCGTGCGTGACAATGCTCTTCACGTCTTTTCCGTCGCAGGTCTCCTAAACTGAAAGTCCGGTTGGCCTCCCTTCCCACTTAGTGTCTCCATGGGACACCGCCACTTGGCGTCCTTTTCAAAGCACGAGGCAAAGCAGGTTCTGGATTTCACAGGCCCCCAGTTCGATCAATGGAAGCTAGCAGACGATCTCAGAAAGTTCCCCCCACCCACTCCAAACAAACACACCCATTGTGAAAAAAACACCTGGTCATAGGGCTGTGCATCCTTCCACTTCCCTTCAAAGAACGCGGCAAGCTCAAAGCTCCAGAAATGCCGATGGGTGAGTCTGTTTTTGAGGGCCTCTCTGCTGCGGTTTGAACAAGGGTAAGCCAGACCCCTTGCGCCGTGGGAGCTCCACTCCATTCAAAAACGCCGTGGGAGCTCCACTCCATTCAAAAACGCCAAAACAGATCTCTCCTGGTACCCGGGGGGGGCCTGCATGCCGCCGAGGCAGGGCCTCTCCGTCGCAATTTGCCGCTTCCAGCGCTTTCATTCAACGGACAAATAAAAAACAAGAAGCCTTGCTAGCCTCCTGCTCCGCAAAACACGGGAACCCGGCACAGTGCTCATTTTCAAGGAAACGTGTCTTCCAGGACCCTGAAACGTCAGGTGCCATGTCAGTGGACAGGAGGGTAAATTGAATAGACTACCTGCTGTTTGGCCCAGCTCTAGCACGTTGAGCCACACAAGTTGCTTTTGGTGGTCACTTTCTGGTGTTTGTTGGGTGCGTGGAATTTGGGACCTGAGCTGACTGAACAGCAGACGCTCCGCAGTTAGCTGCGTCTCGCCGGCCTGACTTTGCCGAGTGGCGACGATACATGTTCCAACACAAGCTAAAAGGTTCGCGGGGTCAAGAGCAGAAAATGCCCCCAGTCACCTTTTTGGGGTCATGAGCTACGGGTCTCTTGGGATGGTTTTGGAAAAGACTCCGTCCATGAGGAGTCGCAGCCCTAAGGTCTGTAAAATCCGCTGAAGACATCAAGGACACGCTTGGGATGGAAGCGTTACGGCTTTGAATTTGGGACCCTTGAAAGTGGATCTAAGCCCTGCCGGAAGCCCAAAGGAGATGTCACCCACTTTGGATGGCCACGATTGGGTCTTGTGGGGGACCCCCAGTCTGGTGGCTTTCTTTTAAAACCAAACAAGTCGTACCCAGAAATGACACACCTATGTTGAGGCAAAACGATATCAGATCCATTCCAAAGGGAAGGTACCCAGAAACCACAGTTCGGCGGGCCCGCTTGGTTTGGTTTGGTTGCAACCGGCCCCGTCAACACACGCTCAATAATCCTATGTAACCCTTGACTAGGGGTGCAATCTCATACAACATAATGGCAACAAAAGTGGTTGTAGACCGCGGAGACCCCACCTTTTCCCATTCTGTTTGGGATCGCTTCAAAGAGACACAAGGAACTACTAGTACCCATGGCTTCAAACGCGGACCGCTTCCATGTATATGCTCTTGCACGAGTGCAGCTTCTTTGGCCTAAGACCCTTGTGATTTTCCCTTCGCTTAGTAAAAAACGGCCTCATGAGCTTGAAGGTCACCGTCCGCCACTGGCCCTCTTGGCAAGGCGTCCGCTGGATGGCCTCGAATCAAAACGTCCCTCGGGAAGAATTTAGCTTGGGATCCACTCGTGGGCGTCGTTTTTTGTTGGATTTGGTCCCCCCAAAATGGTGGCGTTCCTTTTGGTGTCCATTGAAAGCCACGAAAAAGGGGGGAACCACCCAAAAAAGAAACACCTGCTTGTGGTGGATTGATTTTGAGTGGAAAGGAAGCTAGCCACCTTCTGATAGGTCCAGAAAACTTGAACTCACATGCCCTAAGAGCAAGCAATACAGCACATCAACGGAGTGCACTCGCAACTCCAAACGGGCGGACGCAACACCAAGGCACAAGCGAGTTCGAACCTCTAACTCTTCGGCTGAGTGAGTAGCAAACATGGCGTGTCTAATCCCTGTGCAAAAAGGGTCCCCGAATAAACAATATGTTCCACAAATCCCCAAAAATCCAGGTGCGGGAATAGCAGATTTACTTTCTACTTGCAAGCTTAGAATCGCCAATTTGAAGCCAATACTAAAACCAGTGATGTCCCCACTTCCGCGGTCGCCGGAAAACCGCTGAAAAACGTATCTCAGACTTACAGGCTCGACTGTAAGTTCTCTTCTGCCGAGGGAAACACCCCTGTCGCCCGTTCTATTACGAACCACCTGCACCAATTGCCATGTGTTTCGCTGCAATTCCTTTTTTGTTGTTTTATTTGGGGGGGGCCCTTTGTATGAGGAGTTCTGGGGAATCAACCATGAGCCCAGGCCTGCGGCATCCCAAAGTGAAAGTTGAGTCTGGGAAGCCCCGCGAAGTCTTGCGGATGGCAAGGAGGGCATGCCATCAGCGTAGGCCTGAAGAAAAAAAACAATATATATATATATATCTATATATATATATATGTATATAGACATATGACGCAAGCGTGTGACAGCGTGGGAGTGAAGGCGTGAGTGTAAGTGTCTGTATGTCTGTGGAAGCAGCGGACAAGCGCCCTGCTTCCGAAAAGCTTCAAGCCTTTGGGAAAAACAAACGCCTGAGGCGAGAGCCTGTTGCCTTCGTGAGAGACGGAAACAGTATTGTGGCTGCACAAACCTCACAAACTGATCACCAAGCTCAACCTTATAAGATGACCTGGACTGTTCCTGTGTCGGAGTAGATTCACATATCGGGTTCCTTGTGACTCCCTCTGAACCTCACTTGGGACAACCTACCCCCCCCCCCCCCCCCGCAGCCCCGGAAAGGATGTATTCCAGCCCAGCCCCAAGTAACTCCTTATAGTATATCAATGTATTAAACGAAAACACATACACTGCACGTGTGTGGGTGTGTTGCGCGTACTGTGTATCTATTACTGTGTATGTAGATCGATATAAATAACTATATATATATATATGCATATATGTTTGCATTGATGGCTTTGTGTGTGTGTATGTGCTAGCAAAAACATGTATGTGCATATACATATATATGCATGCATGTACATGTATGTATGTGTATATATATATATATGTATGCACGTGTATATATTATATATACACGCATGTGCGCATATTGTATATAGTGTACACATTACACTTGTTGGTATGTGTGCATGTATCTATGTAATTTAACTTAATGTAACACAATGTAGTGCAATGTGACGATATGCAATGTAGTGTAATGTGACGTAATGTAATGCAGTGTCATGTACTGTGATGTAATGCAATGTACTGTATGCGTACATACACGTGTGTGCATGCCCATCTCTCATGGTAGCTTGGGAAATGCGGGCTCTGCAATAGCATCGGATCGTCAGCTGTGACAGTCGGCAATGTGACCTGGCACCGGTCTCGATTTTCCCTGAGTGCGGAACCATCTTAATCAGGACGCTATTGGGATCGTTTTGTACTCCATGCTTGATTGACAAATCGCATGCTGCAATCTCTCATGTGTGTGCAGGAGCTGCGGAAGTTGGCACCAACCGGCACCAGGACTCTGCTGAAAACCATCGGACAGATTCTTAAAGCATACAAGGGGTGGCTTCATGTGGTGGCCAAACTTCAGCTGGCTGAGGCTTGCGCCACTCCAGCTCGAGCTTGTTGCAGGCGAAGGTGCTGAAGACCCCATATCTGGCACCTGAGAAACATTGGCTTTCCGGGTGGTCATGTGGAGGATATGGCGATGTCCCCAAAATTGGAGACCCAGGTATTCCTTGACTCACTGGCAAGCTGGCAAGTGTCTTTGGTTGGGGGTTCGTATTAGTGACAACCTCCAGTCCCAAGTTCACGTTGGTTTTCCTGACTCTTGCGCAGCTTCATGAGATACTCACAGGCTCCAGATTGGTCAACACACGCTCGCAAAGCTCCGATTGGAACCCGGCGCCCTTGGGGTCAAAGGCAAGCTTCAAATGCCATGCAACTTTTGGGCAGAAAAGGGGGGGCTCGAAATTCACGGCATATCCATCCAAGGTGGTTCCCTAAGAGAAGATATCCATCCCCTTTGCATCATCTTTGGATCAGACTCAAGATGTCGGCGATCGATTTTTAAGAGCTCCCGCCTGCCAGGCGCAAATTGTCCAGGTGCACATTACCTTGGGAATCTGCGACCAACTCATTTCAGTTCTTAGACAAAAGTCGTGGTGGTATCAGGTCCCATTCACGTGACGTAGGGTCCTCAATTGAAATTCATAACCGCATGAAATCGCACCCAAAACGGACAACTCATGCTTGAGCTGACTTCGGCCCGCAAACATTTCTCCAGTCTTAGACGCGAGTCCAAATGCAACATGTTGGGTTGGTTTGCCCGGATTTTTTTGCTGCCCCGCACATGCCCGTTCCTCAGCGTGTTCGCGGCTGTCGAGGGCGGGGGAGGGAACAGGAGGGGATGGAAAGAACACGGGTCCATGTTGCCAGCATGTCGAGGCCAACCTGTGTTTCAAACTAGCCGATCCCGACCTCCCAGCCCCACGCCATGTGACTTCTCCGCTATCTGCGCGCTCTGCGCGACTGCGCTGTCCCATTTGCTTATTTGACACGCTGCCACTTTGCCGGTGGTTTTAGACACCTGGTGTCTAAGAGGGCTTGGGGTCTTCTTGCGTTTGAAGGCAGGCTTCGGGACTGTGGCTTGGCTCTCTTAGCGAGAGACCCTCAGAGTGCCAACGACTCTTTCATGCAGCTGCCCAGGCCGGGCTGCCTTGTATATGCGAAGTCATGAGCTGCGCTGATAGCTTGCTGGCAGAGCTTCCGAGACAAAGACCAGCATGCTCGAACAAGAAAATGAGAATGCTGCGCCTGCCAGCACCGCGCATTCGAAGCTGAGATTCGAAAACGTGAAGTTGGACGTTTGCAGACTTTGCCGTGATCCAACCGAAGCCACGGAGTGACCGTCATTCGGTCCGGGCAAACCCACCCCCCGGAAACCCATGTTAGTCCTAGACGCGAGTCCCAATGCAACATGTTGGTAGGGCTCTTCTGCTGGGATGACAGGCTGGGAAAACAGAATACCAAGATAGCGCAGCAAGAACAAGGTCCTAATCAGACTAAACCTGCAATAGTCTGCTTCGCAAGTGTCATCTCAAGGCGCACTGAAACAATCCTTGGAGACTTGCACGTGTAGGCATGCGTCCAAAGTAGGGAACTTTGGCGAGGGTGTTCGACAAACCGATCATTTCAATTAGTCCAACTTCTTTCGACCCATGGACGAGTAAGCACCGGAAAAAAAATAAAATAAAAAATCTGACTTTATGGCGGGGGGACTACCCATCCAGCATCGGAAGTCACATTGCCCGTTGCTCACTTCTCCGGAAGACCTAGCTCGGATGTTTCCTGAACCAGCGAAACACGGTTGGTTAAAAAGGCAGCAAACACCGTGGTATGCCAAACACCGCCGAGCCTTATAGTTTGGAAAGACCCGTGCTTACCTGAGTGCGAAAAAAGAGGTATGGACAAAGCATAATCCTGCGGATTCCTGTAGGCGAACAGAAAACTATGGCTAGCGCCCAAGTGCATCGATTACCCTCAAGTAGCGCAACAGCCGCTGCTCTTTTTGGGAGCAACCGGAACCTACTCCCCTTCCATGACCTGAACCACTTGGCCCAGACTCCCCCCAAAAAAAGGCCAAGTGCCTGATAAGACTGACTATAGATCAAACCAGCACCCCAAATGGGGTGCCCCTGTTTATGCATGGAAACAAGTCGACGAAAATATCTATGGTCCATAGCCTGGTGCAATTTAAGCCCCCTGCCCATTTACGTCCTTCCTTCGTTGAGGCCTCGAAGCCGCGCACGAAAACCCGCAGCCGACCATCGGAGCGCCACGGCGCCGCTGGGGTCCTGCCGCGCCGCGGGCGCCGGGAGCTGCGCCATGGTGTCGCAGCGCAACATGAGCGACACGCCCGAGAGGTCCTGACGCACGGACGAGACGGCAGGGCGAAGTGGCCCATTTTTTCGGGAGTGGCCTTTGGCATTTTTGATAGGTGTAGCTGTGGCAATTGCCCATTTTTTCAGGCGTGGCCTTTGGTGGGCTTGGTTGATTGAACCACCAGCAGGCAAACCAGGGCCATCGATTTGAGGGTACCCTTTTGGGGCTTGGTTTTTTCGGGAAACCAAAAGGGTATTACCAGTTTAAGGATCCGATGATCGGTGTAGCTGTGCCAATTTCTCAGGGTACCCTTGGCATAGGTGTCCTTTTGAGGGGAAATAGATGGAGATGATTGAACCACCAGGTAAACCAGAACCATCTACTGTTCTAGCAAAACAACCAAGAAGGACACCTATGCTAGTTGGGCTTGGTTGAAAGGGAAACTAGAAGGGTACCACCAGTTTGGGGGTCGAATTCCTATAAGACATGCCCATATGGGTTCTGATGGAAACAACTTTTCCAGGATTTGTCTTTCAATGGGAGAGGGACCCCACCAAATGCTCCAACCAAACCCAAGACGGACGTCCTCGACAAAAAGCCACAACCTTTTACAAAGCAGCTACCGTCATTTCCTCGTTTCCCTGTTTTCTCTCTCCTTTCTACTTTGGTTTTCCTCCATTCGCGGCAACCTCAAGCATTTGGAGTTCCGACCCCGCCATTCAAACTCCCTTCTTCCCAAGATCATCGCCACATCCATATACATATATATGAGGGCACACCCCATGCAGAAACAAAGCAGCCACCGTCCTTTCCTGATGCCTCTCTCTTTTCTCTCTCCTCCCTATTCTCAAGATCAACTGCTCTCCTCCGGGCGCACGCTCCCCATGGACGCACTGCAGGAAGTGTTGGACCGCGCGGCCCAATGAAACTTCACCCCTCGGATGTTCTCCTGCGCCACAGCCTGCACTGAGGAAGCCAAGGGCCCAAAAGCGAACAACAAATCCTGGCAAGACCCAGGAACGATGGCAAGAACGGGTATTTGGAGAAGTGTCTCTTTGAGTTGGCACTTGTTTTGGTCGGGACACTTTAAAAGGAAGCCATACAAATGAAAGACCTTTGATTCGAGCACCCATGCGCTCAGGGAAGAAACAAAATGACGACATGGCGATCCGGTGTTGCTAAAAATGCAGAGACTCTTGTTGAAGCCTCCTTTGGGCAGACTGGGATGCTGGCCCCCCCCAAAAAAATAATAAAAAAATAAAACCAACAAAACACACCAAGGCCACGGTTTTCAAGGGTCCGAGTGGTGCCCTTGGTTGCTCTTGAGCTTCAGAGCTCAAGCCCTTAGACCCGATGCCCCGATCCCGCCTCCACCGCGGTGAGCTTGATTCCAATGGCCGTGGCCTTTGCAGGCGCAGCGGCCATGGCGGCCGCCGCCTGAAAAGAACACAAAAACGACGGGGAGGCGGGCGGAGTTGATGGACGGGTCTGTCTTGGGTATATATTTTTTTCCGGGGGATTCAACGTTTTGAAGTCCAGAGGTCTGTTAAACCCCGAGAAAACATGGAAGGACCACAAAAGAAGGTGGTAGTCCTTATGGGTTGCGACCATCTCCAGACAACCCGTACCTGTTGCTGGGAAAAGTTCCTACAACCTTTCGCTTGGACGTTTTTGGAATGCGGGGTCGGCCTTTCAGAACCCGTGAAAGGGCACTGAACCGTGTAACACATACTCAACTCTATGCGCTTTGGGGTTCGCGCAGACCAGCTGTGGTCCATCCACCAGTGGCTCAGAACATGGCAGTGGCTCAACTGGCACCTCGGTAAATGGAACCAAAGACTACCAGCGGTGTGCCCAAGCTCTGGAGCAGTTTGAGAACCACAGCCGCACCCATAGCTTCCTCACAACGATAGCGCAGAGACTGAGAAGACAAATGTGGCTCGAAACCCATAGCTCACAAGCCGTGGTTCGGTTTTTTTCGGGATTGCCATTGGCTTCTGGGCTCCTGGCAGAAGTTTCTTTTGCACCGAAACATTTCGGATTTGGACACGGGAGAGTCGATAATTGGGCGCCCGGCTGTGGAGGTCGCGCCACTGGAGTTGGCTTGACACTCCTGCAGCCGTCAGCAGAAACATGTTTCTGTTGGGTCCAAGCGTCCACGCGGAAAACAGGTTGCCAACCAGCTCTTTGTTGCAGGATCAAGAGAAAAAACCACCAACCAGTCGGCGGCATTCCTGATATCATGTTTCGTTTCGTGCCGCGCAGCAAAGCCCATGACACATCTGACCATGTTTCTTGCGCTGCGGGATAGGCCACGATTTGGCCGCCCTCCTGTCAGCAGGATTTGCCTTTTGACATCCTTTGGGGACCATTTCGACCATTTCTGCATCCCAAAACAGGTGGCACACGCCGAAAAGACACCATTTCATGCACGTTCAGGGGGCGCCAGCTTTACGTTCAGTGGTCAAGGGACCATGGAACTCAGGTAGAAGAAACACCTCTCTTGGGCTACATGGAGTGGGGAGCCCACCCCCAAAAAAAAACAATGGCTATAATCACTGAGTAACTAGGTCAACTGCGAACTTCCCCCATGGCCAGTACTTTTTGAGCCCCACATGGGCATTGAATGAGGTCCTCAATGGATGTTGGGTTCACCTGCCCCATGCCGTGCCCTAGGCGGTACATAAATTTGGACAAGGGCTTGTCTGATCTGCGGCTGACTCTGGCAACGGCAAATGGATGGTTGTAGGCAAGACTGTACCCCGTTCTGTGATACCAAAGGCTACACTTAAAAGGGGATTCTCTGGTACCCAAAGTGCCCCTGAAGCCAAGCTTTCCATTGTTCTGGCATCCCTTTCCGGACCTTCACCGAGCCTGAGCGGATAAAATGGCCAGATTGCGACCCTAGATTCAAGCAGAACCTGAAAAGGCTCTTGCGCGAGACGTGAACCGAACACCCTGAAAAATGGGCTGCCCCCTTAAACCAAAACAACAACGAGGGGTGTATCAAGCAGGGTCCCAGCAGCTGGAAAGCAAACAAGAAGTTCCCTGCGCTGTGTCTTTCTCGAGGGTATTCTTCTTGCTTTCCCCTATCTAAAGTCAAACCATTCGAGAGGTTGACTGAAGATCTCATGTCGCGTCTGACAAGAAGGCCAGGCGTGCTCTGCACCAAGTGATGCAGAGGCTCGTAAGGATGCAAAGGACAAACCAACGGCGACTTCCAGAAACAGCTCGGTGTGGCACAATCGGGAAAGAACAGGACAACTCAGCAGTTGCCTGCAGACAAGGGGGGTTGTGACAGACTTCCTTCGGGGTTGTCCCAAAATAGGGGTCCCCAAAATAACTTCGGATTTCCGTTTGGCTTCTTGAGAACCACCCCCAGAACAGGCTACCCTCCAAAACAACACACCCAAAACAAGTAAATGAGATGAGTGGGTGGAAACCCCAAGCACCGGCCAGGAGAAGGGGCTTAAGCATCACACCCTACGAGTCTCTCAAACGTAACAGACCACTTTTTTGTTTGAGAGATTGAATTGCGCTCCCAAATTTGGCAGACCACCAATTCAAAGTTTGGGTCAGTCTCCCAAAGGTGGAGACCGCCGAACTTTTAGGCCCTCCGCGCCTGTCCAGTGAGCTCCCAAACGAAGGCCTCCCCGTCATCCTCCGGGGCCCCTATGGGCCTAGCCGAGTGCTTTTCCTGCTTTTCGTGTTTGTTCTTTCGTTCAGGGTACCCGTTTTGGGGTTGGTTCCACCCGTTTCGGGGGTGGTTCCACCCGTTTTGAGGGTGGTTCCACCCGTTTTGTCGCAACTTGTTTGAGGGTATCCGAAATTCAGGAGGATCCTAACCCCCTTTTTCTGGCCGCTGCTTGGAAACCACCTTCTTACTCGTTCACTCCTTGTTTTGCGGAAAAAGATGCTTGCCCCAAGAGAGACTATCTCTTCGGGGTGCCCTATTGTTGGAACCACTCAAACGCAGAGCAATCGAAGCCAACTGGATCTGGGGTGGTCAATGGGACCCCCGGCAAACATTCCTTTCAACAACGTTTGCTCGGGGGCGTGTGCCTTTTTGTGAAAGAAGCAGTTGCCATCTGTCGAAACGAGGCACAGCCCTTAGTGGTTGACCCATGCACCAAGTCTTTTAGCCCTTGTTCAAGCCGCAAGGGTCGAAAAAGGAGTCGATCATTTAGAGAATCGCCCTGTGGGAGCACAAATGGTGGAACGCCCGGTAAATGCGCATTCAGTGCAAACTGCGCGCAGTTCCAATGTGTCATGGTTCTTTAGCTGAGGATGTTTAACCAACTCTTGAGACAACGGGTCACCGCCCAAATGCATTAATTACTGCAAGCAGCGCGCTTGCAGTTCAAGGACAGAGTGAATGCTTGTCTTGCCATGTTGGTAAACTTGTTTGCCTTTTCTAAGTTGCAGCAGCCTCAGGCGTCCTTTTGGCAAAAACACCAGATTGAAACCCAACTGACCAAGCATGACCCAAAAGAACACGTACGTACGGCTTCATGTTCAGCGGTTCAGCGCACACAGCATCCAACCGTCTCGAGCATGACTGGAAGAGTGTTGCAATCAATCGGCCAGGTGATACTCTTTATTCATGTTAATTTGCTCTGCGCCCGAAACCCATTGACTTTGGGTCTAACACGATTCTAAAGCTTTGTATACGCCTTACTATAACCCTTATGAAGCCAGGCAAACTGCTCAAACGAGTCAAGTTGGCCTCTGCCACCGGGATTTGCGCTTTATTTGTGGCTTTGGAAACCAGCCATAGAAAGACCCCCGCCCCCAACCACTAAGGCTGTTTTGGTTGGGCAAAACCCGAATGAGCCTTCTTTGGCCAAAGAGATCAATCGTGCGTATGTGTTCTTTTGTATGAATAAATACATAATATATATATATATGTATATATACATATATATGTACACGCATACACCTTATGATCTATCTCAACAGGTGTGTACATGTATATGTGAATATATATATATATATATATCTGTATATGTGTACACCTACATCCACACACACACACACATGCTCCTTTGCGCAAAGTGCGCTTTGAAGCCGCTCCGCTCCTCGCTTGACCGTCCGATCGCCTCAGGAGGCTGATGAGGAACTTCCGGCCGGCCACCAAAAAGGGACCCGTCAAGCCAGCGGTGGCCAACTGCCACTGCCTCAGCCCGGGGCGCAAGTTTCACCGAACAACCGCTTTCACCAGGCAACAACCTCCCAAACACAAAGATCTGAAAAAAAAACTGCCCTGGACATGGGCATGCACTTTCCCAAAAGACCTGGAAATGAAGAGACCCAATGATTCTATCAGTGGAAGAATCATTAGATGAATCTCCCGCTGTGAGACGCGGACACGGGCTCTTTCTGACGCTTTGCGCTACAACCAATCCTTCCCAAGCTCTCGGCTCCAATGCTGCCGTGGCATTCACCACCACCTCGGTTCCACATTTTCAAGAGTTGTCTTTTCTTTTCATGGGGGCCCTGTGTTTCGACCAACAACCTGTCTTTGCCACAGGCCAACATACAAAATGGAAGCCAAGAAAGACAGGTTTGGGTCCAAAAGAAGGCACCCGCTTCACCGCTTCACACCACCAGCGCCATCATCTTCATCTGCTCAAGTCCCACAAGTGGGAAGGGCACGCCCTCTAAATCCTGGCTGCAACCAAAGCGCAACCAAGCATGTGTTTGGGGGCCAATTTCCTGGATCTCATGAGTATCCAAACAACACACAGACTCGCATATACACATACAAACTACTCCAAACACCCAAGGTGCTTCAACTTTAGGTGCCCATCCGGGCTGCCCCCAAAAACTTAAATGGCGTCAAAAGACATCATCTGACTCCAATGGCAGATCTGCGGCTTGGTTTCTCAAGCTGGCCGTCCCGCAGGGCCGGCCACTCCTTTTAAACATGCTGAAGCTACTTCTTCAATTCGAAGCAACCTCCTGTGAATTCCTTTGAAAGAGGACCCCCGTCTGTGCTTTTTGAGTGTTTTGAGGGCACCTCTCCTTTTTGGGTGGTCTGGTCTGGGTCCTGGGCCATTCTTTTTTGGGCGTTGGGCTGGGTGGGCTTATGGCTTATGGCTTCCTTATGGCTTAGGGCTTATGGCTTAGGGCTTATGGCTTGGGGCTCATGGGCTTCCAGGAAAAACCGCCCTGGGATCGAACGCCCGGTGCCGTTGGGCCCGATTTGGGCCCGCGGCATCCTGCGGCGTCAAGACCTCCCAGGCCGCTAGCCCAAGCCCGGCGAATGGCTTGGCTCCAACATGGATTAGCTAGGGGAAAGCGCTGAAACGAGTATACGCACACACATATATATATATATATATATGTAAATATAAGAGGTATACAATAAATAAATAAGTATATATATATATACATATATACATACACATATGCGCTCGCCCTCACCCCCGTGATCCATGTTTGGGGCTGCAACGTCCTGATTTTTGCAGAATCTAAGCTACTAGAATTCTATCCTGGCCAAGCTCTATCTTAGTTCTAGTCGTTTGTTCATGAAACCCTTGAAAAGCTAGTTTCAAACAACACATTGAACAAACATGTGCTTCAACATGCTGGTTAAGCAGGAAGTCCAA